AAAAAGAACACTCTCAGCCCAATCCCCCTTTGTACCCAGAGTTTCTGCTCTTCTCTCTTTTTTATGTCTTGTGTGCTCTACATAACAGTTTAGGCCCCAGACATTTGGAGAACAGAAAAAGGCCATTAAATCAAACAAGCATCTTCTGCAGGTACAGACTGCGGGGATCAGGTCCCACTCAACATCAAATATACAGCTAGTCGGGGCCTCTGCTTTGTTGTCATTGATTGGGTTTGATCGCAAAGGTTCTGCTCATGAAATGGAAAAGGTCACTTCCGACTTAGCTGTGAAAAGTCCATATAGGATTTACTATATGGGGATTTAGGGCCAATTTCAACATCAAATAAAGAGAAAGGAGGCCTCTGCTGGTAAGCTTCAAATGAAAATTGCCCGAGACTCTGTATTCGAAAGAGATTTCAGAGCAGGAGTGTTTTCTTTTACCTTTTATCATTTTTTTACTTAGTGCTCCAACACAGCATATCTGGATGTAGCAATAAAGCCCACAATGAAACTTGACATTGACAGAGTTACGGGGAGCTGAAGCACAATAAAATACAGGCTGGAAAGCTTTTCCTGAGACTCTGTTGGTGTAAAGCCAGAGAGAGACTGTCCATTATGATATGTGCGCACAGCTTAACTCCATAAAGATGCCGCCTCGTGCCTCACTGAGATTTTTGTGCTCTTCTCCTTTCTGCAGACACATGAGTTTCTTTGCATCCAAAGCGAGCCCGACCTCTGTGATCCTGGACCTGTGGGAGGCACAACATTTCCACAGCGGCAACATCAACCAGCTGGCCACCGTCATGGCTGACATTGGCAAACAGGAAGCCATGATATTCCTGGTCTCTGATGGCGAGTGCTAACCCAGAAAAGGAGGAGAGACTGTTGGCACAGAGGAAAAGTACAGAACACAAAAACACAAACACACACACACACGAAAAATAAAAAATAAAAAATCAACAACTGCAGCAGGAATGGAAGAGCCGAGCCGCCCTAATGTCCCTCTTCTTCACTTAATAGGAAGTGAAGGGTTGATGTGGGAGTGAGTCACGATTTCCCATCCAAGTCCAGACCAAATGAGGGAAAGGTCAGAGTGTCTCAGTAAAGACAATACCCTTTATTTTCCTTTAAAGAAGTTAAATTAGTTCACTCCCAGGTTCCACTGAAAACAGCTATCAAATTTAACTTCATGCCTTTTATGGAAGTAGCCCACTTACGGCTAATATGGAGCAATATGCAAACGCAATGCTTTTACCGATGGCCAATATTCTAAATTCAAACAGTCTTTGAATTTCAGATATTATGTGTGGCATATTAAGAGAGGATGTGAAAAGGTGTCAGTCATTCCAGGTTTGAGAGACAGGGTGACATATGCAATTGGCAGGTTGTTTGATGACATGGTCTCAGACACTGAGCACAGTTTCAACAAGATCATCAGGGTCTGTGAGGACCCCCTCCTGTCCACTCCACATATGTACATCTCATATCTGTCCTTATATGTTTCAGAAACACATACACTTACACTTACACACACACACGATATGGGCTTGTAGCAGCACATCCTGGACCTGCAGGTTTCAAATAGATTGTATGTCAGAGGCCCAAAAATCTCATCTTGTTTGTGTGGTTTTAGTGCAGCCGGTATCTGTACTGTGAATGTTACATCTTGACATCTTGATTCAGTGAGATGCTTCGCAGCTTTTCCTGCTTCTAAATCAATAAATGTGGGGTTTTGCTTCTTTGAACTTTTTTGAGGGAGGAGTGAGTAACATCTTCACTAAAGTCTCAGAAAAAACATTTCGATGTAAAGCTCGTGAGTTTGTTCTGTCCAGTCTTACATTATCCCACTGACACATTGTGGTATTTTTTTGTCATGAATTCTCAGCTAATGAAGGAGCCATAGGGCCAAAAGGCGAACACTGAATGTTGTCCAGTCTCTTATTTTTAAAGATATTGTATCTGGTGACTGGAATGATTCTATAGCAGAGGGATGTCAGACAGAAAAACAAGGCAGAAAAAGGGTGATTATTCAGTGATAAATAATGCAGAGCACTTTCCTTCCCCGAAAACCTGACAACAAATTCTTAAAAATCCTCACCAGATAACTTGGGTAGGAAGAGTAGCTGTGCAGCCTTGTTTTTTATAATTCATAAAGCAATGTTGGTGGAAATTCTATATTTGCTGTGTGGCAAACATTATTTCCATACCAGAGAAATGCCTGTCTCAGAGAAAGTCAGAGTGGCTTATTCAGAGCGTCACGCCTCTGCTCACAAAAGATGTTTTGAGAGGTGTTTTTTTTTTTTTTTCTTTTCATTTTGTTGTCTGCTGGCAAAACTGATCCAGCAGATTCATGCAGCTAACCATAGGCTGCTACAGCCACACATTTGCTTATTGTGTTTGTTACTTTGCAGTAATATTCTGTTTTTGTTCTATTATTATGAACGGATCTGTCAGGTCAGGCTAACTAACAGAGTGTATATTCAGTGTCTACTGGTTCAGTAATTATTCTTTGATAAGATGTGAGCAATCCTAAATTAGCCATAGTTCTCTCTCCGTCTGCCTCAGGGTTGCATGTGAAGTTGTCTGTTAAAGATGTTAAGAGAGCCCTTTTTCTTTTAATCCCCTCTTCAAACAGTGAGCTCGGTCCATCCTCTCAGCTCCTGTGGCTTCAACCTTTAACACTTTGTGGAGCCTCTTTTATGATTGTCAGATATTAGGAATGTACATTTATGTTTCCTTGTCGTGGGGGATGAAGTCTTTTATTGAGTTTCTTTTTTTAACAGTGAACATTTGATTTTCTGTGGCATCTCTGCACTTTTCCATCCTCTGAAACACGCCTCCTCATGAGCAAGTTTTTACAAAGCCCTCTGCTGTTTTATGTAGAGATGTCATGGAGCTGAGTTTTACATTTTTTAACAAAGTTTAAGGATCCCTGAGATCGAGCCCCTTTCTGACTAAATGACGATATCACCTTAAACTAATCTTTTCTTGTTGACTGGATCGTCACATGTAATATGTAAATACTTTTTCTAAACCAGCCGAGAGCTGTCACTTTGCATACTGTATATCAGCAGAATTGGTAACCAAAGTTTTATGAATATCATTTGAGGCCACTCCATTCTCCTGTTGTATCCACGAATATTGTTTCATCATGTTTTTAATGCAGCTAGAATAGAAGAAGTCAGAGTTTGTGTCCCATTGAAACCACGGGCTCAAAGTCCAGATCATTTCTTTATCATCACGTTTGTCTTTGAGGCAAGTCGACACTGTTTCACTGGTAATGTGTGTCTGTTAATTTGATCACTTTGTAAAGAAATGTAAATTATATTTTAATATAAAGCCAAAAAAAGACACTTAACTGGCGCAGCATTTGTCAAGTCTAAACCGTGACGTGTTTGCCTATATACTGTTCTTTGGCGATCTAGCAGTGAAGACTTTTTGCAGTGTTAAGGGTTTAGAGACTGTTCAACAGAAGGTTTCTATACATATTTTGTTCGTCCTTACTCTGCATATGTCTCCCCGATGGTTTCTCTTTTACTGTAAGCATTTAAATACAAGGTGGAAACAGTCACTAACACTTGGTGAATCACTACACTGGGACTATGTGGAGGCTCATCAAAGAGAGAGGACATCAGTCCTTGGATGCTGACGGGCCAGTGTTAACACAGCATGTTTCAGTTGTACAGTCAGACTCTGTGTGTGTGAGTGTGTGTGTGTGTGTGTGTGTGTGTGTGAGCGAGAGAGAGAGACTCTATCACCTGTCATTGTCTTGGTTGTGTTATCTAAGCACATTTCAGTAACGTAATTCACCAGCTGCCAGGATGTTCAACATCTATCTTCACATCGAGCTCATCTGACAAATCTAACAAATCTGCAATTACCGTGTCTGTGATGAATACAGTTTCCGTCATCATAAAACTTGGACCTCACAGTTCTTTGACCAGTACACTTTAAAGAGGGGGACTATGCCTTTATTCAGACTCTATACTTCCTTTATTATTACTCTTTAATAGATTCACATGAACTTCAGATCACATTAAGCAATCCAGTATTGCAGCGGCACAGCGTCACCTCACGTGCTGCGAGGAGCAGATCATTTTGCTTTGCTGAAGCACAGATGAACCAGTTAGGAGAGTCTATTGCAATGATCTCATAGTGAGACTCAAAGACGACTTGATTAGATATCATGTGATTTCCTAACGAATCCTTTTGAGCAGTTTACATCTGTTTTCAGGGATTATTACAAAATATGTTAACCTTGCAATTTGAAAATGTACATACATTTAGTATGGACATCAAATATTAAAACTGCATTTTTTGTTTGACATATAGAAAAGCATAATACCCCCTCTTTAATGGTTCAGAGGTTTTCCCAAAAGTTTTGGGGCAAAATTGTTATATTTCACACCTGTCATTTTTGTGTCACTCATTACTATTCATTGTTATGAACGTGTGTGTTTCTGTGTGAGGCTGGCTCCGTGTGTGTTTGTCCGTGTACCTCCCTGTCACTCTGACTGAACTGTTTCCTTTCTGACTTACAAACAATAGACTTCTGTACTTGTGAATGGTTTTTCTATTAAGTTCTTTGATTCAATGTTCCTTGCCTTTCTGCCAGTCAAAAATGCTGTATTTATTACATGCCACAGCGCTTATGCAATTGTATAATCCCTTTGGTTTGTTTTCTTTTCTTTTTTTAAACCTTTTGTGTTCCTTATCGTCAATGTAAATTGTTGTCAAAACTTTTGTGGCAATGGAAAAACTTCTGCATAGGGAGATTTTCTGTACTTTTTGGACAATGATATGGATTTGTGGGTAGAATTTTGGAAATTCGTTTCTAAGTGCTTTCAAGTATTTACTTGGCCTTATGTATATATATATCTATGACATTTCAGAAAGGTATGTATAGTAATTCAACCTGAAATTGTTGTAAATAAATTATATATTGTTAAATGAAGGACTTGGATCTTTCACTTGGAACTCTTAAGTGTCACTATCAAACATTTTTATGTCTTTTTGTGTGTGCGTGTTTTAATTAGATGCTTTTATTTTCGACGTTTAGGTACAATGTGTTGGGCTAGAAGAGTCCATATCTTGAAAAAGCTTCAGGTCATGTAAAAGCTACTAAAGGGAGTTATTAGCTGAAAAAAAACTCTGCCATCCACCACAACAAAGATTTACGTGATTCTGGCTGTTTGAAAGACAGCAGATTTAATTAGAAAGCACCACCTAAACGTGTACAAAACAAGAGAATAGAGGTTACACTAGGGCTGGGCGATATGGCCTCAAATCAATATCACGATATATTGAGCAGTCCACCTCGATAACAATAAATGGAGGATAACTACTCCACAAGCTGCTCACCCACTCCCACATTAACTTCGTCTACTTGAACCGTCCTCCATCTCCTCACCTGTCTTTCCCTCTTTGTTACGGACCGGATGGGGTGGAGTCACATCTCTGACGTAGGAATAAGACCATAGCCTACCTACACACATCCAAAACCAACTTTTTTTGACACCAAATATATTGACATGGGCCAAATGACATTGGTTATTGTTGTAAATTCTGGAATTGGTAAATTTTCAGTTTATCACCCAGCCCTAGATTCCACTTTGTCTGCAGGGGGCAAAATCAAGGCAAACCAAAAGTTGCTTACAGGAGCTTTAGATTTGTACTATAATAAATCACTGGTAATTCCTATTTGGCGAGTTTGTTGAAACAGCGGCTGCCATCTGTAACAAAGACTATAAGCTGGAGTGTTATACCACCAGAGTGACTTGCAAGAGATGAGAAATAACAAAGAACACAAACATGTATATACATTTCAAAGTAATCCCTGAACACTATTAATTTCACTGGTTAAAAAAAGTCAAATTAGTTTCAAATCTCAAGGTTACCAGAGTAATCCCTGACAGTTTAAATCTGGCTATTATGTTTTGATGTTGTTGTGAGCTGGGACAGCTGCCATTAAAATATAGATTTAAAGTTTATCAATCAATGGAGCAGCAAAACTAAGTAAATTAATCCATCATTTGCAAAGCATAAACATTGATAAGCAAACTCACATGTTTACTTTTGAGTTTCCACCACCCAGTCAGTCAGGAATGACTGTAAGCCCTACAGCTCTCACAACTGTTTTTGTAGCAGAAGTGCATCTGCTTGTGTGAATAAAAATCACTTTTAAAGCCCTCTTCTTGTACCCACAACAAGGAGAAACATTTGGAAGTCCAGTGTCCCGTTGTTGGGGAGCAGCTGTTAGCGGAAACAAAAGCAGCCAAAACATCAGTCAGCAGAAAATCTTACAGATGGATTCAGCTCAGTGATCTGCCCCAGCATGTGGTATTACTAATTAATTTTATTTGAAACATCCAGCAGCTATAAAAACAACACTTACAGGCCCAATCTGAAGCAATATAAATACATATTTAACACCGCATGAAAGTAAACCAAGGAACAATCACAGCATCAGAGTAACAGATTTTCTTTGCATTCAACTCTCTAATACATGATGGTTTCAACGCTTTGAGAAATCTCCTTACTTTGGGAGTGTGAAACATCGTCAAGCTTTCCTCTGTCAACTTGTGAGATTATTAAGGATAATTACATGACTTAAAACTACTCTTGGCCACATACTGCTATTAATACCTGCTGTGTGCGTGTGCTCCGGTTTCCTCAAGCCAGAGAGAGAAATGAGGCAGCTGGTGCTTCTGTGGAGAGGTGCAGGGGTCCAGTCTGGCAGAAATGGGGCATCCCTCTTTCTACTCGACTGCACCGCCATTACGTTAATAGGCACCGCGGTGAGTGTCAGTGAGTGGGCCGGGGTCCTGAAAGAAGCCACCTCTTGTCTGCACTTAGCACAGGAGTACATTACTGCAATATGTGAAATTATTAGAGGCTAAACGACTCCTCCAACTTGAAGGAAACTGACTTGATCTTATTTTAGACTGAACAAGGAGGAGATTAGCTGAGCGGAGTAATTTTCTGCTAACAACTACAATTAAACGTGGAAGAACTGCTGCTGCATTTTTAATCTGAATATGACTCCAAAGTCCACAAGTTAGCGATGACATGAATTAATCCCTCGTCTACTTCCAGTTATACAACAACACAGCACTTTAGTAATACAGGCAGATACTTTTGAACTGTCCTAACAGCACATGAAGCTACATTAAGCCTCAAATATAAAAACATAGTCTGCAGAGTATAAAAAGACAGGGTAAATAGGTGTGTGTCGGCAAAGAAGAGAAGATGTAGAGTGTGTCTGGGAGCAGATGAGGGTAAAGATGGTTGAGAAAGAGAGAAGTGTTTTTTCCTCTGAAGATGGAGCTCACTCTCTCACACTGGAGCGAAGGCATGGCCTTTGCACAGGGGCTTATCCTTCTTTGAGTAGAACGTCTTCCCCTCCAGGTTGATCTGGCAGAGCTTTAAAGATGAAAGCGGACAGACAGAGAGAGACAGAAAGAAACCGGGGCAGAGAAGATATCAGACCTTAACATTGGCAATATGAGTTTACACTGCTTTCTTCTGGCCACGGCAGGCGCATGTTATTTACTTGACTGCATTTACTCTCAGTTTTCTTCTCAGAATAAAGGGAGATGGAGAGAGTGATAGACTGCGGGTGACAGGGTAAAAGAGAAAGACAGAGGAGAGAGCTCAAGGTCCAGGGGCTGAGGCAGATTTTTCAGGTGGCATTGTGCAGGGACAGCTAGAGAGATGGGGCAAAGAGCCCCACAGGGAGCAGTATCAATCAAAATGACTTACAGCACAGACGAAGCACGTATCGTGCCAGCTGTAGCCCAAGGCCTCCAGAAACCGATCGCCTGCATCAATCTTAAAGTCACAGCCATGGCATTTGGTGCCAAACATCTTCTCAAAGTCTGTAGAGGGAGAGGTGAAGGCAGGAGAGGAGGTGAGCGGCAGAGATAACCACCAGAATAAAATAATAAAACTTATCCAGGAGTGCTTTTATCATCACAGAGATCAGGTCAAGCATCCTCTGTGGCCTCCACAATCACCATACGTAAACACCACTTAACCTTTATGGGATGTTCTGGAGCACAGAGTGTGAAATAGGTTTCCACCTCTTTCATCTTTTTAAGAACTGGAGGCTTTTCCTCTTTAAGAGAAGTAATATCCTGCTACACACACATGCACACGCACTCACACAGTCCAGGACTTGAATGACAGCAATAAAGATGGATGGAGCTGTTTGGTAGTCAAATTTTGGCTCTGCCCCTTGTTGTAAAATTCAATACTTTACTGTTTGCATTATTTTGTCCACCTACTGCACATTCGAGTTCTTTGTGTGTGTGTGCGTGCACGTGTGCGTTGGGGGGTGAGGGGATTAGGATGAGGAAAAACTGCTCCAGATACTTAACTGGATTTGCCAGTCTCTTTCATCACAGGCACTCAGGGGAGAGTGTCAGGTTATAATGCTGCTTCTCCACAGTGAGTGGGTGAGAGCAGCACAATCCCTGAAAGATGCTGAGGCAGCACAATGTTTATCAGAGCTGACGGCATTATTCAGAGTGTGAGCACTTCTTCTCTGATAAAGCAGCGCTCCACGTCAGAGCCTCAGCAGTGGCAGAGAGAAACACGCTGCCCTGCTAAATCATTTACAGCATAATAGAAGCGCACACGCCATTCATAAAACTCAATAGAGAAATGTATGAAGTAAACTGGAGCTAAATAGATTACAGCAGATGAAAACATCACACTTTATGATTGACTGTGGAGAGTGCCAAGAGATTCATGATGTAGACTCATGCCAAAGCCCACAGCAATAATACAAACAAGTGATGGTTTACAAATAGCTTGATAAAAAAAATATGAATGTGAGTCAACGCACAGCTGCAGTGGGGACACCCTGCAGTGAGCTGTTTTTCTAAAATTAAACAACTTTATCACAAGAAGCACCCGGCGTGAGCTCTGAATCACCCGGCGTCTGTTATGAGCCCCAAACTGAACCGAACTGTACTCAGCCATGGCATCCATTTAGAGCAGAAAGAAAGTGACATCGTTGATCAAATGGGCTCGATCACAGGTTTATAGCCTCGTGTCGGGATGTCAGCTCCCCCTCATTCATGTTCTCAGGGCCTGGTGCAGACTTCTGATTAATGTGCGAGGGCTTGATCGGTGTGTGAGGTTACAGGGGGGTCTGACATGGGCTGAGATGTTCTCAGCTGGTTCTGGAACTAATCAATGTGCACACTGTGCTTTAGTAGAAAACATGAAACACCAGCGAGGGAAACAGCATGCTCAGAATCCTCGAACTTAAAATACCGCCTGGCTTTAAATCAGATTTAGAGTTTCATTTTCTGTTAGAACTTTGTATTTCTCCCTGTCTTACTGTCTGCTCAGCCATGGTAGAAACCCCTGCTACTGTTTGTGTTCAATTCCCCCTCTGGAAACATCTCTCATATGATGTTTGTCTTTGTTGCCGGCAGTAGATTTTTCACCATGGAGATGGTTTCATCTCCTTTATTAAGTCTGAAGAATGTGTGACAGGAAATGTTGTTTTATTAAGAGGAAGGCATGGAGCTCCAGTTAAAGTCAACACCCAGTGAGAGTTGCACAAACTTCATTATGGTGGTGATCTTCTCATGACTGCACGGTCTGATCATGTGTTATTTTGAGAGGGACACTTTCATGTCTTACGGGTGTTCGAAAAGATAGTTTGAGTGGAAATGACACAACAACACTGTCTAGAAATTGATGCATTCAATAGCCATATTAAATCCTTAAATCTGACTGGTCAAAAGCTAAAACTAGCCACGTTTACATGTGCAAAATTTCTTTATCCGATTCAAAATTTGAGGGATCGGAAAATCTGAATCCACTGCTTATATGGGTGCAAAATCAAATAATCAGATCGTGATGTGTGTTTACATGCACCAAGCTGTATTCAGATTAGAAGCAATTTGACATGTGCAGGGTTGTCTGATTTCACTAAAACAACCACAGAAGAAGAGCTGTATTTACGCCTGTGCTGTCAACAAACCAACAAACGCGGTAGTGGCTCACTCCATTCAACTCAGGAGTTTTTCCTCTTTTAAATGTTGTCACTAGATGGCGCCCTTGTGCACTGTGCGTGCAGGTGTGACATCATGACGCTGTATGTACGCCTCGTTATGTTACTGGAGGAGCAGACACGGCACCTTGTACTGGCCTAAAAAAATAAGAGAAAGGCTAAAGAGTGAAGATCCAGTCAGGTAAGAGAGTCACGATCGGGATAAGTGTTTACATGGGCACGTTTCGAAATAACGATCAGCATCAACCACTCCTCTCGATTGGAATACAATTTCTTTCCAGTTGAGCTGCATTGGATCAGAATCTTCCGATTGACATGTTTACATGAAGCATTTTTATTCCGATCGGGCATTAATTCAGTTATTTGTGCCCATGTGCCCTCACACAGCTATTGATATTAATTAATTCAAAACTTGATTTTTCTAAACTTTATACAAAGAGGATTTTTAGATCAACAAGATGGTTTTTAAACCAGTATTTTGTATCAACTTCTCTAAAGTTTTAGTTGGCAGCTTTGATTGAAGATCCAGCTCTTCCTGCTCGATTTCTAATTAGCATAACCACCTGCTCGCTGTACATTAAGTCCTCACTGAATTGACTTAATTAGAGGAAATTCTACTCTGCTCTCTACTACACACTGGTCTCACTGGTTTAATTATCAGTATCTTTATAAATTATAAAAGTGGAGGATAAGGTTTCAAACGTTTTTTTTTTTTCTGTACCTAAACTTAAATGTTTGTTGATGCTTTACAGTGCCAATACTTTCTGAAAAACCCAATGAGTTTAATTTTCTTTTAGTCCCAAATTCAGATTTTCTTTTTTTTGCTAAATAAAGAGGGACGTTTCTGTTAAAAATGCTCCGCTCAAAGAGTGGATTATTGACTGACCTCTCTCACAGTACGGCTCTCCCTCCTCCATATAAAAGGCTTGGTTCCTGATGGGGTTCTTGCAGGCTGCACACTTGAAACACTGCACATGGTAGGTCATCTTCAAGGCATGCATGATTTCCTAATAAAGTGAGACAAGGTTGTAAATTTTTTAGTTCTGTGCTCAGCTGATGTTGCTGAAGTAGAGGAAAGCCAACTCTCATAATTTAGTAAGGAGAAATCACAGAGAACAGAAGACACCAGAACCATCTGGGTGTTGAGTGTCTCTACTCGTTATAAATCCCTGAAATCTCCTGGTTAGGGTTAAGGTTAGGATTTTGTGTTATCTCTGCAGTTCTTACCCCAGTGATCTTCTTTTTGCATTTGGCGCAGTTCGGAGCATATCGGTTATCGTGGCACTTGGTACAGTAGACAGACCCTCTCTCCTCGAAGAAGCCCCCCTCATCCAGCACTGCCTTGCACTGCGAACATGTAAACTCCTCCGGGTGCCAAGAGCGTCCCAGCGCCACCAGGTACCGACCCCTGAAAAACATGCAGACTCACAGTCAGACTCATACAGCACATCAGAGGTGTTTTTTTAAGTCTACTAGACACTTATCCAGTTCAATAGAGAAAATACGATTAGAGGGTTTGCTCTTTTTGGGATGAATAAAACAACAACAACACGTTTTCAGCTCCTTTTAAAACGGGGTTGTTGAAAAGCAGCTCTGCTCTTTACCTAAAACAGTGACCAGAATTAGAACCAAGGTTTCACTCTTATCTGTGAAATGTGTGAAATGAGATTTAAATTATTTCAAAGTCAGCTTAATGCTTGTCTGGTGTGATAAGACGTCTGTGTTAATTATGCTGACTGACTAAGTGTGCAGAAGTCTGTCATCGTTCACATTAACTGTCTTCAAATGACGTGTCATTCCTCTGACAGCGCTTTGAAAGGAGCAAACATTCAGACTTTTTCACTCTGCTAAAATAAATCAAGCTGTCACAACAGATGTGCTGTCTCACCTTATGATTTTGTTGCAGGCACCACATAGGGGGGTCCTCCCGCTGTCTTCGGGCGCCTGCTGCGCTGCCTGCAGGATGGAGCTGCGGTTCTGCATGGGCGTCGGTTGGACCGGCTGCTGATGCTGGGTCACCACGGTGCTGGTCTTGTCTGGGCGAAAGCGATCGGCAAAACTGGGGTCAGTGACCCACGGTGGTCGATTTGACAGACCTGAACAGCCCTCTGCTGCAGCTGCAGTCTTTGATCCTGGAGCAGAGAGGAAAACAGTGTTTCGTTTTACAGTGACTGTACTGACATGAATGTGTCCGTGTCTTTAGATCTTTTCACACCAGGTAAGGGACACTTCAATGTAACGTACACACTCCCTTCAGATGTATGCTATAACAGTTTGGTGCCTTACACGGTAGCTGCTGATGAGTATGTATTGACACTTAATAAGAATCTATTAGCACAACCTCTGCTGCAGGCTGCTGGGCTTCTTTCAACGCACCAGCAGGAGCAGAAACTCACCATCTGGTTTATCTGCTGCCTGGGCCTTGGCAGGTGAGGGAGTTGGCTCGAGGCTGTGGGGAGAAAATGACTAATTAGAAAAGGTACATACACGTGCACACTCTTAGAGACACAGAGACCTCTGTAACCATGGTTACTTCTTAACGAACATCATGCGTAGATGTAAGTGGACTAGGCCTTCTGCGTTACATTGTGCCACAGATTTCCCTCCATGTAAAAAATCCTCGACATTATCACAACAACAATTGTCACATCAAATGTGTCTCTTACCTGTTGTGGCAAGAGAAGCTGAGCCAGTGTCTGTTTTAGAGCTCAAACTGATCTGCAGCCTGTTTGTCATGATTACACAGGCCTTTGTGAAACAAAATTACTCGGCGCGTTTACTATCGATGCCAAATAGACACTGTGGTGTTCTGTCCATGCAGATGATTCTCAGCTCTGCATTAAAATGATACCAGAGCCACTTTCCTAACAAGAACAGGTCGGATTGATTGAGTGATTGACGTCACTCACACACAAAGTTTTAGTAACTTTTAGTAACCCTGCGCACATTGCGCTGTCAGATTTGAATGCAGACGAGTTTCGCTTCAAGCCTGCATGTGCAGAAGTGTTGAAATAAAAAGCTGTTTCTACATTTCAAAGTTTTGTTACCCGCAGCAAGCGTCACTATATTCAGAAAATCTTCAAACCATGACTGAGACAGAAAAACAACTTCTGAGCCAAGACAGTAAGCTCTGGAGACGTCTCATCTTGGGGGAAAAAAATAACAGTGCCTTAGGCATCTATCATGTTTACATCATCAACTGTGCCATCTACAATACACTAATGAAAGATGATGAAATCATGTCTCATTTGCAAAGAAGAAGAAGAGAATGTGAAATGAATTATCCAGCGACAGCCTTGTTGTGTAGCATCGCCTCTATCAGGTTAAGTCTGCCTTTTAATTATCCTCCTTGTGAAGCCAAACAACTAAACAAAAGAAGTTACAGAGGCAGGAGAAGTTACAGACTTACAGCTCGGAGCCATCTGACATGGAGAAGGATAAAAACCATCTGCTACTTTTCAAGCAGCATACTCTGAATAATAAAGAACATTAAATCCCCCTGCTATTGCAAGAGGATGGCTTTCAGGGATGGTGACAGGGAAGAAGTTAAATCTTCCAAAATTAAGGAATGTAGGACGACCCCCCGCGCAGCTCACCCCAACCCCACACCAGGAGATTTTTAGAAAGAAAACTACAGAAAAGGCGAGGCAGGATAAGAAGGATCTGAGGAGTTCAGGGTCAAAAAAAGGACGGAAAACAAAAACAGTTTCAGCCTGTTTAACATACAGGCCCTCGGTCAGCAGCCTTCAACCCCTGAGACCCTGACTAACAACAGGTAAAAAAATGCATCCAGGTCAACACAGCCGCCCCAGCTACACCCCTGCTGTTCTGCCCTACATGACATCATCGCCCCGATATCTTGCACACCTCAGTGAGGTTTGTTTGGTTCACTCTGCTGAAGGCTGCAGGTGCAAATTGGGGAGCATCTGAACTCCCACCCCGAGCAGCTGGGATCATGTTTTCCTGACATATTCATTGCTTTCAGCATCTTTCCCCTCTTCTGCTCAGTGAGAGGCCTGGCAAAATGCAGGTGCACATTTTCAGCATCATATGACAGGGGAGACAGATTTTTTTTTTTTTGCCTCTACACAGACTTTTGGACATGAGGCAGAGCAGCACCCCGTGGTATGTTTCCTTGACATTTCCTGCTCACCCTTAAGACCTCTGATTTCAGTTTCTTCAGCTGTTTTTTTTTTTTTGTGTGTGTGTGTGTGTGTGTGTGTGTGTGTGTGTGTGTGTGTGTGTGTGTGTGTGTGTGTGTGTGTGTGTGTGTGTGTGTGTGTGTGTGTGTGTGTGTTTCTTTATTTCTCAGCTTCCTCTCCCTTGGGGAGCATCTACTGGAGCAACAAGGGAAGTAGGAGGGTTTTTTTGGCAGCTCAACATCCGGCAGAGGAAGGAGCAGATTGTGATTTCAGATGGAGCACGAAGCCCCTGACATGTGTCACCCTCCACGGAGAGGAGGTGAAAGTGATGCAGAGTGTGCATGTGACAACTGACAAAATGTCAAACAATGTGGCACAGGTCGGGGAGAAGCACAGATTTTCTGCTCCAGCTTTCTAATGTTTCAACAAGCTCACTCGGTTGTCTTGATGTGTAGAGGCTGTAACTGATTTTTCTCATCATGAGGCAAAACAAAAGCTGCATTTTCTACTCAAATAATCCACTTCTCACTATAATGTTACTTTTTTTAAAAAGATTTCTACAAATCCTTTTAATGGGTGACTGATTCTAACTAGACAAAGGTGTGATGAGGTTCCCTATCTGCTGTCTGTATGACCTCTATCATGTAGGCCAAAGTCAAACTAGTATTACACTTGTTCATGGTGATGGATGGATGGATCATTGGATCATGGATCATGGATCATTGGTGCTTTTATCCAGTCAGACATTAAAAGGGACATTCCGGTATAAAATTAATTTAGGGTCAAACACACCGTAACACTGAGTTAGACACCCCCTCGAGAGATAAATGTTGCCAACCACTTGTTTCTCTAGCTATACCAACTTTAGTAACGACCGCAGATAGTAATACACAGTGGTGTAAGGAGCCATCAACAAACCTCAACCAAAACGCCACTCTATAGCCACAAATAATGCTCAGAACAGCACCTAACTTCATCAACAGTACATGTAGGGTCGTAGCCAGACCACAAGCCACAAAACATCTTTTAGCTTTGCCTGATTTCTTTAGCAAAGAGACTAAACACAACTCACCTACTCTCTTCCAGCAGCCACTTGTTTGTAGCCAGACCTTGGGCCAGTCCATTATGGACTGCTGCGGGGTGACGCAGCTCAAGTAAAAACATTTATGACAATTTCTTCATCATTTCCTTGAAGTAATAATAATCGGATTAATCATTTTGCACTGCAGACGCGGTAGTTCTTCTGCCTTAACGTCTCAGTCTGATTGCATTTCCATGAAGAAATGATCATAAATGTTCTTCCTTGAGCTGTGTCACCCCGCTGCAAATAAGCAGCTGCTGTTCTGAGCATTATTTGTGGCTATAGAGTGGCTTCTTGTTGAGGTGTGCACATGGAGCCATAGACCGCCGTGTATTGCTATTGTGCGGTCATTGCTAAAGTTGGTATAACTGGAGAAGTAAGCGGTCTGCAACATTCATCTCTCGACGGGGTGTCTAACTCGGTGTTACAGTGTGTTTGACCCTAAATTAATTTTACGCCAGAATATCCCTTTAAGGTTATCTATACCACCAGGAAGTATTGTTTGTATGTTATCTAGGCACTCATCTTCTCAGGTTATTTCACATGCAGAAATTTAAGGAGTGAGGAGATGATATCTTGAACCCCACACAGCCAGAGCCTGCAGGTGGATGCTTGGGGGAAAGGCAGAGCTAAAGTATGAGGTGAGTCCTGATATGGGCAACAGTGGTAATGACATAGCAGAAAAAGACCAAAAACTTAGCAGTTTGATGATTGGCTGCCAAACTGAGGGGCAGGGTTTGAAAGATGAATGTGAAAATAACATTTGTTGAATGTGTAAACGCTGCAGCTCCAAAGCTCTGGGGTGGAGTTTTTAACTGTTTTTCAAACAGGCCAAAATGAATGTTTCTCTATGAGCAAAAATGACCACATGTATAAAGATTAACTAATAACTATTTTAAATTCTTGTTCAAAGATTAACTAATGGTTATTTTAATATACTTGTTTTTAATACCTGACACCTCTGGCGCAGATCAGCAGACTAACAGTGTGCTGCATAAACAGCCTTGTTTTTCATTACACATGGTAAAGAGTCACAGAGTCTCTGTTAAAAAAGAGCAGAATGAAATCTTTCCACACATACTCATGTATCAGCCCTAATCAAAGAGATAAGATGTTCCACATTGTCCACTGGGGTTGCAGAAATCCACAAAGACAGTTCCTCTCAGGAGCTCTTAGGTTGTCTGCCTGAACTAGCTCACATGCCATTTAGGAAAGTCATCACCGTTTCCCTTTCCCCTCCCTTTTTAACCCAGTTTAGTTGCATAATATCATGAAAAAATAATCATTTCTTAAAGTTCTTGAGGGCTTGGCTTTTTCTATTCACGTGTATCCATCACATCAGCCAATATTCTTTTAAAACTATCAATGACCCCCACAGTCTGCCCGAGGCCAACACATCGCCAAAGCACAGTCCGTATTTTTCCACAGACAATATTCAGAAAATTTGCCTAATTATTTTTTTGATAGTTATGTTTATACATTCAAATGAGTGTGATAAAAATGCCTGGAAACAGTTTGTCTGATTACTCTAATTGATCATTCTTCAAGTCTTCTGTGTGATTCACTCAGATCTTCTCCTTCCTTCAGAGCCACAGAACTGCATCAATTACTCAGCTGGAGCTCCAAATATGATAAACGTGCTCTTTTATTGGGTTTTAAATACTCTTGGATATTTTTATTTCAGCTAAGGGCAACAGTCTAAAGACTGCAGTTCCTCACAGAGCACCTCTGCACTTCATGAGTGTGGTTTTTTTTTCCTCACTGCACCACAATATTTTCTCAGAGGCAGTAAAAGAAAGTTGAACCCTGATCTCTGAAAGGCTCTACATTAATTCAAAGCTGTGTAAATGAAGTAAACGCTTGCTTCTACATAATCATTTTTGCTCAGGTAAGTAAAGAGAGTGTTGTGAGTCAGCTTAAGTAGTTATCCAACTAGGAGTTTGATATCAAGAGCTGTATTCTTCAAAGTTTCGATATCGAGCATGCAGGAAGAAAGGAAACACGGCAGAAAGGACAGAGAAGCAGAAGATGCTTTTTTTCAGATGTTTTATATTTTTTTGATGACAGCAGAAAAAAAAACAAAAGTACAGATTTATCTTCCTTTTCTTTCTTAATGGTTAGAGAAACCTACAAGATGAGGGGATCAGAAATGAGTAGTCTACAAGGATGAAGGACTGGATAAATGAAAACAGGCAGTGAGAGAGAGAAAGAGAGAGGGGAGAGAGGAGAGAGACAGACAGAGATCAAAAGAGGGTCTGAACTCAAAATCAAAGAAGAAGGAACAGAAAGGCGCTTCCCACTGCTGAGACCACCCCTTCCACCTTCTCACTAGTTTACTCCGAGTAACGCAGTGTGAAATGGAAACAGGGCCACAGACACAGTGGTCCACAGTGTTGTCAACAATCATCAAGTCAGAAATTCAGAGGGAGATCATACACTTAGGCTCAGTATGCAAGGTTCCGCTTTGGGCTTTGTCATCTAGACTATGTTTCTCCTGTTTTTGGTTTGCTTTTCTCTTTTCTTTTTTTCACCCCGTCTGTATCCGAAAGGTGAGTTTGTTAACTGCCATTGGACGGTCAGCTATCTTAGTCGTCTTTGTCGTGTCGGTGTCGCTATCGCAAGCGGGCTCTGCATCCCACGGCGCCTCAGAAGTTGCTCAGGATTTGATATTGAGGGCGCGGGCAGACCTGTCGTGGTGCCAATCCCTCAGACGGGCATAGCGGGGACTCTGAATTTCATTCAGGAACTTTTCTCTGACGGCAAGGAACAGAGACAGACAGGGTGGAAACAGATTGTAGAAGAGAGAGCAAATAAAAAGAGAAGTAAAGTTAAGTTACATAAAAGGTGAAAAAGTAGCACAGAAATAACAGCAGAGACAGAAATGACAGAATAAACAGACGAAAGAAGTATCAAAGCAAATCTTAAAAGGAATATATTAAGTTTAGGAGATACGCTTCCTGCCATGTATTAAACAACATGATGCCTTTTATAAGTATATGTCTGATAAATATAAAGCTACAGCTAGCAGCCAGTTACTTTAGTTTAGTACAAAGACTGTAGACAGATAACTTGGCTCTTTAAAACTGTGATAAACATTTTCCAACTATCTTAGCTTAAGCTCACTGATGAACGTGTATCTTGTTTACTGGTTTCAAATGTGGAAAAAAAATAGAATCTGATGGTTTGTAAATCATTAAAAGCCTACATCGAATTGTGAATTTGACACGAGCAAAACGATTCAAAAAAGTTGTGTAACGCTTAAGAACAACTGGAGGTGTGAACGTCTCCCAACTGATGAGGTTACCAGGAAACAGATGAGTGAGATATCTGGCTATAAAAAGGGCAAAGAGAGACTTAGTCCCTCAAAAGTAAAGAGACTGTGAGAGACTACATGAACAAAAAGTTCAACATTGTCAGAATATTGTTCTTGAATATAACATCACAAAGAATTTAAGTATTTCATCATCTACAGCACATGATGTTTGGAGATTCAGGGAGTCTTTGAAGATTTCTGTGCAATAGAGGGGAAGACAGAAAATCACTACTGGCTTGCTGTGATCTTTGGACCCTCTGGTAGCTCTGCATTGAAAACAGACATGACTCTGTAGCACAAATCACTGCATGGGTTCAGAATCGCTTTCAAAACCATTGTCTGTAAACACAGCCAGCCACTGAATCCACAAATCAATCAAACCCTAACTTTAACCGTGCAAAGAGATAAATATTTTTAAACATGATTATTCTCAAGTGAGGTGAAAAAAAAACAATTCTGTGGTCTGACAAATTAAATGGAGCCCCTGTCCTCACTTTCTAAAAAGGGTTGGTTTTGAACAATTTGCAAACCATCAAACTCTGCTTTAACTAACATTTGACAAAGCATCCCCACCTTTTTTTTGGGTCTGGAGCTGTATTAAACTGTGGTGTAAGGAAGTCACATGTCAAATTTTTGCTGGGTAAAGTCTTGTGGCAGAAGGTCTGCTAGTTATAACAGCCTCACAGTGATTATGGAATTAAAAAGTCGATGTGGTCAGGTGAGATAAAACCAGATGCAGTAAGATATTTGGAGCCCTTCAGCAGAGCCTGGTCGACTGATTCCTGTTTTCTATCCTCATCCAAGTTAAGACAGCATGCTACAGGCTTATAAGCTTGAGTACAGACATGAGAGTTTCAGGAAGCTTCTGGTTGAATAGAAAGAAGGTGGTTATGTATGTTGGAACTCCAATAAGCAACATGGAGGAAAACAAGCCACAGCGCAGATATACTTGTTCCAATTTACCACAAATGATTATTACAATGACACCACCCATGCTTGTGTTTAAAGCTACAGTTTAACCAAGGACAGATGCAAATGTTTATATATTCAAAACAAAATAAAAGGCCAAAGTGAAGCTTTCATTCACAAATGCACAAACGCACACTTGGGACCAGCGAGGTCGGACATTTTCAAGTTAGGGACACTCCAGTTTTTACCTGGCCCTCTTCATCGTTTCATCATCTGGGTCCTGCACTGAGAGATCCAGAGAGACACACATCAGCACACCTTTATGGTAAAGGTGACACACATCCTCTGAGGATTCACCACAAACAATGAGTCACATAACAACCCACAAACACAATAAACTAATCATAAGTGTTACTGGTCCTGCACAGCATCTGCTGTAATAAACTGCATGTGGAGGTGCAGATGATCTTTCAGACTGGGTACAGCCATGATAAAATAGGTGTTGCTGAAAACAGCTGATAGTCTCTGTATGGCTGAAAAATCGACTCCATGTTATCCACCTCTCCCCTGTCACTCACTCTGATCAGATCAGCTGCTCGCTCACGGGCCCCCACCTGCACTAAGCCCACCCCTAAACCATCATTCACCGATGTCAGGGCCCGATCTGCGACTTACTGAAGTCGGTGCCTGTGAGCTGAGCCAGGATGCGGAAGGAGCGGGACTGGGTGGTGCCGGTGCGGGGCTGCCAGTCCTCAGTGTCCTCAATCAGCCTCTTTTTGCTGCGGTCGTTGGGGATAAAACAGGGCACCTCCGTCTTGAGGCCATGCCTGCACACACCCAGCAGCAGCACAGGGCAGGTGTGGTTAACAAAAGCCCATCTAGGTGACAACCACTCACACCAACTCCGCTAATAATGTGACCTTGAAACAAGAGGACATCCTGAACAGATCATGCAGCACTTAACACTCAGCATCACGGTCACGGCAATAAGCCCACTAATGGATACCCATTACTGAGATTTCTCATGGGTCCACTAAAAACACTCATATGCACACTTTATTACATTAGAGATCAGATTTATGGGTGTCCTTAGATGAAATGACAGACTATCAGAATATAATACCTCCTGGACTTGTTTGTGGATACCTTTCCCTTTATCTTATTTCTTTATTAACTCGGAAAGAAGCAGCATAAATGCTTTTCACTTCCAATAAATCCTACCCACATGGTCAACTGCAGCATGCACTGATCAACCACTATGAGAGGATGAAGATGATTGGTCACAAATTAACTGTCATCTCTGACTCTATCTGAAAATCTCTTTTCTAATCATTTCTAACTCTAAGAACAAAAGCTCATTTCCCTTTTATATCAAATGAACCTTCAAAGCTTGCATGCATGCCTTCATGCAGCCACCTCTTACTTGGACGGTTGGTACATATCATCATAGTAAGTCGCTTCACTCCTGTAGTGTGAAAGTGAAGACAAATGGTATGGAAGTTAACAGGAGAGAACTCAATAAGGAGAAGGATAAACATAGGATAATATGTCTTGTTTTCACTGCTGTAGCTTCAAATTGTCCAATTCAAAGAGAGAAATGACAAACGGTTCAGTGAAACAGGTGAATCAACAGGGAAAGAGATGCACTGATTGCAGCTGAGCAGTTGTTGCAAACACTGGGACAGAGAACCTCATGTGGAGATGACAGATAGACTTTAGGTTTACTACTAAAGATAGAGAGGCAGAAAATGGACATAATTTAGCTGAACAATTTTGCAAATTATGATTTTAAATTAATAATAACTAATAATGTTAAGTTGATCACCACCAATAAAACGTGAAACTGCTGAAAGTTTCTGAACACTGCTTCAGGTCTTAAAGATAACAAAGCAAAAGAGTTGGCAACCTCTCAAAGTTATAGCAAATTAAAGACACTTTAATGACACCTAGAGATGCACCGATCCATTTTTTTTCCAATATCCGATACCGATCCAATACTACTGTTAAATGAATGAAATGTATACCTTGCCCTGAGAGTGAAGGCATCAGGCTTGACATAAGCCTTGTTACACAAAAGGTAACAAATTAACACAGATATAAATTTGCTTAATATTATTTATTAACAAATAACAAATTGCACATTAGCACATAGTAAAAATTAGTAAGACTTCCACATATTAAAAGAAAAATTAATTAAAAGAAAATAAAGACTGGATTGGAATGCTGGATCGGCTTCATTTATTAGATATCTGATCCAGTTAATTTGTCAATATTGGAGCCGATATCACATCCCGGATCGGTGCATCCCTAATTTGTATCCTGGAGTGTGAATGGAAAAGAAATATACTAACTTTTCAATGGTTTCCCCCTGTAGCGTGAAAAGACAAGACGAAAAGAGAAAAACGACAGAAAGACGTCAGAGCTTGCTTTTGAGTCAAACAGACAGAAAACCACAGACTTTCAGTTTATAACAAACTTCATACAGAACAGATGACCAAAATACTGTCGGATGCACACACCATGCAAGAGGTGACAGGAGACATGCAGCCGTTGTCAACAGGCTCTGCGAGAGAAAGACAGCATTGTTTGTTCGTCAGATCGTCTATTGTCAGCCTGACCCAAAATGACTCAGTTGATTTGGCACGAACCTTTAGCCCGATGCTCCCCTCACCCATGTGCACAAATGCTTGACAGAGTTATGTAAATGTCTGTGGAATCTGCCAAAGAGAAGCCGGACAGAAAAAACCTTTGCCTTGTTTTCTGCGCCCTCAGAGTTAGTCTAATTTTTCTCGTGCTCTGATACCCTGTCAACAACGATAAATGCCACGGCAGTGATGCATTGTGATGTCAGAGTAAGCTCCGCGCAAACAACATCACACAAAACTAGTCTCAAAAAGACAGGCCAGGACGCATTAGACATAAGCTGTTTGCATCGAACTGCTTGCTGTCGGGAGGGATCCAACAATATCTTCATCAAAACCGTGCTGACAGCTCTAATCAGGCTCTATTCTTCTCAGAGAGGGCCGGAGGAATGCGTTTGGCCATCTGCACCGAAACTTGTGAGTCCTCTTTTCGGCATCAAGTAAGGCTGCTTAAATAATCCAGCAAGCTGTGTGAGAACTCAGCACAATTTATGAGTGAGGCTAAATACAGCAACAGACCACATCTCATCAACGGCTGCAGTCAGACCACTACCAACACACAAATTACAGGAATGACTCTGGTTTGTCCTTGAGGACCATTTCATGCCAGGGCGCCACTTTGGGGATCATTTCCACGAGTTTTGATCCAATACTGGAATCCTCATAAAATCTAAAATCTGAGTGGTAAAATAAATCTGCAGAGGACTTTCATTTCGTTTATGTAATTACAGCAGAAGAGTCCGACCATGGGAGCTGAAAGTGTATTTCATTGCAAAGCTGGCACAATACAAGCACCAAGACTGCCTCAAAACAACAATCAGCACTGGGTGAAACAACACAGTCCCTACAACCACCCAACCTTTTACAATAGAAAACCGATTAAATAAATATTAATGCTCTCAAGATGACACTGTGGAGAATTCCCGACTGATAAATTCTGACTTTGAGGACATGTGAAAATAAAAAGGTGCTCCTTCACAGAAATGGTTCGATGCCATAAAATGTATCCCTGTTATGATTTTTGCAGCAACAGGAGCTTAAAAGATGTACCGTGATCAAAGCTCTCAGTCATTATTTTATGTGACAGAGAAGAGGACATATGTTCATAAAACGCTGCATCTCTTTGTATTAATCCAACTCCCACACATAACGTGGGGATGAAATGAACTGAAGCAGAAGATGAGAATAAAATACACACTCAAACCATGACTTTTACAGCCACCGAGAAAGCCCAAAACACGTCCAGACACAAAATTGAACTGATTTTACCAGGCCCTAAACCTGCGGCTGATTATTGCCCCATCCATCACAAATCTCTGTAAAAGACTTTTTTTTGCCATCACATAAACCCAGCTGCAGAGGTGTTCAAGAAGCTGGGAGCCAGCTTAAATGTCAGCTACGCTCACAAAATGTTTGCTTTCATCTGTTCCATCTGGGCTGACAAGATCATTTCTGTTTGGATAAAATGCAGAAAACCTCCTGATTTGCCCTCAATTATTCTTTGCTTAATGTGGCAAAATCTGCAGAGACAGCTTATCACAGCAGGTTCATACAAAAGTCATCATATGCTTGCAGTCTTGTTTTAACGTCGACATGGAGGAATTGAGTGATACTAAGAAATGAGCTGGGATATTTTGTATTATGTCAACCTTTTTCTGGACTGTTTCTTAAAATCTGTGGCACAATGTTGAGGGTAAAGATCATTAGATAGTAACCATGGAGCTGTTTTTATTTTCCTTGAGCATAAAACCAGGACAATTAGGTCAAAAATACCATTAAAACCACACCAGTCCCCGTTGTGGTTCTGGAGGAAGTTGTGCTGTTTATCCACCTACCCATTCTGTGGCTGCTGCACACTGGCCGGGCCCTGTGAGCGGGGAGTGTTTAGTTTAGGCGAGTAGGCCACAGGTTTAATAACAGGTCCTGAGCCGGCACTACCACCACCTGCTGTAAACGGCCTCGCCATCTTGTTAATGGTTGTGCTGGGGGCAAAGGAGTACTTTGGAACAGAAGCGGCAAGTGAGTCCTGTGAGGGTGTGGCAGAGGGACACAATGCAGCACAGTGCACAACATGCAGTCAGACATTTTGACACACAGTAAAGCTTCCTTCTGCTCTTACACAATCCCGAACTTTATGTAAAGAAAGCTTGAGAGCAGTCCAATTTTTTTCTCATGATTACACCAGGCTGCAGGAGCCACTTTGTCAAAGCCTGCAGGCTTTTTTCTGCACACGGAAGAACTGCTTAAGATGTGTGAACACAGCCATTTTATTTGTGCTGGCAGTCTGCCACAGTCTGGCCAAAGTAATCTGCTTCTGCAGCTATAATGAACATGCTCAAAGGGAGAAATTGTCATATTTGACAGACATGTCTCCCTAATGAGATTTCTCACCCAGAATAATGCATGGGCTGCAAAAGAACTCGAACTAAAGTGGAACATTGACTTTGTTAAAGTCTTATGCTCCTGCTGCTTTAGTAAAAGTAAACTGCAGCAAAGAGCAGTTCAAGACACTGCTATAGTTTCAAACTGGAAGAATCAGCTCTCAGAGTTCAACGATGAAACTTCATATAAGTGTTACTTTAAAGCCGGGGATTGTGTAAGGCTTTGCAAAATATACCACATCTCTGACAACAGTATTCATAACACATCTCTCCATCCAGCAAACTACTCATTTAGTGACTCACTGGTGCTTTGCTAATCCACAGTGCATGGACTCAGAGTTTGACAGGTGAACCAGGTGAATCAGATGAATTTAAACACTAAGTGACACAACACACTGTTGAGGCGAATTGCGAGCTACCATCAAAGAAAGTTTCAAAATCGATCAATGTCACTGCGTCCAGAGGAAGAAGACCATGCTAGAGCATCCAAGTGTTCATTCAGAGGTGTGCTCAGTATCTCAGACAAATTGAGTCTTACCTTCTGGTCTCCGGCAGCTTTGAAAGCTCTGTGAAAAGAAAAGAGAGGACTGTTATTAGAATGCACCAGAATCATCTCAACCTCACACATTTAAGCCAAGACACAAAATCTGTAAAGTTCAGAAGCGTCTGTGATGTGCCAGTCAAGAGAATGTTGAACATCCATCCAAATTGTAGTGATAACAACTAGGGCTGTAAAGTCCCAGTGGACTGGTCAACTTATTGGTTGATATGTACGAAGTCAACCAAAATTCTGATTGGTCGATTCGATTTTTTTCCGCATCAATTTACGGTCTATGCTTAGTCTCATTAGGAGGAATGTACCAAGTGCTAGTGGGGGTGTTTTCAGAGCTCCCCTATTTCACAGGCATAGACTGTATAGAATGGACAGAGTCTGCCTCCTTGCTGGGTGAAGCCACTCCGAGACAGCACCCTCTGTTGATGGGCTGCAGTATAGGTCATAAATCCCGCCTCCACCAGCAAAGCTTATGGGGCTGTGGACAAACTTTAGAAATTTATTACACAGAACATAATTTTTTCTCCCCCCTGCTTGTGATGTTGACATGCAGTTATTGTAAGACTGGTTTGAGCTCAAGTCCTGTTTTTTCTGTGAAGCTCCGTTTTTAAAATTTATTAGGGGGTTCATGTTTGCTATGATCAACACCTGATACAGCCTATGGGCGTTCAGGGATTGCGTAGCTCTCCCGGGAGGTATACACTGTTTGAGCCAAGCGTCATCACAGCGACTCTCGGCGACTGCGCGGCCGAATGCGCGCATCGCTACTGCGCAGCGCTGGTTTCAGGAAATGAAGAAAAATCCTGGAAATATCGAGAGCTATTTGGCTTCAAATCCGTATACAGGCGATAGGCAGAACCAAGTTGTCCAAAGTATATACAGTCTATGTTCACAGGTAACAGTCTGTCTCAGAACACCCCCCTTGTTTTCACCATTTTGGATTCGCCAAACCCACTGGAGGCTGGCTGGAGACAGGAAGATTGAAGAGCGTCCATGTTAATCAATGTCCAATGGTTTGCTGAATATAATAATGTTTAATTTCCTTCTTGTGCTGATATCAGTATATTTTCAACCCGCCAAGCCGCGCTTCGTTATCCCCCGCAGCAGAAGGGTTTGCCATCAGTTGGAAATCTATTCGATTCTTGGTCAAAAATTTCAGGGTTTTAGTCGACCAAGTATTCCTTTGTTTGATTGCAGCCCTAATAACAACAGTCATAATTCAAACTATACCAAATCGTTTATAATGCCCTCTTTTGTGCTGCCTAATAAGTTTTATGCTAATTTCAAAGGTCTTGTTCAACAAATATTTATGATAACATTAGTACTAGCATCACAAGGTAAAATACCATCCCTATTACACACAAGACCATCAACCGAATTTCCACAGAAATCTATGAATGACGTAAAAAGAGACCTTAGAAATGACTCATTGGAGTAAAGTGCATTTTAATGAGAGTTTTTTGGAGGTTGTGTCATCTTTGGTCAAAACTAAAGCACGCTAAAGCTCTGCTGGAGACACTTTATTGAAGGACTGAGTGATCAAATAGACGTCTCACATGTTCAGTTGCGCATAAATTAACTCAACCAGCTTATAGACACGAACCCTACTGAGAATGTGCTCAAAAAATCCACCGCAGGAGTCAAGATGTTACTCATACCTTTGGCTTTGATATCTTAGCATGTGGCTTGACTTGTTTTATCCTACTACTTGTTTTTCAAAGTCTAATTCTGCGATCCAAGTACACCCATATCTCAAAGATACAACTAATCAGCACAGATGATACAAGCAATATGAATGAGAGAAAAAGTGAGAGGTCATACTAACTCTCAAATCTTCCCCACAGTAGCATTATAACCACTCAAATTTTACCACCCTGCATGCAGTGTAAGGCTGCATGCCCTCAGATTCACCCACCCTACTAAGAATATTAAGAGTGCCACAGAGTTGTACACGTCTTAACTCTAATCCCAGGATTCACATTACTGCAGTGCCTCTGCTGACTGGAGCAACGCATTAAATTATATATTTACGCATTAATTTTGAAAGCGCCCAGCTTTGAATCGCTTATGGAGTCTAAATAAGGCCAAATACAAACCACCAACAAACTCTGACCAGTGTTTTCAAACTACACAAAGCTACAAAGGCTTCAGTGAGAAAGAACCGGTCCTGCAGTCACGCTTGTTGTTTCACACCACAGTCACACAAAACAATGGACAGCTTTTCCTGTGACAATGAGAAATGAGTAACTATTCATGTCCTCGCCTGCTCATCCGCTGATAGTCATGTTAAAGGCAGGATAAATGCCGGGCTGTATAGATACAGAGAGAGGAGTTCGGGGGAGGCATGCTGACATGCCTGAGTGTGTTACACTTCTGAGGAGACAAATCATTGTGACATTTATGGCGCTTCGCCTTGCCTTAACCTACAATCTGATGAGTCACCCTTAAAATGTGAGATATGATATAAGGAAAGTGTTAGACAGCTGTGGAGCAGAGTTTTTATTTGTCAAAGCAGGCTTACGTGACCAAATGTGGGAAGGATTGGGTCTCTGTTCCATGTAATATGTTGAAACTGAATAGGTTTGCTCTGAGATCATTTCCTGCGTCGTTTCATGGGTCACTTATTGTAGCTGATGCATGCTTGACTTACAAGCTGATGTTAGATAAAGACTGAAATTTCACCACTAAAAAACTCCCAGGATACTCTAATCAACTTTGCACACACTTACCCCAACTTTCCAGGCCAATCATCAACAGCCAGCACTTCAATATGGACCGTTTGTATCCCTGTAGATGCAACATGATCTACTTTGTGTAAAACCACAAATCTATTGCTTATACTTTTTAATACCCTCCCTCCTAAAAGGCACTGGATCAAGCTTCAACCTTCTCATAAAGCAGGAGATGATCACTGGGTTTGAACAAAATGAGGCACTCAACCAAACAATAGACCATATCTCATCACCGTGCATCTGTCTTCCTTCCTTGATATGAAACAGGCTGTGCTGGAGCCAAGATACGAATAAATAAAAACTGACAGTGGAGCTTCTCTGAGAAATGTTTCAGGAAAACATTATTTGCTTGTCTTACAGAGTAATAACAATGGGAAATGGAGAGGAGGCGAGGGATTCAGGGGAGGGGAGGAAGGTGATATATTTACAAAAGCAGGACTCCACAAAGAGATGAAAAATCGAATTGGCGAAGCTCAGAAAGATCTAAAAGTTTGTTAAGTAAACATGATGGGTTTTTCAAACTTTTTCTCAATAACATTACGATATTCTCTCTGAGACAACCATTCTTCACTCCTACGAACTTCTGAACTTATGTCTGGGGTTTTTAAGTAAACAGTTCCTTATTTTGAAACTAGATCGTCCTTACGACTAAAACGCCTTTAAATGATGAACAAGTCCAGACACAGACGTACAAAAACAGACTTTTAAAAAAGGCTTTCAGACAGAGGGGAGGAGGGTATGTATGAGAGACGCTCTGTCCCTCGGGAGAGAGCATGATGACTCATTCTTAACCCCTCACAATGATGATAATAATAATAAAAATAATAATAATTAAAAAATAATAATAATAATAGTAAAAAGACCCCGCTTCTTTGTTCTGTTCTTGCTGTCTTTTTATAACCACTTTCAAACTTTAACCCATGACTCTCTAACTCAGTCTCCTACAAGTTTCTAAGACCTTTGGCCTGTGTCTGTCAGAAAACAATCATCATGCCGACTCATAATCGGTATCTTTGTCTTTGACTAGTAACTCAGATACTCTATATCTTGTCAGCTATGGGTTTGGCAGGGTACTAAAACATTTTAAAAAACACTGAATACCACATCAGTTGACAATAAGAGTAATCAAAAATCGTGTATTTCACCCGTCTTTGTCAGAACATTCTTGTTGCCAACATTCACCCTGATCTCTGTCTGTAAACATCCTTTTATGTTCCAGTGTTTTTTTAGTTTTTTTGAGAAACTTTATCAGGACCTGAAACTGTTCTGAATCCCAACAAAACAAGGAAAACAAAGACATTCTGTCAGCATGTTACAGCTGAGCCTATTGGCAAGCAAAAGCAAACTAACAAAACATGAAAAGATTTGTGATTACTCGCAGCCTCATTACCTGAGCCCATTACCAAACCGAAAGGAGTCCCATGACAGCAGTGCGGCTCATCTTTGTTACTTAACAAGCTGGTAGATTTCTTCTTTCAGAAGGCTTTAAATTCTCAAATGGTTACACGATTGAACATTTTTTTGGGAGGGGAATCCTTTTCTCATAATTAAGCTCCTGACTTAACACTTAGGCTTGTTCTCCACAGAGATACTTTATCTGACAGGATTTTCTGGCAGGAGTTATGAGAGCAGGTATGAGTGCTGCCTGAATGAAGGTTATCCAGTGCTAATTAAAATAACTCAAGCGAAATTAAAAACATTGATTTTTCTGGCTCACACTTCAAAACAAAGTGCTTTAATTAAAGAGAGTCTCTCTAATTTCATTACAAAGCTACAGCATAATGTAAGGTTCCTGCAGCTCCTCTGAAATCTGTTTATTTCAACTTAACAAAGGCCAGTGTATCAGCCTGACAGCATTTGGCAAGCAGAGCTGCTGCTAAGTGCAGACCACTCACCCACACTCAGACACACTTTTGGACTGATAAAGATCGAATTTTACTCTAATGCTAAACTAGACAGAAACCCTGTGCCTCCTTTACAGCACAATACTCTTCTTAGCTCAAAAAATCAATCTGCAGAGGTTATGTAACTGCATGTAGTGTTACGCGTACTTAAAGTATATCTGAAGTCGACTGATTAAGTCTATTTTAATGTGACTGAAAAAAACACCTACATTCTTTGTAGGGCCGGAACAATATGCTTTTTTCCTGATTCGATCCTTCTACGATTTTTTGGATGCCGATTGGATTTAAATTGCAATTCTACGATATTGTCGATTTTCTCGATCTTTAGTCTGCATTTCTAACACCAGTGAAACAGTTAAATGATTATGATTGTCTACTTACTATTCAAGGAACCATATTTCCTCAAAAAATACACATCACATGTAAGTCAGTTTTTAAGATTTATTCTTAAATTAAAAAAAAAAATTGGTTTTTGAACATAAAAATCGATTTCAAAATTGTAAAACAAAAAATCGCGATACTTATATGAATCTATTTTTTCTCCCACCCCTAATTCTTTGTACCTGCTTTTTGCAAGATTTGAGTTTTCAACCTAGAGAGGGTCTGAATACTGGCCGGAGTGTTCTGGCTATTTTAATCTATCATGTTGCTTTCAAACCACCTGTGATGCAAAGCAATCATACTTTGTCGTTTTGCTCTGGGTTAAATTGTGCACCTGTCTAATGGATGCGGTTGCAACCACACATTGCTTTGGAATTGGCAGTTCGTGGTAACTAGGACATGTCTGCCTGCAAGACTTTGGCAAACATCTGAAAGAAATAAGCCTGTGATAAATAAAAACCTAAAAATAGAACCACCTGCATATGCTGTGCACAACACCAATCCTGCAAGGGAATTTGCAGAAGAGAGTAATTAAACTACAGTTTGCCAAAATTTGAAATCTATGTGGATTGAATTGGGCACGGTGTGGAAAAACCAAACAGACTGAAATGCCAGGAGAATTATTTTCCGTCTCATCTTAACAGCAACGACTGGTAAGCAAAAATAAAGTACTGCAGCAATTACCATATGGTAGTGTTGTCTGTTGGAAATTTGTGGGAGTTCTTTTTGGCTCATTTGCTCATTTCTAACCAGAGTTTAATGCAGTCTGTTCAATGTATAAAACTCTGCCAATAACTCTAGTAGAAAAAGAGAGGCACAGAGTGGATAACACCTTTGCCAGCAAAAAACAAATCTGACAACGTTTAATAGTAAAATCGAGACAATGAAATAAAAAACTTCTAGAGTTGTAACTTTGATGTTTTGCTACCATCTGTCACATCCAAACTAATTTTAAGGACATTAAAAGAAAAAAGGGTGTGTTAGATTGTTGGAGCCGGTGAAAAAATGGAGGGTGATGAGAGGTCAGGTGCTGTTTGATTTCATCATGCACTGCCGGGCGACTTACTTGCTGAGGGTAAGAGTGAGGGAGTCTGAAGCCGCTCTGATCTTGTTCTGTGCCTCCACATGGGTCATCTCCTCTGCATTAGTGTTTTCAATGGACACCACCCAGTCTCCGACACCGACTCCTGCCTGGGCTGCCTTCCCACCCGGGGTCAACTGGAAAAAAAGAAAACAAAGAAAGACAGAGGAAGAAAAATTAAAGGTATGTGGGAACAGGGCATTTACAGGGGGGGGGTGAATTGAAGCATGTTTAAAAGGGCACTAATAGTTACTCTTAGTGAGTTCTCCATCTTTAAATATGACAAATACATGATATCATATGAGGTCCAGATTTCTGCAGTATTATGGTGCGTTTGAGTTACCTCGGAAGTCAGATGTCCGAGCTGGGACTGACATCACACCCGAGTTACCAGCGTTTCAGTTACCAAGCCGGAAAAAAGCAATATCAGAGGAGGAAACAAAACAGCTACATCTACGAAAGATATTTTAGCGCTTGCCTTTTCCTTGCTCATATTCGGACAAGGCAAGCGCTAAAATAACTTTGGTAGATGTAGCTGGTTTGTTTCCCCTCCGATTTTGCTTTCTTCTGACTTACGCTGGTAACTCGAAGTGACGTAATACCAGCTCAGACTTCTGACTTCTGAGGTTACTCGAACGCAGCATTGAGTTGTATGTTGTTCTTTATGTCTGGGAGTAATCACAAAACACAACAGACATCTTTTAAACTTTTCCTTGTTTGGTCAGCGGATAGAAAATTAGAGTGAAAAAGTCTTTCAGTATCATTTTATGACCTCACTGAACGCCTCATCTCATACATGCAAGCAGCTCAAAGCCAAATTCAGGGAAGTGTAAACACACTAAGAGTCATGGTCACTTGACTTTCCTGTCATTTCTGTTAACACAGCTTAATGGTAGACTCAGGGAGTCTGTGTGTCTGGGTCTGACTAGTCAGCCGAGATGTTTCACTCAACACTGTCAGGAACAGCGTTTACAGGTCATCATGATGTCATCAGTCATCAGCATATGATTAACTGCAGATGTGACTTCTGACTATGAAAAGAGCTCTTAAAAGCTGCAGACAGGGACCATATGTTTCTAATAGTTACAGCATTTACTGGAACAGCCACCTCCTTCTCAACCCACACAGGTAAGTCACAGGTTTCACCGACAAAAGGATGACGTCATCCTCACAGGGGGTGTCACACAGACTGCATTTGCTTTGAGTCAGAGCGAAAGGCTGGAGTCTTGTTTGAAAAAAGGGAAACTTCGCATAGTCTGTATAGGTAGTAATGGTTTCCTACATGTACACAAACTACACTGTCTGCTCTCTGTGTGTTAGTATTTCTCAAGGACATGGCAGAGATGCCAAATCCTGTTTAGTAAGGGCTTAGTCAGCTTGCCCATGCAGCTTAATGAAACTCAAGACTTGTGTCAAATTCTCAGATAACTGGAGTACAAAGTGTTCAGCATCAGATAAGTGAGCGGGTGCCAGGATTTCTGGAAAAAAAAAAAACCTATTAGGATTACTCTCTGATGTCATGGATCCCTGCAAATGTTAGCTCATCAAAAGCTCAGAGGACTCAGCGGTTCAATCAATAGTTTTCAGCCATGTTCGGCTAAGCTATCACACTTGCTGCTTTGATTCTTCACATTAAACACAAACACCGGTGCGAGCAGCGGGTAATATGCTCTGTAAAGTGACGACAGCTCAGAATAAAAAAAAATACTCCCCAGCCTGCAAAGACAGCAAAGTTAAAGCCTGCTTTACATCAAAACACAGCAAGGCTAAAATTAGGAAGAAAAGCATTCCTCGGGGGCAAACCAAGCCAGACTCACTTTACAGCCAAGTTCAAACATCACTTTAATTGCCTTGATTCGCATTCACTGGAAGCAATTAGAGGGTCACGACAGATAGCATTTTTCACAGTTAAGAAGGAACCCAAGCTTACACTAGAGAAAAACAGCTATGACATGGACATAAGTGGCATATGCATACGGGGGGCACGGTCTGGCTTGATGCCATCGAGGTCACTGCAAAGAGCTGCAGCCCTCTTTTTACGACTTTACTGTAAAACCTGAACGCCTTGTAATTCTACCAAAATAAAGCAATGATTTTGTTTGTGTTTCCCAAGGGCCTTCACCACAAAAGGTGCTCAAAGCCTCCAGAAAGCTTGAAGAGAAAAGAAAAAAAAAGCTCATAGCCTGTACAGTCATAGACAACCTGAAAAGAAAACCTAATCAGTGTCAGCTTATGAGGAAAAATAATAAAGACCTTTATGTGAGTTATATTGGGCTATAAAAGAGACTATAAGAGCCAAAGTTAGTCTTAATTTGATAATACAACCCAGGTAACATAGACAGGTGGCCGATTAAAAGGACAATTCTGAATAAATGTGGAGCAGGGGATCTACAAACGTCTCCTCCACAGAGAGCAAATCAGGTCTGTGACTCTGTTGATGAATGTAAAAAACAAAGAAAACCATTTTTCACGCTCCAGATCAAGACTAAAGGAGTAAAGTTAAGGAGATTTGTGTTTGATGTTTTCTCATCACCACCTTCATCTAAAGAATAAATTTGTGAACAGCTTCAGGCGCAGAGTTCATACAGAAGATTTTCAGAGAGCACATAACCTGTTTTGCAGCCTGATGACCAAAATAAATCTCTGACCTTTAAATTGCCTTTGCCTTCAGTTTGTCCCATATGAACCAAAAGTTTATTACTGACCTAAAAGAGGAGCAGATATGAAGCCATAAAGAGTGCAGATGGTAAATGGAGGTGCATGTGTGTCTGTGTGAGTGGAGTTAGTGATGGACACAGACACCTGTGCTCCTGGCTCAGGTTCAGAGTGCAGCTGCTCCCTCACTTGAGAAGGCTGCAGTTAAAGTTGCTTCGCTCAGACCTTTGGTTGGTAGGGGGCGGATAGTAATCCAATACCCCTCCAGCAGTTTGTCAATAAGGGGAAGGACAGTGAAAAACATGTTCTTAAATCCAACACACTGCTGTGTGCCTCAAAACAACCAGGGATCTGACATGATGGTTTATAGTCACAATGTACAGTAACACCATGAAGGAGATGGATTTTTTAATCAGCCGGTTCTTCTGTCTGCTGTTTGATAGATTTTTCCTCTCGTGCAAAAATGATTGTAACATACCTCACCCGCCTGAAGTTACTCACAACCACTGTGTTAGCCTTCAAGCTAGCGGCCTGTTTCAAGGCTTTTTGGCAGAGTACCACAGCAGAGCTGTTTTGGTATGCTATCGAATTTCAAAGCATTAGCCAACCTTTCAAAATGCATCGTCTTGAGTTCACCTTTGAAGTGCTCCCCCTGACTGACCCTCCAGGTGAGCTAGGCCCTCCAACTCCCCTACGGCGTCTCATGCTTGTTTTTGGTCAAATTTATAATGCAGTAAAATTTATCTACAGCTGTGGATACACTGAGCTAAGGGCAGAGTTACTCTGCCAGTTTGATTCTTTCCACGGCTATTTGGGGGCCGAGAGACAGTCTGTCCTTACATCACTCACACAGCACAGCTGATGCAAAGCCATAAATATCCCTCTGAGAAATAGAAAACCAAACCTGCACGTATGTGGTCCCCCCATAATGACTTCAGAGGAACACCTAGCACTAATTCACCTTAAAACAGTGCTGCACTGATCACAACATAAGACATTCACATCCAGCAAGTCACAAACCGAGTGCCCCCTGCAAGCAATCTATCAGAAAGTCCTGAATTATTAATCCAGCCCTCTAACAAGGCCTCTTTTCCTTCTGTTGTGTGTGTGTATGCGTGGGAGGAGAAGTGGTTTAAGGGCTACAAGTGATAAAGCAACAGATGGTCAACAAGTTGGACGGAGACACTCACAGAAACAGGAAAATAAGACTCGAGACACATCCAGCTGTGTTGGATGAGAGGTGTTCACAAATCTGCCCTCTTATTTATTGACTTGACATCATCTGTAATTTCCTCCGAACATTTGATTCAGCGGTGTGGCATGTGTTTGTTGATAGAAAGCAGATGGTGCTCGAAGGGCCCTGTTATAGTATCATAATGTTTATGTAATCAGGATGGCACGAGATCTGGGGCAGATACAAAGAGGAACCCCTCAGAGGAGTTTCAGGAGTGACACAGACTGGGGTAGACTGAACGGCAATGAAAGTGTTACGACGACTGTGCTTTCTGAACTTATAAGCCTTTCCAGCTAAAACAGGATGTCGAGGAAGACGTGGGGAGAAAGATATGGTTTACCAAAAGTAGGCCTCTGTCTCCTCAAGGTCAGGGAAGTCTTTAAGGAATCTGAAAAAAGAGCTGGTGCTTATGTTGGCATGAAAAGGGTAAGACACATCAGCTCAACCAAGTCTTCTCAGATTTTCAGTTCTCAGTTTTCTCCTTGTGTGTGAAAAGGTCTGACTGGACGTTTAACCCATGTTTGACCAAACCGTATGAGATAGCTGTTGGACGACAATCTCTCGGCACTCAAGGACTCAAGTAGCTCCAATGCCACTACTGCAAAACCACAGAATCACATTACTTGTCTGCGTCATAAAGTTCAGTTTCATTTTTTCTGGTCTTGACAAGTGTTTGCACTAAGTTTCTATCCTGGCATTGGTTGGTCTACAATTCACGATGACTCATTCTGTGAAAATAATGAGATTTTGTCCCCTATGGTTTTGGCGGCGCTTTTGGAAGTCTGGTGAAGTAACCCTGATGATATCATCAAGGGTGGATGATTAGCTAAGGTTTAGAGACTGAAGGTTTTCATTTACGAATGAAATCTTATGTTGATAACTTATGGTTTGAATTAAAAAAAGGCACTGGCACAGAGCAGGCCGGGTTGTAATGAAACACTGTTGAGCTGCATGCTTGGATATGGTTTTTGAAGCTTGACCCAAATGTTTCCATGTAGACAATTTGAAGATCTTGCAAGGCACCCTACATCGAGAAAGGTCAAACTAGTTGTTGGATTCCTGTTGATTACAAGCTGAAAGTCACTGATATCTAATTCCATTTTGTATCAATGATAATCAGGACAATCAAGCAGGCTGAAGTTGTTGGGGTTCAGACGCCAGGTTTGCTGACACTTGTGTTGGACAGCTTGGTACAGTTTGGTATGGTAAACCCTGATCTTGCATGCATTTCCACTGCCTACAATACACCCTGATGCTTCATGCAGGAAGTGTGTTGGTTGTGTGATAGCTCTGGGACGGCCCCATTTTCATTTCAGTGTGTCAGCATATTAGACAATTCATACAAAGTCATTTAGTCGACACTTTTGTCCAAAGCTACATGTAACCAAAAACAGAAATTTAGATAAGAGTGAGCTTAGTTTGGGGGAAACCGTCATTAACCACACTGACTGCAGAAAAGCTTTGTTAATATTTCTTCTTGTGTCTTCTTCTTGTCTTCTTCTTTCTCCATCTTTTTTGCATCCATCACTGGGCCCCTCTCATCGCTCAGCTGGTATCTCTGTATTTAATTCAGCATCATAAGACCAAACTCCAACAACGGTACAATACCCGTGAGCACTGCCTGATATCGATAAAACAGTACATTATATACTGTACGTTTTAAAGAGATAAAACCCAGTACGATCTCTTCCTCTTTTTTCAATTAACAAAAAAAAGTGTGTAGTTTGACCCTCCAGGGTGAGATAGGTACACCGGGCACCCCATCATAAGGGCTCCAAAAAAGTAGGACGGTACAGATACCTTTCCTTTCTTTTGACAGTAGAAACACAAATAAGTGCGGATTGTGTAAAACTGAACTAAATTGGACTGCTCAGGGGAAACGCCGCTGAGTAACAAAGGGGTGACCAGGAGATAAGATAAGATAGTCCTTTATTAGTCCCACAGGGGGAAATTCCAAATTTACAGCAGCGATAAATACAAAAGAGAAATAAAAGGATGAAGAAACTTGGACTTAAAAAATATAAAAGAGATATATGAGTGTTAACTTGTGATAGATTTCAGTTAAACTGAAAGAAGACCAACTTGTTGTTTCTTTTATTTTAATCTTTGTGGTGAAAATGACTGTGTGATGGTTTTACTAGTTAAAAGATTTAATTTCACACAGAGGAAACTAAAATTAGGATATTGTTGTAAAAAAGGAGTTGAATTTAAGTTCAGAGCATAGTTTCGGAGTTGATAAATGGGTGCGTGCAGATTATGCTGAGAACAGAAAGTTATTTTCTCTTCTATATGACTTAACTGTTTGTCTTGGCACTGGCCCCCTTCCTGATTTCACTTGGAAAGTATTCCAATCGGATTGAGAGAGTCCATCAACTCAAGAAAAGTGAGTGTGGAAGACATATTAGACACAGAGAGGAGACAAGAGGATTTTCTGTTGGCAGTGACAGGGTGGATACGAGGAAAATGCCAGGAATGCTGAGAAAGCATAGATTTCAAGGCTCACAGACGGAGGAGGAAGGAAACAAAAGCATTTGTGGAGCATAGAACCCCCCCACCCACACACACACACACACGCGCGCGCACAAAGATGTAAGTCGTCAGACCCATAACTTTCCAAATCAATGCTAAGTGTATCAGAATCCGCATTACAAAACAAAAAAAAAACTCTGTCAATGATTAAAACTTGTGTTATCGATGATGCTGCAATTTGCCAGCGAGGCCCAACATAAATGAGCTAAATAACAATCAGCACAAAAATGACTAAGTCTTAACAACAATAACTGTCATTTAATCCATACCAAAAACACTTAGCTAAATGCTGCAAGGCAAAGAGACTGGAGGGGATAGCTCTGAGGAGATTAATGAGTCCAAGCTTTTTGTCCTGTCACTCCACATGTTCTTCATTGAGTAATGGCCTGTCACTCACTGTCTGTGCACAGATACTTATCTCATCAGCTACAGTCCAGTTAGGAAAGACCACCCACTAAATTCATCCAGCATAAGTCTACTGAGTGAAGGCCTGGCTTTTCTTTTCCAGTTACTGGGGGATGCTGTATATCTTTGAGGTTTACATCCCTTGCCTGGCTGTTTTTATCCTCTGTGCCTGTGTGATTCACCTGCCTGTCTTTTTATGACGAATGCGAGGAGAGCCAAAGCCAGAGAGAAAATCCTGTGACATCCTAATAACTCCTGTAGCCTGAAGCCAGGTGACTCCAAGAACAAGCCACAAAGATATTAGCCACTAACCGGTCATTATCTCCAATCTTAGCAGTCATTATTAATTTCTCCTCAAGATGCTTAGACTAAACTGAGTCCAACAAAATGTCTAAGACACTAACAGAGGTGTTCTTAATCGTCACAGAACAGAGCTTTGAGCTGTGTTTCTGTCCGCATAGAAAGTGGATCATTAAGTCTAAGATACCTGGATTGCAGAAAAACTGGCCTTCTGCGCTGGCTCCAGATGATTCAACTACAACTACTGGCACACCCACTGACATTCACTCTGATACTGCTTGCCAGTGTAGGGTGAAATTCCTTGTATGCTCCTACATCACTCCAAAAACCCATGTTTGTCTTGGACCAGTTGTCGAATCAGGTTTTTACATCTGCTCGGTCTTTTATGGGTAGAAGAAGATGTTATTTGTCATGAATCATAGGGGAACGTCAGGTTCCTGTATGTGAAGGCTGCCAGGGAACAGACACAAGACATGTACTGACAAGGCTGGTGATAACTACTGTCCTAACAACTAGATTACATCAGCTCTACACAGTACACGCGTCAACCTGTGCTACTTTCAACACAAAACAGCCTCAGCTATGAGACATCCTACTTATCATTATTAATCAAAGACACATAAAATGCCACATCATCTATTTGCAGGTTTTAATCACTTCAACTGTCTCACATACGCAAACAAAAAAACAATTGGGAGGTGTTTAAAGGACTGGGAGCATGTGGGTTAACCTTGGGAGGCCTGACCCATGTATAATTACCTATTAACTTCTAATTATCTCTAAAAAGTGAAGCTGCAAAGACAGATCAGAGTCAAAGATGTATAAAATGTAAATCAGTCTAGCACTCTTAAATGACCTCAGTCTCTGGGGTAGCAATGTAACAACGTCAATAGGGACTGAGTGCATAATAGAAGGAGAGATATGTGTGGCAATAGCTGGCAGCAACGTTGGAATGATTTTATGCGTGCGCATGCGTGTGAGGCTGCAACTGAAGAGTCTGTGTGTTTGTCAGGCAAAGCAGCGGTGCACTTATAAGGCCTGGAAAGTGGTTGCTGCTCTCTTGAATAGTGACGGCAGTTTATAGACTCTTTGACAATTCATTTATTGGAGAGGTAGTGACCCAACATGGAGAGTACAAAGCACAGAGAGACACACAACAGCTTGTCCGTCCGTGCTTTTAATCCTAATGATGCAACGTCAGTGGATGTTAAAGCTGACTCCATGAGGTGGTAATGCACCATAAAAATCAAGAACGAACAGTCTGAGTGAGCACAGCTACCAAAAGGCAAACCAAACAGGGGAGAAAAACAACAAAGGAGCATGCATATGCTCAGGTGGAGTCATTATATGGTAACCATGGCTACTAAAAACTATCTGTCGCTGCAATTTATCAAAGATCTTAGAAAGAACCTTGGAGGAACATAAATTTCTTTAAAGACTCTTAACTCTTGTCAAAGACAGCAGAGTGCCACAAGAGCAGGTGCAGAGAAGCAAAAAGTCGATTCCAATCACAAACAGTTTCTTACCCTTGACACGGTGAGAGGCATGCTGAAGTCCTTCCCTCCCTGCAGCCTGAAGCCCCAGGGCGCTGGACCACTGAGGGTCACAGTATATGCGCTCATAGCCTTAGGGGACAAAAAAAAAAAACAGGAAACAGTGTCTTCATTAGTACAGATATAAAACCACAAAAGCTTATAGCTGCTGGACTTCGCATATGTTTCCACAATCTACACAGAAACCGACACTTATTGGTGTTTTCTTCCAGAGAACATCGCCTCTTAATTCTCAAGGAGTCCTCTTCTAATAAAATCCATGTCACACTGCCTTGTTAAATATGCATTTTTGGATAATCAATTAAAGTGGAAGAATGAGGCTGTTTACAAAACTTTTAAGATGATAAAATACCAGAGCGGCTGCTGCTGCTGCTGCTGCTTGGATGAGACATTCCTACATTTATCAACACACAAATGAATAAGCTGCTATCTGTTGCATTGTAATCTGAGAGGAGCATTTTTATGGAGAGTGTAACAAAACGAATGCAAATGAGTACTACGGAAATGTCGCTATGAATCTACTGCACAATAAAGACGGAGGCAATACTCAACACTTTACCTCTTAATTTTAAAGTTAGTAAAAGCCAGCTCGACTGTATTTAAGTAATTGCAAAGCTATAACTGAACACAGGCTTACTTACTCACAACAAACAAACTTTAATTGACCTTTCATATTTCACATAGCTAAAAATGTGCAGGTTAACAATAAAAATGACAGTAAAAAAACATCATTAGGGGTTATAATTGACACTGAATACCTCACTGAACAGGTAATTTTAAGAACCAAAAGCAACCTGAAACGCAGGGCTATGTCACTCTTATTTATGGCTGTACCACTGACCTCTCTACCTGCACCCCTAACCAAGCCCTTCCTCTTCTTCCTCCTCCTCCTCCTCCCCCTCAACTTTACCGGGTGTCAATACGCTCTGTGACATACGGTTAGCTACCCAAGATTCTACAATGCAAACCTACCTTGTCCTCAAGGGACAGCCGATAGGCAAAACACTGGGAGAAAGCTAAAGAGAAGGTAAGCTGGGGCAAGCAGATTCTCTCTCTGTTGGCAAACCCTGCCCCCCCCCAACACTGTGTGTGTATGTGTGTGTATGTGTGTGTGTGTGTGACACAGGCAAGCCCTAGCCTCTCCTCAGAGGCTATATAAGGAATGTAAAACTACACCAAACTATTTCAGCCCTACACCCACATGAGTCACAGCCAGAGAGGGAGGGGGGTTAGAAGAGACGGAGGGAGCAGACGTCAACTACCCTTACACTCTGGCAATAGTTTAGTACATAAAGTCATGACATTATTTCCTTCTAAGTTTACGTGAACAGTCAAAGACATCCAGTACTGCAGCAAAGCTGATGGAGTCTATACACTCCTGCTTTAAGGGCCTCAGGCATAGTTCAGCCAAACTAGCAATTACATTTTACCATACATTTCTTGAAGCAGTGGAGGGGGCTCACACAATGTAAAAACTGAAATGAAAGTCTATGCAAGTATTTTTAATGGGTGGTATGATCTTTGTATTTAACACCTGACACACTCCAAATAGTCAATTCCTTATGGAGATGCTGTTAAGAGCTGTTATTCGTACACATGCATGTTTATGATATATTGCAAGACTCTCAAGATTACATTGAAAAAGTGTAACTGACTAAATCTTGGATTACTTTCCTGCCACTCCTCTTTTGTTATACATCCTACTGAGAATTCAGGAGCAAACAATATCAACAGTGCAACTAATTATGCAAGAAAATGACAAAAAAAAGGACCAAAATCAGGATTTCTCTTGAAACAATAGTAAGATGCATATTTTATTGTTTTGATTAGAGTAGGTCTTTTAGAGTAATATTAATAATGTGGATTCTTTGCCATAAATTAAAAGCCCCTCACTAAATTAATGGGTTGTTAAACCACCAAATATGCCAGTAATGTCTGTGGATTTATTTCAAGAGACATCCCTGTTTATGGCATTGCTATTTATAATCCCCCATGGTGTCACTATAATGATTCTATAGGAACTTAGACTCCAAACGACACTGTTGCTTACTGCCCTCGCATACACACAATTACAAGCTCTATTTGCCTTTTCCTTCTCAAGCTACACAATTATGAGCTTATGTAGCTTACTGTTAATTAATGTAAAAATGTTCACGTTAGTTTTTCAGCAACATTTAATTACAGGCTCCATTGGAAACACAGTTAAACACAGTAACCCCGCTGCAGTGTAGACTCATATAAAACTTTGCCTTCACAGAGGAAGTTACAAAATGTGACACATAAACAGGACAAAGTCGATTCTGTCAAAGCACCAAAGTAGTTTCTGCATCGACTAAGACCGACTGTAGTTCAGGGTAACTAGTCAAAAACCACAATGAGAAGCGCAAAACAGTGTGTACAATAAAAAGTAAGCCTTTCAAAGTTGCAGCACACTCACACGAACACAGTCGGATGTTCGAACAAATCAATAACTTTACCTCTCGCCTCTCCGCGTCGCCAGACATTACGACTCAGTCTTCGGGTACAAAAAGTCAGTCGGCAGACGGGCTAACTTTCAGACTTCCTCAAAGCGGACGTCAGGAAGCCTCCGTGGATCCCCTTGGTGAGCAGCGGGATCATTCCCTCAAATTCTTTTTAGCAGGACTCGGCTGAAACGTCAGAAGTCACATGGGCCGCTGCTTCTTTTCATACTCACACGGCTGTAAAAACCAGGAGAGAGGCCGCCTTGCTGCTTTACAGACATCCCAGCTGTTACACCGTCTACTGCTAATCCGCGTCAATCAACGGGACCTGAGAGCCGCTGAGAAAATCAACCAACTACTAGAAAGTTTAAAATGTTGTTTAAATGGTTCCTGAGCATCTCCAGGGTTGGTGTAAATGGGCAGCTGTAGCAAGTTTAAATTCATTAAATAGAGCCCATCTGTGCTAATAAATAAAGGGCCACAGTTGTGCAATTAATTCCTGACTAAACCAAGAAATGTGAAATATTAACCTTAACTTTAACATGGGTTTATATATATATATATATATATATATATATATATATATATATATATATATATATATATATATATATATATATATATATATATATATATATATATATTTATATATAATTTTTTTTTCCTCATCTCTTGTTCACTTATACATAATCAAATTTAGTGGTTCTCAACTAGTCTCACTCTGGGACCCGCATTTTTCCATGGTCCCTTAGTCGCAACCCACTTTTATAAAATTCAAACCAAGCAAATTTATTTTTTCTACAAAGAAAAACCTTAAAAGAGTCAAATCTTTAACATTAATACACCAATTTTATTGAGTAAAGTGCGTTTCAGAGCACATGAACTGAGGACGACAACCAAGGCATAAGCGAACTAAGCGCCTGCTTAGGGCCCCGCAGCCAGTAGCCCCCCCCCCAGGGCAATCCAAAAAAAAATGTAATATTTTTTATTTTTTTGCATGTATGAGTGATGCTTTCTGTATGATCAAATACTTATAACTGTAAAAATAAAATAAAGTGAAAACATTGTAGTGCTGCTGCTGATGTAGGCCTATGATTCTTACTGCTGATATGTCAAAGCTCTGCTGCCGCCATGTACCCTCTGCTGTGCAATTTGCACTGAGCATCCATAGCGCAGGTAGTTGTGAGGCAAAACAATGTAGCAAAAGAGGACATATCCTTCAGGAGCAGAGAAAAGAAAGAGGAAGAAGAGAAAAAAACGCCAGGATAAAGGTATGTTTGCATGTCATGGACTGTTAATCAAAGAGATTTGTGAAAGTGTGTGAATGATCAATAATCAATATTAATGGCAGAAATAAAGGGCCCCAAAAGCAAACTTTGCTTAGGGCCCCATTGAGGCTGGGGCCAGCTCTGACGACAACTACTAAAGTTGCATATACAGAAAATATCAAAAATAAAGACAAAAAAAAACATGTATTTTTACTACGTCTTTCAAAATAAGCTGTTTTTCAAAATAAAAAAGACATGTCAAACATCAGATGCGCATCAAATGTTTACTTTTTGACCAGCAGTTTGCGACCCATCCAGAACGTGTCCGCGACTCACTTTTGGGTCGGGTCCCACCAGTTGAGAACCACTGATTATCTTATTCATAACTTTCCTTTTTTTAAGATTAAAATTACTATTTTATATCACCCATTACTTGTGTAATTCATGGCATGAACCAATCCAACAAATAACACAAAACAAATCACCCTAAGCAGCTGTATCAAATTAATGCAAAGGGCTGTTTTCTAGAAAATGTAATGAATGAATTAATAAAAGTTTGAACAAATGTTTTAGTGCAGTATTAAATCAACTATATGAATAATTAAGAAGAAACAACTTCCTTGGTTGTATGACACAATTCACATGTCCACATTGTTGTCTTTTGCAAGGTGCCAGCTCAACTCTAAGTAGTCTGAATGAATACAGAAGCCTACATAACTTAAAGTTCCTGTAAGGAGTATTAAAGTGCTCATTAAACAGACTGAAATTAAAAGTGTTGCCTCTCCATGATTAACAAAAGTAAGATATTTCTGTCAGCTTTTACAAAACACGGCCAAACAAGCTTTGTTTTACGTTTTCATCACAAAAGATTCTTAGTGAGTTTACTGTTTAAAAGAAAGGATTATAACACAACTTCATCAAGTGAACAAGGTCAGCCAAGACTCCTTTTATTCAAATCATAGACTGTACATGGGGTGGATGCCGCCTGCCTCCTCGCTAGGTGAAGCCACTCTGAGAACAGCACCCTCTGGTGACAGGCTGCAGTAGTTTTTGTATTTTGTGCTCAAGTCCTCTTTTTTTTCTGTGCAGCTCTGTTTTTAAAAGTTATTAGGGGGTTCATGTTTTCTCTCCCGCCGAATGCGCACAATGCTACTGCGCAATGTTGGTTTCAGGAAGTGGAGAAAAAACGCAGAAATACCGAGAGCTTTTTGGCTTCAAAGACATACTGGCGGAAGGCGGAACCAAGTTGTCCATAGTATATACAGTCTGTGATTCAAATAGGCACAACTGAAAGTTCCTCATAGGAGCTTTGAAACCCATTTTGATAGGCTGTATAAGGTTTATTTTTTAAAAGATTTAGTTGCATGAAGAGCATAAATATTATTTGTAGAGTAGGATTAACGTTACTTATGGGAGACTGACAACAATCAACAAAATGACTTTTAAGTTAATTTCCATAGGCCTACATATTAACACATGAAATTTGAATGACTTTGATGAAGTTGGTCAAAGTTTTACATGGTGCCAATCAGAGGAAAGTAAGAACTAGGCCATACAGCCACTGAGATGTTTAGCTAAACTCATTAAGATCATAAAGGAGTGCTAATAGTGTTTGTTTGGAATGGGCTGGCAACCTTTTGAGTTTTCATTAAACATTTCCAATATTTCTTCAAATTGTATCGTGCTGTAGTGCAAAGGCTTGTTTGAGAAAGTGCAAAGGCTTGGTTGAGAAAAGAAGAAGCGTAAGAGTAGCAGCTGGTCAGCAGATGGAGACAAACCCCAACAAAAGACAGCTGGTCCCCTCAGGGTGCTGCCCTGCTCCATTATCACTGCGCCTGGTCAAATGAACAAATCATGAATCATCAGTGAGAGGCTAAGTCGGAGCTAACATCTTTAACTCTAGATCATTATATAGTTTGCCCTGTTGGCAACACTAGTCTCGTTAGTATTCGAGTAAAATACTTAAGTTGTTGACATCAGCGTTTCAGAGCTGGTATTCATTTGAGTGGCTTTGACGGTGAATAGCTAACCCCAACAGGCTCAGTTTAACTTGTAAACACTTTTGTAAAAGATGGCTGACAACGGAGCACACCCGACCGAAGAAGACCCGGCTGCGGCTTTCTTGGCTCAACAGGAGAGTGAGATAGCGGGGATTGAAAATGACGGCGAGGGGTTCGGGGTGCTGGAAGAGTTGGGCAGCGAGGAGCCATCTGAGCCTCAGCCTGAGCCTGAGCCTGTGAACTACGGTGAGTGACTGTGACTGAACTACTGTTAGCAGCCTCTGCTAGCGGGATAACAAACTAGCTAATTGACGCTAGCTTGTCATGCTACCGGTACTTTGACTGGAGTGGTTTCAAGTTAGTTGACGGAGACGACCACCCACCAGTCTGCTTTAAGAATAGTCGAAATAGTTAAAACAGCTATGTAGAATATCAGTTAACATTAGCAAATATGTTTTATTACAACTTAACTAACGCAACGCAAACGTTAGCTTCTTAGCCTAGCCTAGCTAGCTGACCTTTTGCTTTCATTTGCACAGCGACTACTAAGTTAATGATTGTTTATCATCCAACAGCACGTCCTTCTGACGCTCCACCTTTGGAAGTATTAACATTTTATCAACATCATTGACACACAGACAATGTACACCGACTAGTCAGAACATTACACTGATATTTAATGCATCCCTTTCTATCTCTTACATGACAAAATCGACTTTTCTAAAACTTTGACATTTTCATTTTTGTTCACGTGTTCAGACAGTTGATAACTGTTCTTTGAATTAGTTGTTAAAGATGTAGTGAATTTTGATAGTGTACTAGACTGAACTGTGTCGGAGGGTGTATTACTTAATTTTGCCCTTCATGTATGTCAGTGAATTAGACCAGATACAAGAACCATCTTTTGGAGCTTACACACTCCAGCACACAACAGACTGCCCACTACATTTCCAATAATACAGATAAAGTAAAATAATCTCCTGTCAGATCATATCAACAAGAACAGAAGGCATAGAAGCTGCCTGGAAGCAGAATTTGTGTTGGTTTACATTAGATTTCTCGGGCGTTCATAATGCTATAGCTGGTCAGCGTAAATATTAACATTATGTGACACCAAAGTTATCAGCTTTGAACCAGTCCTGGAAAAACCTGTCCTACCAACTGTTAAAGCTGCACAGACAACACCGGTGCCCAAACAGGTGATACTACATTTCTGAAGCCTTGTTGAGCTTAAAAACAAAGTGTCAGTGTCCTTGTTAACATAAGCTGGTCTGGATAACAAGGAAGGTTAATTAAAACCAATTCTGACATCAAGTATTGCTCTCTTTTCACCATGTTAGACGATTTTGCAGAGGAGCCTGCCACAGTGAATGGGGACATGTTTCCGGTGAGCTTTTACAAACCTTTACTTTTTAAATTTGCTTTATTTTATCATAATCAGAATGAAAAATGTTGCATTGTTTTGTTTTCATTATTGTATGCAATGAGGGAATTAACAATTCAGTTCATATTGAGGCAGTAACAATGGTTTAAAAAGTTGTGTGCCGTATATTGTCCAAAAGGAGTCCAATGGCCCAACAGACAACTATGCAGCCATCGCCCAGGTCGATATTCAGAGGCAAGAGCCTGAGAGTTTACGCAAGTGGAGGGAGGAACAGAAGACACGCCTGGAAGCATTAGGTAGGGAAAAATGATGTCATCGGGGGTGAGAATCATACTGGTTAATGCACTTCATAGATTATGTATCGTTTTCAGTTTACCTCAAGGGCAAATGAAGACTTGTCTCAAGCTGTAGCACACCTAGATTTCTCAGTTGTTTCCTTTTTTCCCATTCTCTGGGGTCTCTGACTATTTGTTCCTCCCTGTTGCAACCCAAATAAGATTCTGCATCCAAGGCGGCAGAGGCAGAGTGGAGAGAGAAAGCCAAAAAGGAGCTGGAGGACTGGCATGTACACCAGAATGAGCAGATGGAGAAGAACAAGGCCAACAACAGGTTAGTGTCTGACATGCCCCCTGTTAACATGCAGAGAATTAACAGTCAGCATACCCTGATGATGTGATGATACTGCTGCCACTTCACAGAATTTATTTCCATCAACTTAGGTTAAACTGGTAGATCTTTTTGTGCACGTACATTACAAAGTGTAGCAAAAAAAATACATAACTTTAACATGATGTTATATTAATCGAGCTTGAAGACATTTAGTAAATTGAGAGTTTAGCCATTTATTTCATAGCTTTTATAAATACAGCCAGTGTAAACATTAAGTTTGCCATTTTAGCCAGTGTGCGGTCAGTGTTCATTGCAACAGAGACATTGCATTCTTCCCTTTTCTTGATCTAGCTAACCAGTTTTTCTCTCACACTTTCCAACAGACTCTGTCCAAGTCTGGCACGGTATCACTCTGCATCTGAGTCTCTTAGTTTTTGCCCGTTTCTTTCTCTTTTGCCTGTGAAAGCTCTGAGAGACAATTCTCTGATGAGATATTAGTCTACAGCTGCTTGTCCTGCTGGATTCCCAGGGAAATAAAACAGGAAGCTCGCTTTTTAGAAGGAATGCAAACAACAGGGAGCAAATGTCCAACACAGGCAGCAGCTCAGCATTTGAGCACTCTTTTAACTGGGTGAAATTCGTAGACGCTATTCTAAGCCTTGTTATTGGCCAGAGAAAGGTGGTGTTTTGATTGTTTTTAACCTTTAATTTCCACCTCATTAGAAGTGTTTCTCAGCTGCTTCCACAATCCTTTTAATGCAAACACTAACTTTTCTTTGCTTGTTGTTTGACACTGAAACTGTTCTTCTTTCTCCTTCTTGTTTCCTGCTCTCTTGGCCTTGCCTGCGTACTAGGATTGCTGACAAGGCTTTCTACAAACAGCCCAACTCTGATGTTATAGGCTTTGTGTAGGTTTAGAAATCTTACACTTTTTAATGTCGTATACCCGGAGCCAATTTCCACCTGATTGCATGCGCCAACACTAAAACTACAATTCTCTTTTGTACAGGCTAAATTTGTATTCCCTGCCTTTTTATTTGATTGCAGCACAGTATGATATGTACTAAGTATTAAACTGTAGTTTTTTAATTTTTGTCTCCAACCAAATGTATTACTGGTACAAGGACATGCATGAAGTTGATGTCTTAGTTATGTTCAGGTGTAAAGTGAGTGAAGTATGTGGTTTAGTACCATGTTTGGCTCAGATGAGTTTTCTGGTAATATTGCACTAACACGTATGTTTCCCTGCCTTCCCTTTAACCTGCAGAGCATCGGAGGAGGCTTTCCTGGCAGAGACCGATGGCGACAGCCCAGGATCTGAATGGGAGAGAGTAGCCCGTCTCTGCGACTTTAATCCAAAAACCAACAAACAGGCAAAGGATGTTTCTCGGATGCGTTCAGTCCTCATTTCTCTCAAACAGACACCTCTAGCTCGCTAAAGGGGGGCTGCAGGAAGAATTTTCTGTTTTAGAAAACATTGCCTTTCAGTTTTTAACCACCTTGCATCAGAGAAATTTGTATGCCCTTTTCCATAAAATTCCTGGTATGTTTATAACCTTAAAAAGCTATGTGCGTTTCTGACGCCTATTATGTTGAGATAATTAACTTATCCCACTCTCTAGAGAGAAAATGAAGGACTGCTCTGTGGTTACTACATCCTTTAGCTGGTCAGTTTGATCACTGCTATACTTAAGAAAATATTGTTACTGTAAATGAAACCTTTCCCTTCCCCTTAACTTATAAATTGTTTTAGGTCAACTTTGTTGCATGCCTTTTCCAATGTTTTGGATGCACAAATTTTAGTTGTTTTACAAATACACATTTTGGTCAATGTCAAACACCACTTAAGCGCTATTTCATATTAGATTGTAACCACTTATGCCTCCGGTTAATAAGGAATTAGTCTTTCTTCCTTTGTTGTATTATATCTCCAATTACCTTATTTCACGTAGCTCGTGTATGTTTCTCTTTCAAATACAGAAGCTTGTGGCCTTTTTGATGTAGCTCTTACTCCAGTGTGAGAAGTAAGCCAGACGGAATTTCTCTCTAATTGGGCAAAAATTCAACAAATTCATTTATAAAAAAGAATCCCAACCAAAGACTTATGCACCATTTACATTTGTGTAGATCAAATGATAAACAACTTGTGCCATTCCACATTTCACAGATTTCTCTCAGCCTTATTTTTCTTTGCGCCATTTCCTTTTTTTAACAACATGTTGAAGGTTTTTTGAAAGCAGCATTCAACACGGAGTCAAATTCAACTGTTACACCTGCACATTTTTTTCACATGTTGCCTATTTGGACATTTCAATTAATGAAAAAAGGTGAATGTTAAAAGGGAACTGAACAATAAAATTGCCAAGTATGATCACTTGAAGCCATTTGTTCATACAAATTTCCAATCTAAGACTTAAGTGCCCTGAAGATAACTCATTGCCCAGTTAATGTGTTTGGAGATCAAACATACTGTACTACTGTACAGTACTGCGGCCATGTGCCAAAATCCACAATTGCTTGCACTGAGGCATAGATTTAAGACAAATGTGCAACAAATAAGTCAACTGTGTTTAGCATGTAACTGATCAGAAACACTGACACTGAGAGGCAGGCTCAAGTTTTCAGCTGTACATTTGTTTCTGTAACCAATCACACTTTACTGGTCACTGAAATGCCTTTGCATGCACTATTCACAAAGTGCTGTGTTCTTTCAAATACAACGTTATGAGCACTCCTACTTAAGGCTGTCAACTGTAAATGATTGTCTTTTAAGTGGTGAAATTAAAGACTGGATTTCCTTAAATGTTGAAAACCCTTCTCGCATTTAGATTGACTCACCCAGGCCATTAATATAAACTGTTTTCACAAAGACTTTTCCCACTGATTTTTTTAAATAAACTATTGAATAAAGGTTGTGCAAGGAGTAGATGTCCCTGAAGACAGTTGTGAGTGTTGTTTTTTTTATTATCATTATTCTCAAATACACACAGTAGACCAGGTTGAACTTAAAGTGTAAGTTTAATATGGTTCCTCAACCAGAGAACACATTCAGTGGCTGCATGAATTTCAGTGAAAACATGTGGGGGTACTTGAAATTAAACCATCCAGAAGATCATGGAGCAAGCTACATATTAAATATTTTCCTCAGCATTTTGCCTCAAAACTATTTTAGTATAATAGAGGTAAAGTCAAGCTTGCTTATTTAGGTAATAAGCAATTTATACTTTGATGTAGCAAATTATTCATCCTCCATATGCTATAAACAGCTTTTGAAAACAATAAATAGTGTTGGCCTCAACAAAGTATCTGAACAAAAAAAAAATGTCAGAGTTCATATATTAAGAGAGACCCATCCTGGTGCAGGTCAGATCTGCTCTGATTCCTCCTCATATCAGGCAACAGCAGAGGTGTGGGGTCTGTCAGTCTTCACTGCCTCGGTTTCACAGCTGTGGTAAAGACTCCAACAATGATAGCAACTACCGTGAAGCCTTGTGCAAAGATACGCCCCCTCATCAGCAGCTGGGACTGTCTGGTTTTCCCTTGATGGAAGGCACGGAGACCATACATCAACGCTCCTGCTGTTCCTAAACAACCTGAATGGCACAAAGCAGGTAACAGGTTAAAGCTCCTGTGTGGAGATCAACACTCAAGTTTTTGTGATTTAGAAAACGATGCCAAAAGAACTTTGATACATTTTCAGAGGCAAAATTATTTCAGTGATACCTTTGATACAACGAAGCAGGACAAGACTTTTTTCTTATGTCACTACTTTTGCATGTAGAGAACAATGCTACTACGGAAAAGATCCTCTTAGGAACTGAAATCACTTGATGTAGCATAACAGAACACTGATTTTTGCCAGAAAAGAAGTACAGGATTCACAAACAAGCTGGCTTTGCTGCCTTACAGGCTTATCTCTGAAACTGGAAGTTCTCTGTAAGATAGATATATGTAGGCTACAGGTTTTTGGCACTTGGTCAAATTTATGGAAGTAAACCTGAATTAAAGCTAGAATACACTCTTCACTTTTATTATCACACTTTACAGATCATCACATGCTATTTCCATTAATACAGGCCTATAGACAACACAATGTGTCTTTTTACAAATTTGCCTGTCAGCATTTTTGAAAGGCAGAAAAAAAAACAGGTACGTGTGAAGGTGGAGCCTTTTCTATCCCCATTTTCCTCCATGTTTTATAATGCGTTTCAGTTGAAATTTCAGGTACAAGTGTTTTTCAAAACCCAGTGAGCATTGTCAAACAGTGGGGAAAAGAAAGACTGAAACCGTGCAAACGAATAAGGACACTTCTGATGAGAACAAAACAAAAACACAAGACTAGAAATACAATAAAGTGATCCATTTACGAGTTTCAATCATGAGTTTACTCTTGATCAGGGAATAACAACCGCAAGCTTGTGTATGAGAACTTTAACTTGTAGGCTGTATGCTTTCGTAATCAATATCCTCGACTACTCTTTTCACTTTAGAAAAAGTAAGTAGTGTGAACAACTGGTAAAGTTCTTCATATAGATAAAATATCACTAGTTTTCCACCTAAATAGAGTCAGAACATGCAGTGCTGTTCCGGGTGCTGGGATCTTTCACTTTGTTAATGCAGAGGTTGATGCTTGTGTAACTCACCTATAGGGACGAACGGATTCTCCTTGGTTTTTCTCATGAATTTCTCCTTAAATGTCTCATCCTTGATTTTCGGCAGAGGGCTGAAGCCTTCGATGATTGGAGGCTGAGAGAAGTCAAACGGCACAGGTCCTGTTGCGGATGTTTGGGGTCTCCGCTCAGGGTCCGCTGGTGTTGTTGCAGCCGCCATGCTTACCTTGGACTACAAACTCCACCACAGGAACTGAAAAGCCTACACTTCCGGATACACAATGACGTCACGCTCCACAATAAAAGCCCTCGTTGTATTTTTTTTTCAACAAAAAGTAAAGGAATCGACTCAGTCTCACAGGTGTCTGCAAAACCAATTAATGTGTTTTAAAAACAAATTTTACAAGAAATATTTCTATTTCTTCATGAGACTTCCTTATGAAACACCGCGACATTTAAACATGAGAGCTCCGTCCACTGGCTGGTTCTCAATTAATGTGCCTTCAATGTGCCAATGTGCCACAAGGTCGCTTACAATACCACTAGATGGCAGTATGACTCTTGAACAGGTTGGGACCATAGATATCTGATATGGTATACAGTTTATTTCAAGTTGAAAGTGGAATTTTTATTCATATACCTGTACTATCTTCGACGTTTTTGGAATTGTAGATGGTCAGATTTTGACATAAGATGTGACAGAACTGTAAAGCTATGTTCAATTTTCAGCTGAAAATAACAAATTATTGATTTACACATCTGCAGATGAAAATCAGATTGATTCCCAAGGCCAATAATCATGAAATCTGTTTTTCCAAAGACCCCAGCTGCTAAGAAAATAAGTGATAATGCACTACAAGGATCCAGAATTAAATGTTTCACAGATCAGCTGCAAATCTCAAACATGAAAATTCATGATAATTTTCCATAAAATAAAAACAGCACACATACTTTTCAATCTTTTTATTGAATATTAAGGTAAATATTTCACATTAATACAGGCTACATAAAGTAGAGCCACTATACGACATGAAATTTACTCTCATTTTAACCCTTTTTAGTATGTAAACAATTATACATGTATTTACCACTCTAAAAGGTTCTGATTTCTCTTTCTCTTTAGGTAATCATCATCTAGTTCTGGGCCAAGTTTAAATAGCTACTTCATGTTGAGCCCCCTGCAGCCCAAGAACGGTGTATGTGGTTTTAAGTCAAAATCGCTAAACTACGCAGAGAATGGATCCTGTTAAACAGGTGATCGCACATGTTTGTTTGCATCATTGGGACACTGATAAACAGCTCCCCCCCATATTCCTCTTTCCTTGTTTGAGATAGGCACATCAAAGAATGGCGTCAAGACAACTTCCATTTCTTCAACCTCTGCTCTGCACTCTCAGGTCACTACTGAAGTTAACATGTTGTACGTTTTTCTTTTTTTTTAATTCGTTTGTCTTATTCGGTCATGTTCGTCAGTTGGTATTTCATGTTTGCGGTGTGGGTCATGCTGTGTGCGTTTGATTGCTGTGGACGCTCTCTAGTTGACGTGGTTCAGGTGCACGTTGCCCACATGAGGTGCCCAGGTACCAGGCCACACCTGAAGGGGCAGAAGACCAAAACCAGGTGGAATTTAGTCAGATACAGCACTTTAATCCACTTCTTCAAACAGAACAGTTGAAGTCAACATATTTAACCTGCATTTTTGTAAACAAAGGCAACATTACCTGCTGTTGTGGGTCAGAGTTATCTGCATTGTTTGGGACCACTTTGATAATGGGGCTCCATGCGGGGTCACCAGCGTGCAAACCATTGTACATTGGTCCCCCTGGCCCCTCTGCCATGGGAGGATGAGGGGGCAGCATGGTTCCACCATACATCGACATGGGCATTCCCTGAGCAGACAAGAAGGTTTCACAGGTGAAAGTCTGGTACATCATAGGACTGTGTGTTGGCAAGAATCAGGCAATAAGAAACATCCCCTGAAACTTCCCCCTATGACATGTTGGGATATGATGGGATACTACAGGCAAAGGCAATATACTGCGATTTGAAAAATTCTATTAGTAGAAATCCCCCAAGATATTGAGAATAAACATTAGACACACAAATACATGAAATTATCGAGGAGCGCTTAAATCTGTGTTTGCATTTCACATTTTCTACCATGTAGCATGTTGAAGAGTCTCTCTCTGCTGAGCTTGGAGAGACTCTAGGACTATGTTTAACCAAAGCACAGATGTCAATTCACCATAAGTTTTATATCTTTTTTTAATTTCCCTTTTATTCAACCAGAAAATCCCACTGAGATTTAAAATCTACTGTGCGAGAAAGACTTGGCCAAGGTAACATGCATTATCATCTATTTATCTATTTAAAATGATGTGAGCGAGTGTCCTCTCTGCCCTTCACTGTGATGTACACATACAGCGATGATCACAGGAAGCCACTATTTAAGTTCACAGCACAAGACTGATCAAAGAAAAGAAGAATCAAAGCTCAGTATGTTTTGAGGTGATTTTCTGAGAGAAAAGCTGTTCTTAAACCAGTGTTTTAGTCGACTAGGTGCAATATCAAGATATGAAATATTCCAATATTTCAATGTGTAAGTATATTCTTACACTTCTAGCACATAACAGTAAATGTATAGCTATCTAGGGAGCAACAACTCTGTGTTACCTTTGGGAAGTCCATGTAGCTGTTGGGCAGATGCTGTGGCTGGTGATAGTTGTTAGCAGGATTTGAGATGCCTGTGTCGTCCTGCTCCATGGGCTGGTGCTGAGAGAAGGACTGCTCCGCCTGTAGTTGAGGGTGCATCATGTGGCTGCTCATCAGGGGCTGAGACCAACCGGACATTGCCTCTGTGCCGAGACAAGCTGAGGGTTAGCATAAGTGTTAACATCAGAACTGAAACTGACATATATCAGCTCCCCCCCCCAAAAAAAAAACAGCAGAAAGGAAGACACAAACTAAAACTTGTTCTTACCTGAAGCACTGCCAACCCCAAATGACCAAATGCCTCCTTGTCCAACAGATGCTGTGTAGCTGGTGGTAAGGAGAGGTGGGTTGACAGAACCTGTCTGTCTGATCCTAGCCAGCCGCTCGGTGCCGATTGGTGGAGGCACCTTCCGGTCCTGCTGTGAGGAGCTGCCGGGCTTCGGCTGGGGAGGAGGAGCCACAGCTGAGGTGGAAAGGGCAGAGGATGACACCGTAGAGGGAGGCGGGACAGGAGATTCACCTGAAGGAGAACAGAAAGTACAGAAAGAAACAGTTAAGGGCGGATCGGATATTGGTAACTGTTCATTTGCTCACAGATAGTTTCAGAAGTTTCAAAAAGAGAACAACCCATTAAAAAAATCTATTCATGATTCCAACGGGAGGTTACAAAACTACAAGTTCTTTATGCAGGGTAGAATGATGATACAGTCAGTTTGATGGTTTGGAGATCATTTTGAGCTTAAATCTGTAAATGTTAGGTAAAAGGCACATAGACCCTTCTACTACAGAGCCATGCGGTTGTAAAAATGTGCAAAATTGTAGTTTGGCATCTTCCTGCTTAATTATCTGGGGTGTGATTGCCATTGGACGACAAAGCAGGACATACCAGATGTGGATGCACTCCATGGATGTGGGGAAAAGTGCTGTCTGCTGAATGAAGGTGTGCCAACTGCTGTATGACCGTGCAGATACACAGGGCTGCCAGAGATACTGGTGGCATAGCTGGTCAAAGCTGCAGGTGCACACAAAGCAAGACAGCGTTCATTATTCATTATTTTCTGAGGAGACAAAATGTACTTAAAAACTTTGATAGGAGTGCAATGACTTATCAACGTACTCAACAAAAATCAACTATATTTACAGACGTTTTAGTCGATAATTAGAAAGTGATATCCCTGCGTATTTTCATGCTAAGCATGGACATCAACAATGATATCCTGAGTTGGATTACTGAGGAGTGAGACTTCTTGCATCTTAACTATTTCTGCTCTGAGTAGCATATGTGAAACAGCAACCAGGGAGGGACAGGTGAACAAAACATTTAATTCAAATGACCGAGGAGTGGCACATCTCATATCCTTCCTATCTCTCGTCAATGTGGCATGTGCAAAACAGTGACCTGGAGGCAACAAATTCACAAAACTTGGTTATATGTAACATCACTTCATCCCAGAACTTCCAAAGTCTAGGACTATATGACAACACTGCAAAGACAATAGATGTCCTCAAAATCTAGAAACTCTAGCTTGTTTATCATGGGAGCGTGTGAGCTGTGCATAAGACGGCATGTTGGTTGTCTCTCTTTTCAAAACCAACTGTGACATACAACTTTATAATCCAAAGTAACAGCCATGCTGTGTGAGTTCTATTTTCACTCCATCACCTTCAAGTTTTTACATTAAACTCTCCTCTCCTCATCTCTTTTTATCATTTTTCCTATCATAAGACTGCAGGGCAAAGTCTTACTGTGTTGCTTTAGTAACAGTGCTACACATTGGGACCAAATCCATTTTACATTCACACTTCAAGTGTTTGAGTCAAAGAGATAATAGCATGTATTATGATTTTCAATGGCGTGTGTAGAGTTTTTTTTTTTTTATTGTGAATTAAAAAGCCGATCTTCAGAAAAGAGCTGTGAAGTAATTGTGCAGCTCATCCTACAATTCTTTGATTTATCATTCCACTACTTTACGATGAGTCAACTATAGCGTAGATGCAGCCTTCATTTCAACCACAAAATAAAGACAATGCCACCTTTCATGATGAGAACATACTGTTCTCAAATGCCCTGTTTTGATGCTGCTATATTAGCACTGTTTCTCTTCGTTAGGTTCTTAATGAGAGAGGGCATCTTGATTCTAAGGTTATGAGTAAATTCAAGGAAAACCATCGCACCGATGGGGCTGTTGACCATCCTCTGTGTGGCAGAGCGGTAGCCAGGTGCTTTGGAGCTGTCTGGAGGAGGTGGGGGCATCATGTTCTCCATCTGGCCCATGCTCATGTAGGCTGGTGGCGCAGAGTACGACTGCTCTGGAGGTGATCGGGCGGGCAGATGGCAGGCACCCCATACCTGATTGTTTCCAACCTGGAATTGAAATGAGATTAGAATTAGAGTTATTGGGACTGTGCTTGATTTGGTGAATGAGCAAGATCAGAAACATGACCTTTGAGCTCACGTGTTACATCAGTTGAAATTTTGTTCAAGTGTTCTTCTAATGTGAACATATGAAATGACAAAAAACAAGATCCCTGAGCCATTGTTCAAATTACACTGATAACTTCAACTCACCTGGTTGTTGTTATCAAAGATGCTGCTGAAGTTGAAAAGGCCTGCGGGTCCGAAATTTGGTGGTATCTGCTGAGGCTTGCCTGCACTGGCCACATGCTGCATCTGTGAGCCATTCATCATCCCAAGGTTAGCAGAGACCTGGAGAGAACCTGGAGCCTGACCTTGATTTTGAGTCTGGGCTTGTGGAGGCAAATTTGTGGGCTGAGACGTCTGATTTTGGGTCTGTTTAGCGGGTTCTTGCTGAGCGCTGAAGGGCACGAAAACAGATTGTTGCTGTTGCGACTGCTGCTGCTGTTGCTGCTCAGGAAGGGAGTAGTAAGGCCCTGGTGGCTGCATACGATGGGAGACTCTGGGTGCAGGGGCTGAGAAGTGTGGTACAGTGTTGTTAGGATGTGCAACATTGTGTGAAAGGACCGGAGGAGGTGCTGAGGGGAGGTGAGAGCTGTGCTGGGGGTTAAGGAGAGCTGGTGGAGCCTCTGAAGATGGTGCAGAGGAGGGAGGGGGAGGTAACTGCTGTCGAGGCTCCGGCTTGGGAGGCAGAGCCATCGTGGGTGTGGAGAATCCCACAGAGTTGATGCTCTCACTCGCAGAAACAGGCTGATTCTCTACAGGCAGAGTGGGCTTGTCTTTTCCAGGCAGAGCCACAGTACTGGGCTCTGTTTTAGAGGGCTGGATGGGGGGCTGAAGGATGGGTCCTACAGGCTGTTGAGGGGTGTTTGCGGTAGTTGTAGTGGAGCTGTGATGTGCAGGAGAACCTGTGCCTCGTACTGCATTACTGCTGCTGGTCGAAGTGGCAGCAGCAGACACGGGGGTGACGCCAGCAGGTTTAGGATCAGGGGCGAAGAGCTGTTTCCTTACGGAGCTGGGAGTGGGAACGCTGGGCTGGGGGTTGTATGGTGTGGGGTTGGGGGTATGAGGCGAGGCTGCAGCCGTAGACGTGTTAGGAGCACTGGTGGTGGTGGTGTTGGTAGTTTTGACTGAGGCTCCTGAGCTGGCTGTGCTGCTGTGCTCACTGTGGGTGGAGTTGGGTCTGGCCTGACCAGTAGTGCTGTTGGTTCCTCCGTTGTGTTTAGGGGAACTGTTAGCACTTCCAGGACTCACAGGGCGCACAGGGAAGGGTCCCCAGGTACTAGCAGCGGGAGAGAACGTGCCTCCGAACTGTGCCATGGGCAGACGAGGGTGTCTGATCTGGTGCATGGTCTGAGCTGCCAGTAGAGCCAGCTGAGGGTGGGCATATGCCAGGGGCAGTGACACAGGGAAAGGCTGCCTGACATTCGATGAAAGTCCCTTTCCGATCTTTCCCCCGACCTGAGAGGAGGATGAAGATGAGGATGAAGAGGGCTGGAACGAGACTCCTGTGGAGGTGACCAATGAGCTCAGGGCCTTGGGCCCAGTGGCTGAGCCGCTGGTGGCCCCTGTAGTACTGGGGAAGGACGCTGAGGTGGTTTTGGAGCCTGGGGCTCTGATGTGATTTCGGGGGATCAGATCTTCAAGCTCTTTGGCTGGGTCTTGGATGAGAGCATTGATCAGCTGGACTGCATACCTTGTAGACTCCGTGCCTCCCCTGAAACAAAAGTAAAACCTTTGTTTAGACTAAAATCCTCTGCTACCACAAAGAAAAGGTGACAGTTACTTAGTCAAGGACTGTTTGAGTTGAAATGAAGAGAAAATGAGACGTATTTTCTGAGAGCAGAATCCAGCTGGACAAACCTATATTTAACCAAAGTCTAAACTCCACATGTTAAAGTCTATGTTTGAGGACATTGCTGTTTATTTCTTTTCTTTTTTTAATTGCACTTTGCAGGCCAAGAATGGCTGACCAGCCTTCATGCCATTTTAATGCATAAGGTATTCATACAGTGACAAATCAGACAACAGAAAGATGTCAGATGAAAATTAAGTCAGGAGGATAAAAATTTGCACAACTCTGAATTTAACTCGCCAAACAGAGAGAGACACTGAAACAACAGACATCATTCATAAGGAGCTTAAAATTTTGGAGCATCCTCCAGCTGCATTGGCACTGAGTGTCCACTAGAGGGCATTATTTTTACCTGATGGTAATCATCCTCTCCCCGTTTTTGTCCTTCTGTTTATCTACATCGATGTGAGCTCCTGTCACGTCCTGGATGGCTGTGATGTTGCAGCCTCCTCTGCCCATGATCCGAGACACGACAGAGGCCGGCACCGACAGCTTCTTTGATCTGTGAAAACAAGCAGTGACATTTTTTTTTAAAATAATGAACTGGCTGTAATTTTTGTCAGCTGAAACCAACAAAACAGAGAACTTCTCTTCTAGATTTAAACATACAGAATAAAACTTCCTGAGCCAATGAGCAGAAATAAATGAACCACTGACCTTCTAACCACCTCCTTCCAACCTTCTTCTCGCTTCTGGCCTCTCTTGGGGCTCGTGAGGCTGAGTTTACTGTTGGGTGAGGTGACGGGCAAAGCCATGGTCTTGAACGGAGAGGGCAGGGAGTTGGAGGTGGAGTCGTTTGTATCCGGAGCTCTGTGACAAAACAAGTGAAGCTCCATTTTAATTTGACTCACACTAATAAAGAAAAACACTGTTATTCGACATGTTGGCGTGCACATCGTAGTGTAGTGAGAATCCAACTACAATCAAATAACTGTTGTTTTCTACTTGAGCAGAAACCCACAAAGAAGAGGCTGACTGTCACACTGAAGGTAGATGTGCTTTAATGGATGAGGGACTCACTTTTGCGTTGCTTTGGAGATGGAGACTGTGACCTTGTTGTCCACTTTGCCATCGGTCTGTGGCTGAGGACAATGTCTCTTCTCTGGGCCGCGCAGGAGGGCCTGGGACTGGGCTGCTCCCGAGGAGGGGGCTGAGGAGGAGGAGGAGGAGGAAGAAGAGGAAGAGGAGGAGGCGGAGGAGGTGAGGTCGGGGAGGTAGTTGAGCTCCTGACTCTTGCCCCCGCTGCTGCTGCTCTCACTGGCACAGTCGGTGCTATCCAAAGGGTCAGAATCGCTGTTGCCGCCTGCCACTCCCCCACCCCCGCCCCGTGGCTCACCATGGATCTTGTTCTTGTCAGCCTTATGCTGCGCTAGTGCAACCTAGAGGGTGACAAGTGCACAGTTAACTCTAGTCTTGAGAATCAGATCTACATGATGCATTGTGATCAAGCCGAGACAAAAGCTCTCGTGCTCACCTGTGGATCTTGTAGTATGATGGGTTCATTAGGCGAGTCCTTGGTCTTGTTCTTTTTGTTCTTGCGATTGGTGCTTGGGGTAGTGGCCACACTCGCTCGCTTCTTACCGAAAGCTGTAGTGAAAGTGGTGGAGGTGGCAGATATACCGATGGTAGTGGTGGTGGTTGCACTGGGAGGCTCAATAGGAACCTCTGATTCTAAGGCAGGGAAGGTGAAGAAAATCAGACAAGAGTTCAACAACACAGATCTGTGAGCATTATAAAATGACCACTCAGTGATTTATTCAACAGTGACAGTCATAAAAATGTACCTTCAGCTGAATCCTCCTTCTGTTCAAGCATATCAGAGGTGTTCTCCTTGGTTTTCTGACCCTCCTCTTCCTCCTGCTTCCTCTTTTGCTCCTCCTTCTTCTTCTTGCGTTTCTCCTTACGCTTCTCACGTTTAGCAGCCAGGGCCTGCTTCTTGCTCTCCTCCCGAGACTGTTACACGGCACAGAGAAATTCAAGATCACACTCATGCTCCTCCTGCGCATTTAAAGCCCAGAGATGAGAGTCCACAAATTACCTTCTCCAGGTCGAGCTCTTTCAGGAGAATGCTAGCGTTTTTGTTCGCCTCAGCTGCCTGCTGGTCTTTGGCTTTGACAATGGTCTCCATGCACTGGTGGCATTTCTTCAACAGCTCCTTTAAAAACAGAAAACAATCAACTTGAGTCAGGGCTCTGCTAACATCTTCATAATCTCTGTCAGTTCCAGTTGATAAGGCACGCTAATCACTGAATATAGAAACACCTACCTTGTCTGCAATGGTGGCGATATATCTCATGCACTCAATATCTGATGGGAATTGGTTAACTTCCTTCACGAGATACTGGACCACCTTCACATGACCCTAAAATGGTAAGTAAATATTAGTAAGTGGAAGCTTTCCAGAATGTAGCATGATGACACATCAATATTTTGTGTTTGGCTGAAATCTGCACCTTGCGAAAAGCAGCCATGAGTGGGGTGATCTTGCGGTTATCAGCTGCGTCCACATCAGCACTAGCATGCACCAAGAGCTGGACCACGTCAAAATGACCGCCATTTCCTGCCAGCCAGAGAGGAGTGTTCCCTTTCTTGTTTCTTACATCGATATGGGCACCCCTGCAAAGATGCGAAAGGGTTTTCAATTCAAGGAATCATAAAAAAGGTACCATGATTGAAATATCCGGGAGACACAACATGTTCATTAGAAGCAGGCAAAAATCTACGGATGATGTCTGATTCCCATCGGCAAAGTAATCATGCCATCAGACTCCTTCAGCGTGAAAGTGTGAGAACACAATGTGAGAAAGGCTCAGACTGTACTTGTAAACCCTCAGCTGCAGGAATAACCCAACCACAACTAAAAACAGAGGCAACTGAGAATTTCCCTGTGAGTAAATTGACTGCAGTTCTGCTGAACCCTCGGTTCCTCGTCATTTTAAGCTCCATCTGTCCTTGTTTGTCTCCAAATCGGACATGCAGAAAACAAGTGCTAATAAAATACGTTTTCCTTCTTCTTTTTACTTTCACTGACTCAAATCTCTTCAACAATTTCAGCCCTGACCATAACAATTTATAAAGAAATTAATAAAAACTCAATGTACCACCCTTTTTATGTCAGCTGTTGTGCGCCATGTCATAAAGACTTGGATTCATTAAGAAAGTGTGCTTACTAAACAGATGAGTCTATCGGAGCGGAAAAACACGCCAGTTTTACCTGCTTTCCTCGAGCCTCGTCTTCTACCAAATCATAAGTGTGCCGAGGATATATGCAAGATAGGAATCATTTACAAGTTCTTTTCCACCTCTAACCAAAATATGACTGCGATTACACTGATTATGTGCATATATAACTTTACTGCATTATAGAGATGTGAGATATTCTCTCTTTTTGATCGAAAGGACTCATGCATCCTCATGCATGTCCATCCAGTTGCTGTGGAGTGAGGGAAAAGTTAAAATTGTCCAAATGTCCCTCTTTCCTAGTTCCAGATTGCAAAAATTGGACATGGAATTTTCCAACTGTAAAAACTCCGCTCACAACGCGTACAGTTATAAACTGACACAGATTCGCACTCCAGCACACACAAAGGAGCACACAAAGTTTTCCTTACACATGTTGCCCACTCTCAGACATCCATATCTAGAGGCAAATATCGTTTCATTTAAATCTGATGGTGTTTAGTGGATGAAACAGTGCTTCAAACACACTGCGTGATTTGATGACTGCTATATGATTTTTTTGGTGCCATAAACAGAGTCCAAAAACATGTTCGGACAAACAAGGCTGGATGGAGCTATCTCAGGTCAATAGACTTCTATAGGCAACATGTTTTTTGCTTTTTTAAATATGTATAAAAATAATAACTTTTGATGCCACAATTTATAAAAATGTGACTATCAACTCAAAACAACGTCCTCAAAACAGACATAGTCCGAACCGAGGGTTAAGAACACACACAGAGCGCTAGAACAGCACTCACCTGTTGATAAGCAGCTCACAAAACTTGTAGTGGCCCTTGTCTGCAGCAATGGTGAGGGCGGTGTCACGGGATGAGGGAACAGGGGGAGCGTTGACATCGGCACCTTTGTCCAGCAGCACTCGGCCCACCTCAGCGTAACCTCCCGAGGCTGCCTCCATCAGAGGAGTGAGACCAGTCTGCAAAAGGCGAAAAGCCAGCGTTAGGTCAGCCACATTACACACTCAGTCAGTGTAGCGTAATATTTGACAAAAATCCTTCATAAGGTTTGGAAGATGGCTCAGTGAACGTCTACACCACTCACCTTAGCACGATGCTCCACGTTGGCTTTGCGATCCAGCAGCAGACTGACGACCTCAGCCCGCCCCTGGAAGCAGGCCAGAGTCAAAGCTGTGTTCCTGTTGGTCTCAATCTGGGCGTTGATGTCTGAGCCCATATCAAGCAACAGCTTTACTGCAGGTACATGACCGTTCATGGCTGCTAGCATCAGAGGAGAGATTCCCAGTTTACTGCCAGTCCTGGTGGTCCAAACAAACATAACGAATTATTAGTCAATAAATGGTTTAGAAAACAAAAGTCACACGCCATGTAAAGAAATGTAAAGCAGACAAATGAGAATGTGTCTATGCTCTGGAGAAAATCTTCATTTTCAGGAACATAACGTACAAGCGTTTACAACAATTTATCAAGGTGTCAAATGCTTTAATCATCGTTTTGAAGAAGATGCCTTATTTTGTTATTTGAGTTTATAAGAGGAAAACAATTTCCAGTTATTTTTGCCATAAAGATATGGGAGAAGTTTTGCCCTACATATGAATCTCTAGTATAGGTTTTAAACATTATAGGTCAAAGAGGAATATTTGTATATTCCCCTCACCTGGAGTTAATTTCAGCTCCAGCATTGAGGAGTATCTTGATGATGTTGACGTAACCCCCGGATGCTGCCAAGCTGAGAGGCGTGTAGTCAGAAACATTGCGGTGTTCCTTATTGGCTCCCCGGAGCAGCAGCAGCTCAACCACCTGACAGACACACGCGTCAGTACAACAGCGCAGGTAAAATCATGAACAGGTTTAACGTCACTGAAGATGTCGCTTTTGTGACAGTAATGTCACAAACAATGTGTTTACCTCCTGCCGACCCCCAGAGCAGGCCAGGGACAGGGGCGTGTCTTTGGTTCTCTCTGACTGAGCCTCAATGTCTCCGCCTTTGTCCAGGAGAACTTCCACGACTCCGACATGACCAGCGGTAGCAGCCAGGATCAAAGGAGTAAAACCTGTCCAGAAAGAAGAAAACGAGGGTTTTTAACCACAGACTCATCACACAAACTAGGTGTGAAATAAAATCTTTTTTAACAGAACCATGAAAATGTCTCTTGCTGAAATCAGACCTTTTTTATCCCGGTGCTCAATGTTCGCTCCCCGTGCGATGAGGACAGACACCAGTTCCTCGTGTCCGCCTGCACACGCCAGCGTTAGCGCTGTGTCATGGTTACTCTCCGTCTGGTGAGGAAGCAAATGCTTTTAACAGAGTGACTCTCAATATTGAGATTTATCTAATGTCAAAATGTTATTATATCTTACATGTGCATCGATGTCAACCGAGGGGTAAAGGGGCAGAACCGAAGGGGGCGAGGCGATGTTTGCGGGCATCTGTGTGGGTGGCTGGGAGAGGGGTGTGGGTGAGGTTGTAGTGTTCAGCATGGGCACACGGCTGCTCACAGCTGCAATGGAAGGAGAAGACTCTTATAGAAACAGGCAGGTCCAGGACTTTGAACACCCTTAAATCCAAGGAGTCCACAACTAAGTTGAAGAAAACCAGGAAAAACACTTACCTGCCATGATGTCATCAAGCGTGTCTGTGAGCGTCTGTGCAGGTGTAGCGACCATGAGCCCATCTGGAGCCTGCTGAGGTATCATTCCTGGGCCCAAACCGGCCAGCTGTTGACCCTGCTGCTGTTGGCCCAGCATCTGCTGCCCCACCAGTACCCTCTGCAGCTCTGGGCTGGTGCTGCCCGGGTAATCGGCGGGGTTGTAGTCCGGGAGGGGTTGGATGGGGACGAAGGCAGCCTGAAGAGGCGGGGGAGGGGGCTGGGGCTGTGCCTGTGGTGAGGGGGGTAGAGGAGGCTGCTGTGGTGGCTGTGGCCCATCCCTGTAGAGGATTGTGCCAACCTGAGGAAGCTTAGGGTAATCGTCCTCTTCTCCATCTGCTTCTTCCTCAGAACCCTCCTCTTCGTCATCCTCTTCCTCGTCCTACAAGAAAAAAAACACAAAAAAAACACGATTAAACCACTCAGTTAACATGAAGATCAGAGGAATCAGACACAATCATACTGGTTACACTTCATACAAAGGGGCTGACCTCCTCCCCGTCTTCTCCCAGCTGCTCTTCCTGTTTGCCGTCTTTGTTGGCCTCCTCATCTGTGTCAGAGCCGGTATGCACAAGGGCACCTGGTGCTGCGGGAAGAGGGCCTGGAGCCGGTGTTGTAGTTCCAGGTCCCGGACCCGGACCCTGGCTTTGTCCAGCCTCCTGCTCCTCCTTTAAACCCTTCGCCTCCATGTACTCTTTGGTAAACTGTTGCTGTGTTTTAAGCTGCAGCTGGCGCTCCACTTTCTGCAGCTCCTTCAAGATTTTCTTCTTCTTCTGCACCTAGGTGGACAACAGCCACATCCTTGTTTGACAAGTACTGATATATGCAATGCGATTCACGCTGCACAATATTTCAGTGTGAATTATTGTTTTCGGCTCTACTCATCAGAACCCATCAAAAGTAAATTCACAATCATCAAGATCTTCGGTGAATGATTGATTGTACCTGCTCCTCTCGGCTCTTCTTCAGCTCCTCAATCTTGTCTTTGGTGAGCGGCTCCCCCTGAATGAGTTCTAGCGACTGAAGCTGAGCCTTCTCGATAGCGCTGATTCTCTGTCCCAGCTCGTTCAGCTTTCCCTCCGTCTCCTCCACAATGCACTCTAGAGGCTGGCACAAGTGGAAGGGCGGCAGAGGCTCTGCTTCAGGCCCCCGGCCGACTGTGCTGGGGACACCGGGCTGAAGGGCCGCCTGTCTCTGTTTGGAAACGCCTGGATTTGAACAAAAAACAGAGTTGAGTGAATTCTGAAACGCCATTTTGCTAGAATTCTCACCGGTGATGGGACAAAGCGCCGAATACCTTTGCTTGAGACAGGTGGGGGTGTGGCGATGTTTGATGGGGCTCGGTCGGGCTCCTGAGGGGGCACTACCATGGCGAGAGCTTGGAATGGGACACGAGGAACCTGTGCCAGCAGAGGACATGTTGGTATTTGTATAGTATAGTATTCAGAAAGAAGTTTTGGTTTTTTTTTTATTGTTTTCTTTTTCCCAGTGTGAACATTATTTAAATGTAGAACTTATCCCTCCACGTACCTGAGAGGCATCTTGCGAGGGAGGGGTGAGCTGGGAGAGGTCAGGGGCTGGGACAGACAGGATGTTGTTGGGATAGTCCAACAGGTAGGAAACCACATTGGTGTGGCCACCTTTAGCAGCTTCTATCAACATGGTTGAACCGTCCTACAAAGAGAGAGCAAACATGTTTCAATGACGTGTTTGACTTCACACACCATAATCAGTCTGACTTGTCGTAATAAAATCCAGTGTGCGAGAGCGAGTGTGAGCATTACTTTGAGTCTGTGTGTGGGATCCGCCCCATGCGCCAACAGCAGCTCCACCACAGCCAGATGTCCTCCAGCACAGGCCAGAGACACCACTGTGTGATCGTTGTTGGCAGTAGCTCTGTTCACATTAGCACCTAAACAAGAGCAGAATGTAAATGTAGGTCATCATGAGAACTCACCATAGTGGGTCAATAAGATTAAAATCTTCAACATCATACTTGAGCTACAAGATTTTAACTGTATCTGCAAACACTCAAAAACAAACTATTAAAAATCAACTGTAATTCAAGCATCAAGAAAGTGAGTAAAGTGAAGTTCTCGACTGACTCCAGTCAGGTGGTTTAAGTCATCAAAACTTCATTTCTAAATGTTTTTTTCTTTAAAGCTTTAATCATCTATCAGCATCTATCTGCTGCTAAATGCTGATTTTTCCTCAAACTGCCTAAGTCTGGACTGGACTGGGGTGTTTCACAAACTGCAGCTTTACAGTGTTGCCATGTCTAGGTAATGACGTTCAATTACAAACAGGAACCTCTTTATATATCACTCTATTTGTGTCAACAGCTCGTACCTTTGCTGATAAGGAACTGAACTGTACAGAGATGTCCCGCCCTTGCTGCCTTCATTAAGGGCGTCCGCCCTCCCTCAGACTCATGTTCCTGAAAGACAACGGGAAAGAAATGTAAGTTTAGTGCAGCAGGAAACCCTCAACCTTACAATGTATTCAGTTCAACTGCAATACATCTGGACAGGAAAGACTCAGTGCATGAATTACTCCTTGGTCTAGTGCACAGATGTGATATGCATTGGACAAGAAAGCAGGAAAATACTGACCCCAACCCACCAGCAAATACATTATTTCATTAAATCAATATTTATATTCTGTTAAAGACATTTAAAGACTCTTTACCAACATTAGCATGAATCCCACATGGAAGTGTAAGGTACGGCCTTAAGCCTGGATGCACTGAGATTCTCCCTTTTCACTCAAAAGCTTATCACCTCGTTCTTTTAAATGTGTTTTTTAAATGGTCACCATGACTCTTGTGAGTCACTCTTTGAGGTCAAAAACTTTGCAGTTCCAGATAAGACTGAAAGAATCACAACCCTGGAAATTTTATTTTAATGTTTACGAAACATAAGAGACAAATTGTAGGTACCAAGTTGGCTCCAGCCTGCAGAAGCACATCCGCCACATCAGTGTGTCCATTCTCACAGGCATATGTCAATGCTGTGTCCCCTGTTGCTGTGGTGGCATGAACATTTGCCCCTGAATGACAAAACATAGGGATGAGGATGTAATTACACATTTAAAACTACAACCACCTACATCTGCAGCTCTCATCTTCCTCTCCTTCAGCTCACCTGCAGCCAGAAGGTATTTCACCAACTCCAGGTGGCCCTCCTGTGCAGCTTCCATTAGAGGTGTGGAACATCCCAACTCGATGTCTGCGCCCGCCTTGATGAGAAAGTCAGCCACTTCCAGGAAGCCCCCACAGCATGCCAGAGTCAGAGCCGTCTCCTGGGTCTCCTCTGTCTGGGCGTTGATGTTAGCACCTTGACATAAGAGCAAAGCAGTTTGTGATCAGTGTCTCATTTGTTATCATTTAGTGCAAAACAGAGCATGCTTTTAAAAATAGGATGTAGGCCAATATAATTTCACAGATTACACTCTTGATTGTGTCATTTCTGCACTGAGAGGGGAACTATGGTGACCAAACAAATCCAAACAATGATGCACTATTTACTGGAAAGGCATCTCATATCAGGTTTTCATTTCCTTGATGAAAGAGCCCAGCTTTCTTACCTTGAGCCAGCAGCAGTGCTACCATCTCCTCATGGCCTTCTCTAGCTGCTTCCATCAGAGGGGTGTAGCCCTCATCATTGACCTGGACACAAACAGACCCATTAGCTCACAAGAGAAAATAAGGGCGAGTATGACTCACTGCAAGACAGCTCTGTGGTGTAGAGCCCAGCTTGTCTTTTGATTCACTGTACTATCAGTCAGGATGGGAAACCAAAAACCAGCTGGTATTGATAGAGTCAACATCTTAAGATAGAGTGTTTGGTGTGAGAGCAGACACTGTGAAAATCTGACGCAATGTCATTTTGCTTGATATCCTGTGACTGAGTCTGCTTCCTGATTGCTGAATGTTTTTTGTTGAGGCATTAATTACAGCAGTGACATTCAAACAAAGGACTTTTTCAGTGCTCTTGCTTTCCCTTTTGTTGTGTTCTTTTTTTAAATAAAGAGATGAACAAGTTTGGATCTTAAATTTTAATAAATCTAAATATTCACATTTACAGCTAAACATCTTTTAATTTAAGCCTTGGCCTTGTGTAGTATTTCATATAATGTATCAATGCATCATTTATCATGGAGATGAGGTCTAGTAAACTCTAACATCAATGTGAGATCAAACATTTGTTTCATATTTACAGACACAGCTCCAGGATGAAAACTGAAAAATGCATCCTATCCAGTATTTTATATTCTGTCCCATGTTTACATTTAAGTTTCTTTTTTCTCTCTTTTTTTTATTTTTACAAACCTCCTCCAAGTTGGCTCCTCTCTCAATGAGCAAGGCTGCCAGCTCCACATGTCCCCCGCAGGCTGCGAGAGTGAGGGGCGACTCAAAGGAATCTGCTGGCATGTTGACCTGCGCTCCGCTGTCCAACAGCAGCCTTGCCACCTCCACATGGCCGTCCTGGGACAGCGAGACACACAGAGAAAGTGGAGATAAGCACCTGAACTAATAGATGGGCTCTTCACGGTTCACTTTTGAAATGGGGGACTCCAACTTGATCATAAAGTGATTCCAAATAAGAGTTAATAAATATAAATATTATATATAGTTTGTTTTGGCTTATAAATGTTTTTCGATAGAAGTGCATTCAAGGCACCAAATGAGAAGACAGAAGCCTGCATTAGAATAATACTAAAACACTGTCTATGAAACCCTAAAACTTCATCTCAAACTAGTGTATATTTTATATAGATAAGAGCAAAAATCCATGTGGCATTGAGAACTGATCCTAAAAAAAAATTATATTGTAGGTTTGGGTCAGATGCTCACCATGCACGCCTCCATCAGTGCTGTGTGCATCTCATCTGTTTTATGTTCCTGGTCTGCTCCAGCCTCCAACAAAAATCGCACCATATCCAAGTGACCTGCAGGAGACAACAGCAGATTCCCTCAGCCTTAAATCACTGACAACAACAAAAAAACAAACATAGAATTAAAGAGAGTCCACAACTGCACTTACAATGTTGATGAGAAATAGAAAAGGATGGGCTGCAAATCTTTCTAAGTCTATATTCAGTTTAATCAAATGCAAATACAACAAATCAAATGTTCAAACTGACAGATCTTACCGTACTGTGAAAAATGTATGCTCATTGAAATTGAGAAAATGAAATGCTCATATTTCAGCACATTTGGAACAGGGGCGTGCTAGCTGTTGCATTGAATCTTCTGTAACAACACTGAATGTTGTGGAAGCGAGGAGACCACTTTAGAGTTTTAAGATTAAATGTTGTTCCATTTTACCTCATGTGGATATCAGCTACTTGAAATTTGGGGGTCTCCTTGTCATATTTTTTGTGTCATATTGCTCCAAATATTAATCTAATAGGTGACAAGTTGGGAGTATAAGCTGACCAATGCGGCACACAGACTCTTCCACTATACTATGTGCAAAATGGAGTCTGGCGTCTTCTTACTATTCTTACTATATCCGTACACTGACTACAGACACTGTATGTACAGTGTCTGTAGTCCATCTTTAACAGGCTTAGGCCCTGAGAAGTAACCAAGGTTTGAACATGGTGCCCTTTCTGAATGGTACAGCATCTGTGGATGCAGCAACAAACTCTGTTCCTAGACTTTAGATTTTGGAAGTGATTTTGAGATAACCAAAATGACAAACAGGGTACTTGGATTCTGACCTTTGTAGCATGCGAGTGTGAGAGCGCTCTCTTTGAACTCGTTGGAGTGTGTGTTGATCCCAGCGCCATACTCTAGGAGTACCCTGGCCACCTCTACGTGACCTGCGCTGGCCGCCTCCATAAGAGGTGTGTGTCCGTTCTCATTGTGGTCCTCAATATTAGCACCCTCTTTCAGAAGCACCTTCACCACGTCCACAAAGCCACCGGCACATGCGTACGTCAGAGCTGTGTTACCTAAAAAGACAGGTCAGAGATTACTCGCACTGAAAGGGACGTCCCGTCAAAGAGAATGATCCTGACTGTGGAAAAGTGAACAGGGGGTTTTACCTGTGGAGGACTGTGCATTAACATCTGCTCCGTGGACCAGAAGCAATTTGACAATGTCCACATAACCTCCGCTGGCAGCAGCCATCAGTGGCGTTATGTCCCCCTTGATGCCCCGATCCTCCACATTTGCATGCATGGCCAACAAAACCTGAAAAGGTATGCGATTAAGTTAAAAATGAACTTGGAGACGTGACAGTGAACAACTGGAGACAATGACTTACACTTTAGTATATATCCACTGCAATCCATCACAATAATTCTTAATAACAACTCATCCTGCGTTTCTGCTTACACACCTGTGCGAGTTCATAGTAGCCAGCTGAGCAGGCGAGGCACAGCAGGCTCTCTCCTTCCTCTGTGTGTTCATTGACGCTTCTTCCCTCATCCAGCAGTTTGCGCACAGCATTGACATCCCCGTCGGAGCACGCCTCTGCTAAACTACGGCTGAAAATAACCAGACTGCTACAATTACTGCTTCTGTGACAGGTCAACGCAAACACGCCTCACATTCACTCCCATGGAGCAAACACACACACACGCACGCACATGCAAACATACTGTGTGTTTAACTTCAGCTTAATCTTAAAGAGAATAATTGTATTAAGATACATACTTGTCGGCTTGGCCGGCGTTGAGTGTGTTTTCAGCTCTCATGCGGGTCAGGGCTGCAGCGGCCTCGTCCAGCGCGCAACTCACAGATGACGTCAGTCGCCGTAGCACCTCAGGGTCTGCAAAAGCTTTACCATCGGCAGTGGACAGTTTACCGATGCCTGCCGGACATCAAAAGGGCGGAGATGCGTAGGGCAAGGCAAACCACATGGGGAGCACAACCACACCAGACCAGATGAAGAAGCAAGTCCAGTCCAGCCAATCCAATCCAGGGTTAGTAGCAGCATACGCAAAAGAGGAAAAAGAGAAAAACACGCACACACACACACACAGAAAACACACACAAGCATCGGTTAATATGGCTTAATGTCTTTCCACTAGTTTCAATACACCATCTATGATTCTTATTTCCTATTTTGTGGCCTGTGATTGGTCTACACATAATGAGGACTATAAAGCCTTAAAGCCTTGTAAAACAGATCGGTGACCAGCCCAACAATGAATACAGTGATGAATAGGAGTTAGTTTTATAGGCTAGTCGACTAAGGTTCAGACTGTTCATGGTAAAAGAGAAAAGAGACTCATCCTGTGTGAATTATAGATGGGTAAAAGGCAGTGAATGTAAGAGAAACACACTGGAGACAGTGGTCAGCATGAGAGGAAAGCACAGCTGGGAGGAAAACAAAATGCCAAAAGAGAGAAAAATGTGTTTGTGTATGTTTTTTTTTTTTTCATTAAAGAGAGGAGAAGCCAAAGAGGGAAACAAGAGGGAAGAGTTAGCAGGAGGAAACATGCAGCTATTGCTATTGACCTACATTGTGAGATCCCTTTAAGGGGACAGACCGAGGATCATTTCCTAACCAGAGAAACTATTTAAGTGTTTGTGTTGAGCGTAGCAGCAACAGAGCATGTGTAAAAAGAAGAGTTGAAGTATTTTAGTTGTAGTTTTTCCCTTCCTTAGTCTCACCCTTGCTTTTAGCCAGACAGACAGAAGTGAGCTCTAGTCTTTGTGGTCCTCCTGTGTTTTTACCACTAGGCCTGTGACTCAAGCTAAACTTAGCATGGATCTCAGACATGGATTTCGCAATGATCCCCAAGGCAGAGAGAAGCGAGAGGTCGAGGAAGTTGATCATTAATGTTTTACTGTATTATGTTTATCTCAGACAAGAAGCAAAAAGCACACTGACTGAACCAAAACAGACAGAACATTCGTTGGAGTTTAAGATCCTGACTGTAAACAGTTCACTTTTTTCCAGCCTTTTTTTTTATGCGAAAACAAAAAAACATCAACTTTATCTGCATGCCTAAATCAGACTCAGAGGAACTAACTCCTGTATTCGGGTTAACTCTCTTGAGTGAGCTGAATGGACATTGAGCTCTTCTGAGGTCAAGGCTGTAACTTGAAAAACCAGAAAATATTTTTGTTTTCTTTTAACTGAAACAAGTTACTGGCGAGCCACTCGGCTGCCCACACCGACAGCACCAGCAGCACATGATTCAATCTCAATAAACATTTTTATCCAAGTTACTAATTAAAATTTCAGTGAGTGTCTTTTTTTTTTTAGAGCAGCCCACGTAAAATTGCAAGAAAGCCAACATTGAACCTCTCAGAAATCTTTAACAAAAGCAGCTGTCATCTGTTATTGTGATGTCAAGAAGTGAAGTTGTCAATCTGTTTAACTTTCTGAACTTTCTCTTCCAACAAGGCAAGACAGAAACAAATCGCATCTTTTTTTTCAAATTAGATTCTCAGTAACACACTGACTAAAAACTTCATTACGTTTTTAAATCGGCACATGAAACTCATCTGGACTGAGACATGCCTTGCCTTAGCAGCGCTGCACAGGGGTGTCTGCGTCCATGAAGTCTAGTCTAAATCAAGAACGTAAGAGATACACAAGGTGTTTGCCCACAAGAACCGTCTCCAGAGCTACTGCCCTCCTAACTCTGACATGTTTACACTGACGAGATGTGCTTCTAAATGGTTGGGCTCAAATACAGAGTACAAAATTCGCATTTATACCAAGACTTATACTTACTCAAGTGTAATTTATGAGAGAGACTTGAATTAGGACATAGTTGTTTTCACAAGGTTCACATTAAACTGACATCTTTACTGTGCATCAACATTAAAACATGTATACACAGATGTAAATAAGTCTGTAGGAGACATGGACAAAGTTTTTCCTGCTCTATCAGTGGCATGAAGTTTATAACAATATCACTTGATGTAAGATCCCTGCATGGCTATTCTGGAAACTGAAATAACAAGACATCGTGAAATCAGAGTGTACTGCAAAATACAGTGATTGAAAAATACTTCACTTCTGTTCTTTGGTTTACTTAGTGGAATATCAGCCGGATTTGTATCCTGTTCTGACCAACTCAATCATGACTAAGGCGTTTTTCCCACACAAAGATTTCAACTATATATGTTAAATCTCTCTGCGGTGACCTGCATCAAAGGAGGTACAGCTGGTATTTATTTACCTTTATTTCTGGAGACTATCTATCCTTTCAAAGGGCTCTCATATGTTGCCAGTTCACAGCAGGCTATTTACACTCTAATTACGCTCCTCATCTGCAATGTGTAATGCTCAGAAAAATTAAAGTAGGGCAAATGGTGGGGCAAACTTGGTCTGTTAAAACCTGTTGCATGAGGTCGAATGTGGCTATATGTGCTAGTTATAGTTTCATCGTCATTACAGTTTTAATGCTGATATAAAACACCTGTACAGACCCCTGTTTACCTTGTGCTTTGTGTCTTACAACATCACCTTGTGTAAACCGAGCCAGGCTGTGCAATTAAGTTTACCCACTCAACTAATGAACTGTTGAATGTTACCAAGGGATAAAATAGTCGTTAGCTTATCTTTTACCTGTACAAATATAATACAACTACATTTAAGAGCCAAAGATCATAGCTGAGCTTTAGAGTGTCGTATGAAATGTGCTGTGATCTGTTTGAAAAGACACCTTCACTTAAACTCTATGGATTACTTTGGAGCCAAACTTGATCACAACAATAATGGTCATTGTCAAGAACTCATCAATCCAATCTGATTGTGATTGTTTGCGTCACAATTCACTTCAATGTCCATTTGATTCAATATTGATAGATCGATGTGCTCTGAAATTGACTCAATAACATGCATACAAGACAGAAATACCCAGATCATCTAACATTTGTAGAATATGAAAAATAATTGTGCGCCTTAATTGTATTGGTTTAAAAATAAAACTGCTCCAAAATACACAGTGCATTCAAACATCTGCATTTAAACAAAGGGTTTCGAGCAAATATTTTGCCTTCATGTTTTTTAATCATCATTATTAGCCTAGCCATATTAACATAATATGAATATGAAAGAGGCAGGTGCTTCTCACTGTACAGGAAAACTAGGTCTAAACTTTTTATTTGAAATGTTCTGTTGATTTTAATCATAGAAAACGTAGCGAGCCGTCGTAAAGTGAGTAGTCCACTGTTTGGGCCACAATCTTTTGGATGGACTGATTCCAGGGCCGTCTGAAAATATACTGAACTAGGAAAAAAATATTGCAGTTGACTGATGAATCATTTTATGTAAGCCCTGATCAAATTTGCTGCGAAAAACCTTGGTGTGCGTTTGATTATCTTGTCCTGTATTTCTGCTTTGGTTCTCTTTTCTTAACTAAGTCACCATTTGAATAGGAAATGTAAGACCTCTATGAAACTTGTTTGGTTAAAAATAAAGTTAGTAATTGTACAGACTGTGTTTAAAGACAGGAGCATGCAGAAAACAGAGACACACTTTTCTTACCAATGTTCGCTGCATGTGCAGTTGATTATCGTTTTAATGAAAATACATCATACACTTCATTTACAACCAGCTCCAAAAACATTTTTCTAGGGTTTTTTTTTTTTTTATTATCCCTTAGTATGAAATTACAATTTTGCCAAATACATTTCTATCAGTGTGGTACTTTGAAGTGTCAGAGTTTGCTGGAGTTTCAGCCCTGCGGTACAAAATAAAGTATCTCTTCCATTATAGTATGGCAGGGTATCACTATGAAATACGTGCGTCAAAACATGAATTTACAGAGGAGCTATCTGTGAATGCACTCGACTGAGGGTGGAAACTGAAATCTTTCTCGTCTCCACTGACATACACCTTTGCCTACAGTCTACCGACAAACAGCTGCATCAAGACAGCAATCCAAAATGGATTATACTCCCAAAGGAGAAACTAGATGTCCCCCAAAAAGAAAATTCAAGGCTCTAGCTCTCAAAGTACCCCTAGAATGATTTCTATAAACAGTTTTGTTTCTATTCAGCGATACCTCCATGGTGTTTTCCTGCACCCTTCAAGCTGTACAAAGCAAGCCGTTTTCAAAGGACAGGAACGTTAAGTGAAATAAGTAAGTATGTTTGTGTTTTAGTGTTGAGGGGTCACAAGTAGCAACGCTGGGCTGGGGAGTGACTGTCAATCAGCATATGGCTCTGCTGGCTGTGGATCAAGCTTTGATGCAATTTTCTCATTTGTGTTTTTTTGGGGGGGTGTTGTTGTTTTAAAGGCACAGTCTAGTGACGCTTGCAATGCAGATACAAATGGTGGAGTTTACCAGAGGACACACGCACTGTGCTGAAGGCAGGACCTTCCTTACCATTTGTTCAAGTCTATTTTCCTCCCAATATCATGTAGCCTTGTACAACACCTTATTTAATTTTTACCACAGCAATGAAATTATCAATACTTCTACATTAAACTACAACGAACATTTTAAGCTCTGTGACGGTAAAACGGACCCTTCTGCATAACTGGAGGACGCTCCATCAGAGTGATCTGTAAAACTATCTGTCTTAACTTTTTCTCTCTGTCAGAATCAAGTTTTTTTTCTCTCTTTAAAATAAATAGATACCTCATGTTTTACATCACTCTACTAACAAGAGAATAAAGCATGGTCAAGAAAGTAGTCCAAGGTCAACCAAGTATAGTTAACAGTATCAATAGCTGTCATTAATTATCAATGACTGGTCTAACATGTTGCATTTCTTTGAGGGTTTGCTTGAAATTCAAAGTCTTGTTAAAATGCCCACAACAGTAGATGTTTTGTCAAACAGATCAAATATTTGGAGCCATTCCTAAACTCCAGTACATTAGTATCATAGTGTTTAACCAGATCTTTACCACAGCTGCGGTCTTTCATATGGAGTATCTCCTGACATCTAGTTTAACCAGAAATTCACCGCTTAAATCCTTTCCCCCTAACTACATAACACAGAAATATATCCAAAGTAAAGGCGTAGTTAACACTTCAAATGCTCATCAAGTGGAAATGCATCTGAATATATGTAACTCATAGTCTATAGTTCGCAATTACATAACATGGACAACATTTTACAACCAACTTAAATACTAACTAAATGTTTGGATCTACAGTTTTGTATAGAGTTTCCTTTTTATGCTAGAACATTTGGATATATTCCTCTACTCATCTCCCTTTAGGAAAAATAACGCCTGTCAGCAACAACAAGTAAGCACGTGAATCAAAGTTTTACGATATATTGGCTTCACTAACTTGTCAAATAAAAAAGACACAATGATTATGAAGTGCAAGAAAATGTGCTTAAGTCCTTTTATCCATTTAGAGGGCTAAACTGCCATGAAATCCTTAAAATGACATGTATGAGAATCTTTATATTTAACAAAAATGGCTGTAATATCTCTTTCCAAAGCCCAATTTCCCTGAAGTTTACAACCAACACATGATGTGGATGTTATTGATCTAAAGAAGCTACTTTTGAAGTACAGCAAACATAGCAAGGTTGTTTTTGAATGAGAACCAATCAGAACCTTCTTTGCTGGTACTGTACAAACCACGATAAGACACCTAAAATACAGATGAACCATTCAACTTGTTATTATTATTATTATTATTATTATCAAATGACAGTCATAAAAGATCTTACGCCACCTCTTCTGTTCCGACTAGTCATGGAGAAAAGGGAGTAGAATGAGATTAGCCATTAGCTGTTCAACACAGCCTCTCTGCATGCTGTGGAGGCTCAAGCGCGTTGCAGCGTTAATCTGCCTGGTAATGTTCATAAGCCCAAACGAGGCCAGGACACACAGCCCTAATGAATTAATCTACACAGACCTTCTTAGATTACCAGTTGTAATCAAACTAATTTTCCCCAATCACTTTCAAACCATGTGCTGATACAACACTTGCAGAACTGGTAGGTCCTCTTATTTATTTATTTTTGTCAGCCTAAGGGCTAAAAAGCTCACCGTCTGTTGGTATTTGAAAGGAATAGGGGAAAAGGCTTGAGAATACGTATGGATTTACTTCTTCGGAGTTAGTCAGTGTTAAAGCACAAACTACGGCTTGTTGCAGCATGATAGGTGTGGCCGGTGAAGTGCTGGTCAAACAGAGGTGAACTGTAGCAAGTCTACTTCTGAATTAAGAACACAGACAAAGCCGTCCTACCTGCAGCTTCCAGGAGAGCTTCAAGTCGGGCCTGTGTCTCTGGATCAACAGTCCTCAAATCTACTCCATCTGTGGCGCTGGATAAAAGCAACTCTGACGCTGTCTTCATGATGGGGTTATCCAGGTCCTCCTGGTCCAATATGAATGATTCCACCTTGAAGAGATACAAAGAGGCCAAGTGAATCATCGCCTGCCTGTTGATAGGCTGTTTTCATCTTTATTCCTGATCAACAACTGTACCTAACTCTAAGTGCTGATGATTTGTGACATGTAACAGATACACCAGGAAGTTTTAATTCAACTGATTCACGTGAATTCTCACTTTCTTTATTCCTCCCTTTGTTTATTACAGAAGTGACCCTAAACACAATAACATGCCACCTTTTAAAAGATCAGGCATGCTGCCCTTGTTTGCTTTCAATTTCTTTCAACAGAGGGAGAAAAAAAGGAGTGTAGGGATAAGGGAGTCAAAGCACGGGAAGTGCTATGGCCAGGAATTAAAACCCAGCACACATGGAGGGATTCAGCTGAGAGTCAGCTGCCCAAGTACAGCAGCACACTTTCATACCTGAGCTTTGGCCCTGCTGGCTATCCTGTATTACAGCTTTTTGGACAAAAATGTCATTATTTGGAGAAAAAAAACAAATGAGTCAACAAAAAAAGAGCAGTTAAGCTGTTTTTTTTCTCACTTAAGTCCCAATCAATATTTTCACCTAACTCACCACAGCTAACACATCTTAAACAGATGGAATCATTGACTAGCTTTTAATCCAATCCAATTCAAATTATGGTGCAGTGCTCCCCCAGTATATTGGTATGTTGGTGTAAGGAAGGAACCATACTTTTCATCTAAACTAACAAACCCTCTTTTTTATATTTCAAGCTGATTTCATCGTGATAACTGGATTAATTCCAGTGTAATAACATTTAGTGGCCCCTTTATGTTTGGGATGTAAGCAAAATGTTGTTGTTTTCAACATATTTACAAACTCCCCAGCTGTATCACAGGTAGTTACGCAGTTGACATGCTTTTATAACCAAAAAAGTGAAGTAAATATCAAAGTAAAGGCTTTATAGAAGATGCAAATGTAAACTATCCAAAAGTTTGTCATGACTACTCCCATCTCTTTTCTCGGGTTAAACTTAGTTGAGGGGGAAAAGAAAGAGTTTTGGTTTTCATCCAGGTGGGCAACCTACTGACATCAGGGTGTACTGATCCATACTAAGAGTTTGGCCAGGAAACAACATCAGCGTATTCTCTAACCCAGAGACTTATTTACCCATAACAGAGATCTTGTTGAATTGCGGTCAAAATTTTCAGTTGACATATCAACTTACTTCAGCAATCAACCAACAGAGAGGTTCGGATTTAGGTAGCTTCTAGATTTAGATGAAGTACAATGGCTCAATATTTGGCAAACAATCTTAGACAGAAATTATGACAGAAACCACCTCTGTCTATGTCCATCCATATTTTGCAACAGGCTTTCAAGGCCTGGTCAGAAGAGCAAATGTTGGGAGAGAGTCAGCAATGTGGAGGAATTCAGCTATATGACAGGAACAGAGAGCAAAACAACCTATGGGGGATGTAGTTCTGCAGTGGCCTTTATAATCAACAATAGACATCAGATTTCACCATTAATGAACTACAGTTCCCAGGGTGTTGGTATCCAGAGAGCTGGAAAGGCCTAGAATGGCATCTGCTTAATCCTGGGGCTCAGATTTTAGATACTGCCCAGAGCAGCGAGTTCTCTACTGGTGTAAAACACCACAACAAACACTCCCTTTCAGGCTTGGATGGTAGGTTTGGTGAGTGAAGAAACATGACACAGAGGCCACACATTTGCTATTTGATTCAATTAAATTGCCTGAGATGCATTTGTCAAACTTGGTATTTTCCTCCTCTGCTACTACACAGCTGATGCTCACACTGAAATGGACAGACTATGTTGACATTTGCATCAGCTGACACATCCATACTTGTCTGGGCGTCATGGCTGTAGTGTGATTCAGACAGACCGCCCTTTGCTCAGATATTAGCTTTGCTAAACAGAGACTGATCAACAGGTAATGTGTATTACTCAGGAGTGCCAGTTTTCCCCACGCCACATACTCTTTATCAGAGGTGTTGACTTTTAGTAAACAGCTACTGCATCGCCATTTTCAATGACAGTATAGATAACATCACCATGACAATGACATTAAGTCGTTTGATAGGTTTGTGCAAATCGTTTTTCTATCTAGCAGTGTGACAGGTCCGTTCTTGCTTCTTGCGTTGCCTGCAGTCATTGTATAAGGTAAACTTAATTACATGATAAAAGTGTGACTGACAAGAACACACAGTTGAACGGTTTGATTTGCTATCCAGTTGAAAGCTCCTCTTGGATGGATTCGGTACATTGATATCTAGATAATGTTGTTTGCAGAGGCCGTGCCGTATGCTATCTATGCATCAATCTGAATACAAAACATGTCAGACGTATGTTTGACTGAAGAGTAAATGCCATCACACTTTTCTCACTGTATGACTGCCAGCACATGGAAAGTTGGACGCCTCTCAACGTGAACTCTCAATATTGAGAAGGCAAATCAAGTCGACCCGGTGGCGTTAGCTTTCTGGACCACACCGACAAAGGATGAAAATAACCCGACTGGTTTATTTGTCAACACTGACTGTCGAAAATTCGAGTAACCCCGCGAGGGAGAGCCTGATCTAAACGTGACAAAAAAAAGTTCGATCAGAGTAAATGTACATGATATGAGGAAAAGTGACGTAATTGCACCACGACTAAGAAACGGCAGTCAGTGAGCTGGCCGTGAACGTCCGTGGGTCATCAGGCTTCTTCCATTTGCTGTGGCGAGAAAGCTGCTGGGAGAGCTGCAAACTTGTGATGGGTGTTGCGAGACGACAGCACCGTACGAGGCCGTCTTCGCTTCCACCCGAACTAGGCCGTATTCACAGCCTGCACTGCATAAATAAAACATTTCAGCCGCTTAACGTTAACAACCGCCCGTGTCTCATCAAACACGATCGATATCATATAGCTTCATAGCTGTATAAACAGGCAGGGGGTGTTATTGGTTTCAAGTGCTGTCTTATTTTACGTAATTTCAGCGGCCTGGGAGGGGGTGGTTGCCAACTGCGAGCTAAGTAGCTAGCTAGCTAGGACAGGAATGCTGCCTCTCTCTCTCTCTCTCTCTCTCTGGTTAGGCTGAGCTAACTAGCTTAGCTTAGCGTAGCTACCTCTGAAACCTCGTCTTCGTCGCTGCCGGATCCTGGACCCGAGGAGAGGACGGCCGCAGCTGCTAGTTTGAAATCCAGTCTTTCTGCAGCAGGCCCGCCTGGTTCGCCGTACAAACGTACTTTCTTTCCACCTACACCAATCCCAATGCCCCCCAGTCCGACTCCTCCTGGTGTCGCTCCTACCCCCATCCCTGCCACTGGGGAGCGAGGAGTCACCGAGTCAATCTCGTCCTCGAAGCCGTCCGTCAGCATTGCCGTCCCGGCTACTGCATCCTGCATACTTATGTTCACAATACGTATGTTTACGCGCTAGTTGTTGACTTAAACGTCCGTCCAGGCTCTTTCTTTTAGGATATTTGCGTTGTTTTACTTCAGGGAATCCAGAAACTCTCCCGAAGCGAGGGTTGAGGAGGATCTCTTTCCCCCAGCCATTAACTTTCTAACAACCTAACCCGATACGCACTGTTTCTCAGAAAGACCGCCTCCGTTGAGAATCCTGTTGATCCTACTGGATCAGCCGGATTGAGCTCAGTTTACAATTGGCCGAAATTAATGCTTGTCAGGGGTGAGACCGCAACGTCATGTTAGGTTTACCAATATCACGAGGCTGTAGAACGAACGTCAAGACATGACATGGTAGGCCAACTTAACTGGTAGCTAGCTGCACTAGTTCATGTAAACTCTTACTGGGAAAAAAACAGTATAGAGGGTTTACTGGGAGAGTACATTGGCACGTATTATGTATTTTAAAAGGGCATAGGATGTGATTTTTTTTAATCAAAATAAACGCGAGGCTGTAACATTACAGGAAAATTTATAAATTGTAATATATTGCTTTTATGTATTTGTAAGAATAAAGAAGAGTGGTTTTAGAAGAACCAATTACTTATTATTATTATTATTATTATTATTATTATTATTATTATTATTATTATTATTATTATTATTATTATTATTATTATTATTATTATTTTCTTTTTTACTGTGACAATGATGCAAGAAAAACAACACACAAAACCAGAAAATAATATTTATAAAAAAACAGGCTGGTTACAGGATTCTTATCACACCTCATATAAAAAAAGTATAAAGTAATGTTCACTGGTGTTTTGTTGTAACTCTCAATTTCTTGATATTTCTGACATTAATCTGCAAATTGATGAAAAAAACATTATTTTCACATCTCCCTTTATTCACAAAAATTAAAAACACATGTCAAACCAGGATACATGGTATCAAAACTTTCCTGAAAAGTAGTCCACTAATTTTCAATGCTAACTAAATCAAAAGTTTCTAGCCAGACCTCAAATTCTGTTTCAGTTAAACTTTACAGGTACAATTAACTTAACAGGCTTAACCAGAAACCAAGGTTTTGTGAAAGGACTAGTTGTCCTTAAGTAAAATTCCCATACACAAATCAATTCCTAGAAAACTTGTCATTTTTCATTTTGGTAAGAGCTCATATTTTTTTTTAAGTAAAAAAGATTGACACTTTGTACAGTTAAAATGTGGGTAACAGACACAAAGTTTGTTTGCTTCAATTATTTGTGTGATTCACTATGTCCTTCATCAGCATTATGTGTTTTATATGGACATACCAATTACTTTTGGCATTCTGTGTTTCTTTGTTTTTCAGGCCCTTAAGTTTTGAGAAATAGGATATAAAATAAGTCCTCAAGAGCTATGTGCTCAGAATGTGGATGTGTGAACCTGTGCTACATAAAATGTGTCTAAGAATCAAAAGGGTATATGCAACCCAGTAAAATACATGTCTGTATTCATTTCTATGCTGTGAATGACCCTGTCATTACAAAGGTTTAAATCTCACTGCATGAAGTATCATAAAAATAAAACATACATAGCAAGCTAATATATAAAATAAATCAGATCACAAGTTCATTCAGAGCAATACGCAAGTCTCACAAATGTTGTACAAAAAAGTGCAATGTTTACCATAAATATAATGTGAATAATAACCTATACATACAATAAAGTGGATTCCATATACAGAACCTAAAGGTCTGAGCCTATATTACTAATGTTACTTCTTAATTTTTGCCTCTTTAAGGTATTTTTTGTCAAGATGACCATCATCAAAGTACCCTGCATTTAGTTAACAGCTCACTTATGACTATTACCACCATCCCTAAGACAAGGTGTTACCAGAGGTGTTGGCAGGAGGCACTTCTGTTTCAGCTAACTTGATGTAGGCCATTCTTGTTCGGGCCAAATCTTTGCAAAATAATAACAACAATAATAAGAATAAGAGTAAGAATAAAGTAATAACTTGTAACTGTTGGCCAAAAGTAGCTTTCTTCTATTACTGTTGAGCCCTGTCATCAGCATCTAGATAGTTGTGCATGTGGGTGATGTTTGTGAAATCCTCTTGCCAAAGTCTGAGCTTTTCTTAGAAAAAAAAGAAGAAAAATGATTCTGTTGTTAATGTATTCACACAAGCTCATGCATTCTAGGTTATAGTCGTACATCAGGATAACTTCACCAAGCCAACAAAAAATGTGTTGTGCGTTTTGTTGTGGCTCCAGTTTGGTTGAACCTAAACTCATACTGTCCAGCACAGTTTTCTTTAAGTTATCTTGAACTTTGGCTATGTTTACACTTAATATGAAACCCATCCAGTGATATATGGAGCCATTTTTTCTCTGGGAAAAATATAGTCAAAACATGAGTCTTCTGTGATAACCACTGTAAACAGGGTAACTTAGATATGTAGGCCAGGAGATGCCGCCCGGCCAGCCAAGGCCTCGAGCATCAACCTCATCCGTTCAGGGCGTGGTCGCAGGCCAGTCGAAGGCTATTGGCTACTCACTCGGGGTTGCCAGACTTGTTTTAACCCGACTACTCTTATAAGCGTCAAGATTTAATAACAAAAATTTCAGGTTGAAACAATGTTGCTATCTTGAACAGCATATAGACACATTTAGTTCATTTTAAGATTATTTGTTGTGGTAGTCAGAAGTGCATTACATGAGTTAAGCTATTGTGATTCAACAACCAGTCAGTTAAGTGCGTTGTCTTGTTCTTCCTCAAGGGGGGACTTGTCGAGGCATCCGTGGCAACTCATTGCAAGATTTCAGCTTCATCACGCACGCAAGACTTGCCGTGCCTACTCCTGCGTGTTACATCTGTGTTTGAATCAGGTAAATAAGAAACGCCGTTTTCACCTCAAGCGAAGAGAAATGCAGATTTTTTTGTAATGTAACAGAATATTAGAGCAGCTAATATGAGTACTAGGAGTCGTATGATACCGTTAGCCGGGGGATGCTAGTGCAAGCTAACAGTTAGCGCTAGTAACATGGCGCCGGGGTGAGAGGGCCGCTTTTGTTCTTGTGTTGGCTGCAGTATTGAATATGCCCAAGGAAACGAATCTGGTCCAAGAAAATAATCTAATGCAAGGTCAATTTCCTATATCGCATAGGAAATCCAGAGAAATAAATCTGCTAGGACCCTTCACTCATAAGAATAACGTGGAAACCACTTTCACTTAGCTAGCTGCACATTGTTGTAGAGCTAAACATTAGCTTTGAGTCAATGGACTCGAGTGTTTTATTGTCCTTAATACTGAACAAAGCTGGAAATATCACGTCTGAACATGATTATTTCATGACACAAGATCAGTAGCGGGTTATTCATTTTTTTTCTTTATTTTGTATTTGAATCGGTTAGTATAAACCTGTTCCTAAGATTATGCTCCCATGTAATGAAGATATGATAAACCGTTATTCATCCCACGGTAGGGAAATTTGCATTGTTAACAGCAGCATTCACATCGTTCAAGCTATATCCAGACTTTGTTGATGATTGAACCCCATAGAGAAAACTTTAACCCTCCTGGGACTAATGCATGGATTGTAAAAACCATGCACTCCTGTGTTTGATCGTATATTATTATTATTATTATTCTGTATATTACTGATATTTGTATTGTCACAGGTATTGAAGTTGATGTTGTTTGCTGATGACACAAATATTTTCTGTTCTGGGCATGATTTTAAAAAGCTACTGGAGGAAATTACCAGAGAAATGAGTAAAATGAAAGTATGGTTTGACAGAAATGAATTGTCATTAAACTTAAATAAAACAAAAATGATGTTATTTCGAAATTACAGAATAAACATGCAGGTACAAATACAGGTTAATGGGGTGATGATAGAAAGGGTTAATGAAAACAAGTTCTTTGGGGTTATAGTAGATGAGCTGGAAACCACATATCAAGCATATACAGACCAAGCTATCAAGAGGCATTTCAGTTTAAAACAAAGAAAAACAGGTTCTGGATCATAAATCACTCCGTATCCTTTACTGTTCCATTGTCTTACCATACTTAAATTACTGTGCAGAGATTTGGGGCAATAACTATATGAATTCAATTAATTCACTGATTATTCTTCAAAAAATTGCAAAACGGGTCATTCATAATGTCAGTTATTTGGATCACACTCTCTCACTCTTCTTGCAGTCAAAATTACTTAAACTTACAGACATTGAGAAAATTCCAAACAGCACAAATTATGCATAAAGCTAAAAATAATCTTCTACTAATTAATAAAATCCGCACAACCAGAAAACAATTTTGCATTTCATTCTGTGGGGTGAGGCTATGGAATGGTATGGGTGAAGAGTTAAAACAATGTCCCAACATAAAACAGTTTAAAACAAAATATAAAGAATATTTTTCACAGGATACAGGGATGTACATTCAAAGTAGCTATTATCATTTTCATTGTTGTTGTTTTGTTATTTTCACTGTACTATTACACATTACTATGATGATTTATATTATAATAATAATAATGCATCAGATTTCATATAGCGCTTTATCAGAGACCCTCAAAGCGCTTTACATTGAATATTTTATATGTTCAAAATAAACTTTGATCAATCAATCAATCAATAAATTGTGAACCCTAATATGTCTAGATCAATACCGTTCATACCTGCTTGTTTTAATGATTTAATTGCATTGTTATCACAGGAGTGTGCTGATTTTTCATGTTAAACAGCTGATTGATTGCGTGATTGTCTTTTGTTCAGGGACCAACAGCAGTCATGGCTGATGAGGGATATGTAGTTCGCATCAGGGGTCTACCTTGGTCCTGTTCAGTGGATGAAGTGCAGAGATTTTTCTCAGGTATTTATCAACATGCTGTGTGGCACAATTTAAAGCAAATTATTTTAAGTGGTCAAAAAAGTGATTAATGATTTCAAATGTAGATTGCAAAATCATCAACAACGGAGGAGGCATCCACTTCACCTACACGCGAGAGGGCCGTCCCAGTGGAGAGGCATTTGTTGAGTTGGAGACAGAGGAAGACCTGAAGATTGCAGTGAAGAAGGACAGAGAAACTATGGGTCACAGATATGTAGAAGGTGTGTACAACCGCTTTGAGACGAAATAATTCTTTCAGAGAGCTTCAACTTGAAGCACTGATAATTAATAATTGTTTCCTGTCAATTTTAGTTTTTAAATCCAACAATGTCGAGATGGACTGGGTTATGAAGCACACCGGGCCGAATTGTCCAGAGACAGCAGGGGATGGACTTGTCCGGCTCAGAGGGCTTCCCTTTGGTTGCAGCAAAGAGGAGATAGTCCAGTTTTTCTCAGGTAAGAAAATAGATTGCTCTCTGGAAAACTTCCGCGATGTAATGTTGGTGATAAATATAATTTTCATCTTCCTATCTTGTTTCCTGTCTCTAATGGACTCAACAGTTCTTGCATCTGATTTTACGAAGAGGTCGAAATGCCATGGAAACTGATCATTTTCTTCTGTTTATGAATACAGATCAAAATATTACTTTGATTGATGCCTCGAAATGTTGATAAGCGAGGACATGATGCCAGAGAAGGAGGCCTGGATTAAATAAACATGAAAAATATTGTCGCTCTTCATGTTAAGTTAAAGGGCAGGAATTTATTATGCAAACATCTTTTGCCATCATTGCATATCATATTCATCTTAAGCCCATTTCCTGTGCTTTTTTTCCTTAACGTGACTTGAGTTTTCAGTCGTCTTTGCCTACTGGTAATTTACTAATGACGGAAACGTTCACTGATTGGACCAGCGATACCTTAGTGTCTTTCTTTCTTTCGTTTTTACTTTTCCTCACATACTTGTCTTTTCAATACAGTTTTTTACACTTACGCAAAGTGTTGTATTCGTATTTAAAGGGCAGTTACACAACTCATGTCACCCACCAGGATCTTGTTCTCTCTTCATCAACACACCAATACTAGCTTGATGTCCCAAACAGTTCCCTTTTTCATATTCTTCCTCTATCCTCTCATTTCTACTTTACCCCAACTACAGAGTCAATGTTAGTCTTTTGAATGACCAGTCACTGGTTAAAAACTGAACTGGTATGTGTGATGATGTATAGAGTTTTCCATAAGTTTTCTATCTCTCTCTTTAGAGAAAGTTCTCTCTGTGATTGGGCATGTGATTTAATATGTCCCCTGCTGGGGTTATCTGTCCTTGGGTTGAAGGGTTGGAAATCGTGCCAAATGGGATAACATTGCCGGTGGACATCCAGGGGAGGAGTACGGGGGAGGCCTTCGTGCAGTTTGCTTCACAGGATATAGCTGAAAAGGCTCTAAAGAAACACAAGGAAAGAATAGGGCACAGGTGGGGATGGTTGGTTGGTTGGCTGGATAAGTTGCTTTTCTTATGGTGTGCACCCTCAACATGTGATCCAAATGTAAAATGGACACTACATTTATATTGGCTTATTGACGCACATTTTTATTTTTTTTTTCCACACACACATAAAAAGATGACATGTAAGAGAAAAAAAAATCCACATTCACACTGTCCAAAGGGAACATTAGTGCTGGAACACCATTCCTAAACATGAGACAAAAACAGTGCAACTACTCGCTTAATTTAAAGAATAAATGGTGTCTCAGCATTAAATCAAAGTCCAGGTTGATACATGGTAAGGAGTCTCCCTGGTGGTAAAATCAGAGGGCCACTGTACACATGGATTTGGAGCCCACTGTCACAGGTAATGCTTAAGTGGGTTTCAGAAGGGCTGGAGCCCACTCTGTCCCTCTAAAACCAGGACAATGGCTGTCATGGCAAGGACACAGGATGCTCGATTGATCAGATATGTAAAACTCACTTCAGGTAACCATAAGAAAAGTGTAAAAGTCTCTTAAGGCCCTTATCAATTTGGACAGCTTTAAATTTTGCAATTTCTCGTGAACTGTTCCTTTTTATAGACGTTTATGAACAATTAGCAGTAAGTATTTCAAAAACATCACTCCCTATGGACTACACCATGACAGCATCTGCTAGGCCCAGTTGAAACAGTTTGAGCAAGTGAAGCCTTGCTCGGTCCATTCCCCATGCCCTCACTGTGGTATCTCTATGCTCTCAGGTACATTGAGATCTTCAAGAGTAGCCGCGCTGAGGTGCGGACCCATTATGAGCCCCAGCGGAAACCCATGGGTATGCAGAGACCTGGCCCCTACGACCGGCCATCTGGTGGTCGCGGCTACAACATGATGGGCAGAGGGGGATCCTATGACAGGATGCGCCGTGGAGGCTATGGAGGAGGTGCGGTTTTATCTGTTTGATATGAACCTGTGCGGCTGTGTTGTTTAGTAACATAGACTGCTTAAGATGAAAACATGTACAGTCATTATTAGAGCTTGTGTCATACAGTATACCTGTGTATTTTTACAGGTGTTTCTGATGGGCGGTATGGCGATGGTGGTTCTTCCTTCCAGAGCACGACCGGCCACTGCGTCCACATGAGAGGCCTGCCATACAGAGCGACAGAGACAGACATCTACAATGTAAGCCTAACAACGCCTGCACTCCCCATTACCGGAAATCCAACCCATTCTCTTGGGTTAGAGTTTCTTCTTACAATTGTCCTTTTTGCATCTCGTAGTTTTTCTCACCACTGAATCCAGTGCGGGTCCATATTGAGATCGGCCCCGACGGCAGAGTAACAGGAGAGGCAGATGTAGAGTTTGCAACACACGAGGATGCTGTGGCAGCCATGTCAAAAGACAAAGCCAACATGCGTGAGTTTGAGTAGAGACCTGACCATTTCTGACAAAAATACCGTAGACCTTCATATTGATGTTTATGTTTTCGCTGTTTTTACCCTCAGAGCACCGCTATGTAGAGCTGTTCTTGAACTCAACAGCAGGTGGCAGTAACGGAGCCTACGGCAGCCAAATGATGGGTGGCATGGGTGAGTAATTGTAATGGAGAGAAAGACTCATGGTGTTTGAAGTGATCTAATACGTTTATGTCGGTGTAAACTTGATTTGTTCTCTTCACAGGGAACCAGTCGTCTTATAGCGGCGGTCAGCTGAGCTCAGGGTACTCTGGCGGATACAGCAGCCAGGGGAACATGGGCGGCTACAGTGACTACAGTGAGTGTCAGCTGTGTTATAGAAGGCTTATAAAAACTGTGTGTTTCTGAGTACGGCTCTTTGATGAACTCCTTGGTCCTATGGTGTGTATTCTCTTTCTCTTGTTAGGTAACCAGGGCGGGATGGGAAACAGTTACTATGGCGGCGGTGGAGGAGGAGGAAGCAGAGGCTCTATGAATGGACTGGGTGGGGGATGGGGAATGTAAAATTGAGGGGTTTTTTTTGTCCACTTACTTTGATGTTTTTTTTAAACTCAGCGTTTAGCTGGAAGGACTGGAAACGTAGTCTCACCTCGAAACATTAGGGTAGGGTCAGGAGAGGTTGTTTTGAAAATACTGAGGGGTAGGGTTTGTATTTTTTTTAAGTGGATGATCTTCAGAGAGAAGTGAGATCGTCTGGTATTTGAGAGAAGCGCTGTTTGTCTTCCCCATGCCCCACAGATTTGACACACCACAGAAACCGTGCTTTCAATTTTCATTAAAGAGAAGTGTTTTGTGTTATAGTTCTCCGAGCACCTGGCTGTCAGTTTCAGTGTCTGAGTGCATGATCAAAGGAAATCAGACAATGACGATCTTATTTTTAGACCTTTTTTCACCTTCCACTTAGTGTAAAGCCTTTTCTTTCCGGTTAAAATCTAATGATCCAAGCATGTTTTGTTTGTTTTCTACAGTGTGACTGTTTGGCGGTTTCTCTGGATAAGTGTTAAATGAGGAAAAAAAGTGAATTTCAAATCTGTTGACATGAAGGTTTCTACTGCTTCAAATGCTATTTGTATTTCCTGTGCACAAAGTGAATAAACTAGTCTGGAATATCTTATTGAAACAATGAGAAGCTTTCAGAAAGAGGCGCTTTTATTCATTTATCAAATATCTAGATAAAAAACTTTTGGTCACCATTCCCAAATTAAGAAAATGGCTTTGTAGCAATTAACACAATCCACAAAACCGTGTTATAATACATTCTAAAATAGTTTTGCTTTGTTAACATTCTACAGTCATTTACAAGACAAGTTTCGTGGTATCCAGCAGTGGGCGGGGCTGCAGCTGCAAAAACTGTCACAGAAAGAGATGCATGTCTAGCTGATCAATAGCAAAGTGAAGTACATGTGTTCAGTCTACAAACCAGCAACATAATGATCCAGAACAAAAGCTGAATACCAACAGAGACCTTGAGTGGGACCATGACCATAATTGACACGTTTGGATTAGAAATCCTTCATTACTTTTAAAATGATTGGTTTATTTTGCTTCAAACTCATGTCCTTCCAGCCCCTTAAAAATAATGATCCCATCATTGTACTAAACTGAACTGGTCTTCATTAACAGTCTGCATAAAGTATATTAGCTCATCCATCAGTGTTACAGGCGGACCTTACTTATGTTAGTATTCCTGAATTTCAGGTAACCATGGAAATGCAACACCAAGTCCCATTTCCATAATATCTGATGACACTTTTCTTGTAACATGGTAGTTAGGAATTATGTTGGCTGTGTATGTGCCGTGATGGGAAACTTCTTGGAGGTGTTTTGTCAGGACACTGTGGAGGAGCTTCTCTGCAGCAGTAGGGCGTGGCACATGTCACACACCCGCACAGGCCGAGGGTAGGAGGGTAAGGCCAGCTCATTACTGGAACAGCTGTTGCAGTAGATGTCTCCACAGTTTCTGCAGTGATGCTACAACACATGAACACGCGCCGCTTATTAACATGTCGGAGATAAATAATGAAGAGAGAGAGTTAAACTGTCGTGAATGAGAGCCTACCTTCCTGCGTGCAATGGAGAACTCTTTCTGGCATTGTTTGCATTGGGTGGCCTCATCATCTTTAAGCCAAGCGTGGCCCTAATGGGGAAAAATTACAAGTTGAGGATTCTGCAAACTTCTCTGATTTAATAACTATTAATGTACAGTTACATGTGGTTTTTATTTTTACCTTCAGTGCTTTGTTCACCTCCTTGAAGTCCTCCATTTTGAGTTTAGACCTTTGACAAAGATGAGCAAAACATTAAAATATTAAGACGGTAATTAACCTTGGAAGACAAAATTGATAAAAGCTATGATACTGACTGGCTGAGGTGAAGCCCCATTTCCTGCAGGGCTTGCTCCTGTTGCTCACATGTCTGCTGCAGCTGTTGTTTCTCCTGTTTCAAATCCTGCAGCTCCTGCGCCATCAGATCACAGGTTAACAACAACACTTCAACACAGTCGTGATACCCAAAATGTTTAAAGAGTGCCAACAGTGCTGACAAGTGTAAAGGCAGCATAAGCGAGAGTAAGACCAAGCTGCCTATAAGCTGAACTTTAACTTGCCCAAGTCCCTCACTCTGAACTAACTAGTTCTGAGACCGAATTATTAACGTCAGAAAATGCACTAATTTTATGATTATATAGCAGTAGGATTATGAACGTGTTTTACATTTATACTGTTCAAAATGGTAATTCGGCAAATGACAAAGCTGATTTGTGCTGACTGCGCACTTGACACAGTGACTTATAACTATCGGTACCAAAAAGTGGCTCTATGCTCTTTATCCTACTGTAGCTCATAGTATCCTATTATTACTTGGAGGCAAGTAAGAGGCAAAACTAAGGTCATTTGGTATATTGCTTTGAATTTTTCTGCCAACATACCAAATTTACTAGGGATAAATGAAATTCTGCAAGGCAATGCACCGAGCAAACTGCTGCAGTAAAATCCTGAAGAGATGTTCGAATAGAGAAATTTTCAGACAAATTAATTTCAATCTGATGAGCACAAAAGTTATACAGGAGAGGCCTAGAACAGAAATCCATAATTTTAGTGATTACAGACACTTAAGTCTATTTTAAGTGCAATTTAATTGTGCTAGAGTGTAATCTGTGGACCCATGGAGGGCACTGCATTCAAATCAGACATGACTCTGCAGGGGAAATCCACTTTCAACACTTCCAAAAACCGCACAGTAGTAGACACTATTTGTTGTTGCATGCACAAATGCAGGTATAAATTGTATCATGTAAAAATACAATCTAGGAGTGTTGGCAACTTCTCTGAGCCCATTTCAGAAGTAGAAAACGTTCCTGTTATCTGAAAAATCTGATTGTCTTTTTTCAAACCATAGACAGCATTGTCAGTAAACAGTTCAAGAGCCAGCATCTACGATGGTATGGAGAGGCGTAAGTGCCCATTGCACGGCTTATTTGTACATCTGGGAAGGAAACATAAATGCTGGACAATATACAAGTTTTGCAGTACAAACAAGAAAAATGTTCGGTTTCAACATTTGATATTTTGTCTCTGCATCTGTCCTTACTCTGATAGATTATGCTTGTACTACTGTTCTGCACCACTTCCAAAGTGAGTTAAATGGCTTCCATACATGTGTGTTTGTGTACCACTGACCGTGTGCAGGCCCTGGAGTTGTTGCAGCTGTGTGCGGAGCTCGACGCTGTTGTCCTGTTCCCGCTGCAGAGCTTTCTGCAGGCTCTGTCTCTGTTCTTTCTCTGTTCGCAGCTCATTCTCCAAACCCAGCCTGACAAAAGACACGACACTGTGACTGCTGAGGGGTACTTAAGCCTTTGTGTTTTTTCCACATTAATCAACAAAAGAAATCTTAGTTGAAATCAGAGAGAGGCACCGAAATTACACAACTCAGTGATTTGTAAGACTCTTAAGTCCAAAAAGAATTATGAGGATTTAGCTCAAACTGTAACAACTTTAATCTTCGAATGAAACCCACTGGTACAAAAAGACCAATTTTGTCTGCAACTCATTCAAGCTTAAACTAAACCTAGGAGCTATTCTCATCGAAGTCCATAGTCGAAACCTCCCCAGTTTTCTTTGTTAATGGGACTGAAATATAATATGAAACATTGTCTATTATAATTTAGTAACTGTCAAAATACAAGGAGAGAAAAGCTGTAGATGTTTGCTGTGCACATTCAATAGACACTATTTTCCTTTACTAAAATAAGGGAGGAAGAGAAACTGGGGAGGAAATTGATAATTATAAGAAGAGACACCTTGAGATGCATCATCTCATTTTCAACTGACATCCCAGCAAAAGTAGCGCAGATGTTATCATTTCATTGCCTTTCAGTCTGGTATTGACTCACGCTAGTTAAATGCTGAAATGTAATTTACATGATTTACATTTACATGTTCAACTTCACCCTTTTTTTAGGAGAGATGATGATAACTTTGGTTTATGATGAGCTCTATCCAGTAGTTTTTAAGAAATTCCAAATCAACCGTTATATATATTTGTGTTTTATTTTGTTGGCTGTTTGAGTTCTAACCTCAGTGAGTCCAGGTCAGTCAGTTGTTTCTGAAGAGCTTCCACTTTCCCTTCCAGCTCCACCTTCAAATCTCTGTCTGACTGGTCACTCTGTTTGCGCTGACACTCTGAGTTTTGGAGTCTAGAAAGCAAAAAAATAACCAAGATGAATATTAACAGAAGGACCGCCACTGTATTAGAAAAGGTAACATGATGTGCACAGTACCTCTGCTCTAATTCCTTCATGGCTTTTTCCATTTCATCCATCTTTTGCTCCAGCTGCAAAGCCTCCTCCTGCTTTTTCTCTGCCTCTCGTTGTGAATCCTAAACAGTAAAAATGGGACAATTCATTGTTTGGCCAATTAATCAAGGGATAATTCACATTTTGAAATAACCTGCATCACATCACCATCAGTGCTCACAAGGACAATGTCCACAACCAACACCATTTCCCTTCCTACATAGCATCATATCAAATCTAATAGTATCTGGCTTTCTTTTCTTTTAACCCAAACATTGACCTTGTGTTGTTGCTAATTCAATTTGATTCAATTCAAAGAATTTTATCTATCCCTGAATTCAGTTTTGTAGCCTACCCATAAAAACAACAAAACATCAAGGCAAACACAATCAGCTGCAGCTCTCAGATATGTCTGTGACAACAGATGTATTGTTAGGGAGCTTTTAATATTACAGATGGCTGGACAATAAACTTAAGTCCCTTGTGGCAATATGAAAAAATGCTCATCAACCACTTCACTACTGAATAAACCAACTAAACTGTATTTTACTGTGTTCAGACAGGCCAGGAGAAGAAGAAAAGGCATTCTCATATCTGCATACCTGAGCTTTGTGGAACATTTGCACATTAAGAGTCTTGACTTGGTCGAGTTGGAGCCGCAGAGCCGCCAGTGTGTCCTGTTTCTCATGCGTGTCCTTTTCCAGCAACTTCATGGCCACTTCCATCTCCTGTTTAAAACCCACTTGGAGCTCTAATTCGCGCTCCAGCTCCTACAGCCATGTAGACAAGGAGACAAGAATCAGGATTTTTTGCAATAAAAGAAATCTACCTCTTCTCCCCATGAAGTACCACAGAACTGCCAAGTCACAGCTGATGTGGACTGAACATGACTGACCTGGCGAATGCGCTTTTCTTCTTTATACTGCTTCCACACAACATTATACATTTCATCCAGACCCTGTCGGGTCTGTTTGTATGTCTCCAGCTCCACTTGGCTGTCCTGAAGAGCCGCCTGAAAAAGAAAAACATAAAAGAGCTGGGTAATCATTTCCTCTGTCAGGCTGAGGTCAAGTAGTTGTAGTTGTTGTAGATGCTTTGTGACCTCTTCCTTCTTCTGGCTGGACTGCAGGATCGTCTCATTCTCCTTTCTCAAGTGTTCCTGTTCTTCCCGCAGTGAGTTGATCCGGTCTGTTGCTGCTGTCAGCTGAGTAGAGAAAATACTTATACTTATTGGTCCAAAAGTGAAATCTCACATCAAATCTCCAAAACGTGCACCTGCGGCCCTGTGACTAATTCACCCACCTCCTCAACAAGTTTACTGTTGGTCCTCTCTAAAGAGTCCATCTTAGCTTGTAGGTCAGTGACAGTGCCGCTGAGGTGACGATTTAACTCCTCAATGTAGTGCTTCTGATCTAGTATGGCTGTCATCTTGGTGTCACTGAAAAGACAACGAATAAAAACATTGCAGGGTGCTTTGAGGTGAATCCTCAAAGATAACTAAGAGCAAACTAAAACAAACAAAAAGCAGGTGATACATTTATACTATCTGGAGAAGGACACTCACTCTTTTGGAGTCTCACTGTTGGCAGGGTCTTTCAAATACAGAGAGAAATCAATGACTCCCACCTAAATAGAAAAAAGAAACTCATTACTTTGTCTCATGAGTTCCTGGGATCGTGAGTGGGCCTACGTTACCTGCCTGCACTCACCTGAGAATCAAGGTCTTCCCCTTTAATGCAGAGGTTGGCATCAATGACATTGAGACCAACAAGGAGTCCCCCCATCACTGCCCCCTCCTCCTCCACCATCAACGCTCCAGGGTCATAAAACTCACTAAGAAGGGACAGAAACAGGTTGAGGAAAAAAAATATGAAAATTTTGATTAATGAAGTAGAAATTAGTAAGTCTAAAAGCTGTATGGCTTTCAATGTTTACGAACCTCAGGAGGTCTTTGCGGTCAAGCAAAGCTTTCATATAATCTGCCACTGTCTTCTGCATGAGTGCCAGATGCAGCCAAGCCCTTGCTCTCCCCAAACCGGTTCTGAAAGCAAATAACAGAGAAGATAAATAATTTGTATTAAGTTTATTTTTACAGTGTAGCTTCACCTGGGAAAAAATTAGCTTAGCAAAGCAATCATACTTAATGCCGGGAAGGTCTCTGGCACTTGTGGCAATGTTTGCAGACTCTGGACACAACTTCTCCACCAGCTCCAGAGGTCCCCATATGGACTTGTTCTGACCAATGAAGGTCTTCTTGGCTGAAAAAAAATGTGTAAAAGTTATATAAGCTTTCTGGCTTCAAACAATATGAAAGTAGTCCTACTGGGGAGCTCTTTGTCACCTTTCAGTCCATGTTTAAGGCAGTGCTCCAGGACAATGAAGAACTGCTGCAGAGGAGGGTAATCCGAGTCCAGCGTCCTGCCCAGATTCAAGGAGGACTGAATTAATACTTTAATGCTCAGCTTCAACATGCTGAGAAGGTTGGATCTTTCTATTGCCATGGGATCTTTGGGAGGCAGAACTGTGAAGGAAAGTTTGGAAATTAGATCAGTCCACAGATGCAGGCTTGGAGGGGTCACTTTGAAGGCGTGTGTGCATTAAATGTGGAATAAACACTGACAGGAAGAACCGTATTAATGTGTGCACGGTCATCAGACCATCAAACCAAAGCTTTGCAGTAGAAGTCATGTGTCTACAGACAGCTGACATTAGCCGTGTCCAGGGGGAAGTAATAAGAGGGACTTTGAGGCTCTATAATTATACCACTAAGCTGATAAACAGGGTGTAAATGTTGTGTCTGTGGTTACAAATAGTCGCAGAATACCTGGAAGTGTTTTTGAAGAGTTGTTTACATCATTTTCGGACTCTCTTTCAGACGGGGAGCTCGGAGCGGACCCCTGTGAGGCATTTCTCTGTGCAGCAGCGTAGTTCACTCCGCTGCTGATCGTCTCCGTGGCCTTCCGAGCGAGCGACAGAATGGGAGCCGACCAACTGTTCTCTGCCGCCGCCGCCGCTGGAGCGGGCTTCTCTGCCAGGTCCTGTCCGTCACTGCCGTCAGACTCTCCTTCGGCGACGACGTCCGAAACTTCTGTTTCATCTTGCTGTTGTTTTGCTTCTCCATCCTCTACAGCTGTGTTTACTTCCCCCGACTCCTCGGCCATGTTTGTCCCCCCTCCCCAATGCCCCAGTATTCACGTGACAGCATCAGAGCAATCACGCGCGCTGTAAGAACTCGAGTCTTCTTCGTTTATGTTTTTGCCGGTGAAGAAGTCAGCTTTTAAGTGTCTTACTGCCACACACTGGTCTGGATTGTTTGGTGCAGTGAATGTGCAAAACCGTCAGATTTTTTTCTGCACGACTTCTTTCTTTCTTTCTTTCTTTCTTTCTGTATTTTTTCTTCTTTCCTTCCTTCCCTCCTTTTTTCTTCCTTCCTTCCTCCCCTCCTTCATTCTTTCCTTGCTGCTTTCTTCCTTCCTTCTTTCCTTCCTTTTTTCTTCTTTCTTTCCTTCCTTCCTTCATTCCTTCCTTCTTTCTTTCCTTCCTTTCTTCATTCCTTCTTTCTTTCTTTCCTTCCTTCCTTCGTTCCATTCTTCCTTCCTCCCTTCCATCTTTCTTTCCTTCTTTCCTTCTTCCCTTCCTTTCTTCCACCTTTCTTTCTTCCTTCCCTTATTACTTCCTTATTTCCTACCTTTTTCCCTTACTTCTTTTCTTCCTTCCTTCCTTCCTTCCTCCCTCGTTCCTTCTTTAATTCCTTCCTTCTTTCCTTTCTTCTTTCATGCCTTCCTTCCATCTTTCCTCCTTTCCATCTTTCTTTCATTCCTTCCGTCTTTTCTTCCTTTCTTCCTGTCCATCTTTCTTCTTCTTCTTCTTCTTCTTCTTCTTTTTCTTCTTCGCCTTCACTACTTTTTTGAAATCCATCCTGAATAAGCTGTGATACTACAAGATGAAATCAAAAGACCATAAAAAATCATCAGGATCACATTTACTGTCCCAACCACCTCGACAGGATCAAGAGAGCAGCCAACAACAGAGCTAGTAGTCAGGTGCAGATATGACTTGACCCCAAAAAATTCAATTTTCAGGGGTCAAGTCATATCTGGTCTATTGGGGTGACATTTGAATTTTTAGGGGTGGTGACACTATTTTCTCATTCCCCCCCCCCCCCCCCAACTTACATATTCCAACATAACATTTGTCAAAACTTGTACTACAAAAATGGTTTGTCTTAATGTAACTTGGGAAGTTTTATGGTGATTTCAGTTAGTTAAAAAATTTACCTTATTTACCTGGGGTGTCTCCCCGGGCTTTCAACCCATCATGGACGCCATCTTGATAAAGACACCTTTGTAAAGTCAAGTCAAGTCGAACTTTGGTAAACTTTTAGCATGCTATTAAGAACACCTAATATGATAAAAAAAAAAAAACAGAGAAAACTTTTGTTAGAATTTTTTTAGGGTTAGGTGGCCTCTTCACCAGTGTGTTCGGTCTGTTCCTGTCTGCAGTTGTGATGCTGCTGCTCCAGCAGACCACTCCATAGAAGATGGCTGAGGCCACCACTGAGTTATAAAAAGACAGCAGGAGTGCTCCTTGCACACCAAAGGACTTCAGTTTCCTAAATGGGTGGAGTCTACTTTGGCCTTTTCTGTAAGGTGTGTTCCCATTATTTGGCCAATTACCAAGCTACTATCATTGGCTCATGCTACTTTTTCTTTGCCAATCAGATTACATCTGTCAGAGGATACAGCTGGAGCACATGTTGAGTAAGTGGCAACTAATTTTTTTTTTTTTTTTATAAAGAAGCTATTTGTTCTGAGAGAATTTATTTTAGTGTTTATGTGTTCTAGTTAAGTTGTGAAACTCTGTCTACCCCTCTTCACCCCTTGGTCTTTTATTGAAAGGGTGTGGCCTTAACCACAACATGGTTCAAAACCACAGGTTAGCATATATGTGAAATGAGGTTTCCTTACAAGTTTCACATGACATAGTCAACATCTCTGAACACTGATTTGACTTGTTTTAATGATGTCTTGCTATCTAGGTCTTCTGCAAATAACTGTCATGACAGATCAGACTGGTATAGTCATTCAGAAAAAAATCATGCTTTATAAACCTTTTAACATATGTCATAAAATGCACATAACTTCCCACTACATGATTTTTCCTGTTACATACTGTCATTTAGCTTTCATTTAACACTCAGATATACTGATCTTCTTTGACCACACATATGAACTACATAAAAGCTTTTGGTGACAGATAACCAAAATAACCCCCAATAGTTAGAATATGTTTTTGGATCCTTGTATGGAACATACAAGAATATTATCTGCAATAAAACCTGGTTAGCCTAGTCATGAGTCCATCTGTTTCCTTAATGAAGGAACAGGTTTGTAGTTCAAACTTGTACCACGTGGTGGCGCAGACATACTACTTTATTTGCCTTTGAAAGCTCTAAAATGTGCACTTAACAAATTCACTCACTATATTTTAACATTGTTGTCATTTCTTATCCTATTCAAGTAGAATTATAGTGTCACCATCATAACAATACTCTGAATATCTGTCATGGTTACTCTGCACTTTTATGTGAGTTCATACTCATCTGCATTTAACACCTGAAAATATGAGATTATAAATGTTAAGAATAGTCAAAGCGATTATCAAACTAAGATTATACAGCTATTTTTCTCATTTTAAGCATACTTTTAATTATTCAAGTATTTTAATGTATTCTGGTTCTATCTATCTATCTATCTATCTATCTATCTATCTATCTATCTATCTATCTATCTATCTATCTATCTATCTATCTATCTATCTATCTATCTATCTATCTAAAGGGGCAGGTTATGTAGAAAAGAGGGGCAATAATCTATTTTCTCTATCTTTTCTCAATAGCCTTTGAAAAAGAACACCAAGGTTTATTCATAGATTTGAGAAAAGGATGGGTCTGACTGGTGTATCTGTTTTAGTGATGCTCATGTGAAATAAAACCAAAATTCTTACAGCCCACAGTCACTGATCCCATTTTGCAGCGGTACAATTTGGCCCCTACGGCCACAACAGCAGCCTGAAACAGTTCACAGGATGAAGTTTGAGTGCAAGCCCTTTAATGCCTTTTGTATCATATTTGATACATACTTTTATGTACTTCTATCAAATCAATATGATCAAAAATAAATGATAAAAATGTCCTCTTGTATTTTATTAGTTTCCAGAAACATCTAATGTATCAAACGAGATAAATAAATATATTTGTTAAATTTTAAGGACATTTATATTTTGGGGTTTTTAGTAGTAAGTGAAATAAAAATTTCAGCTCCAAAAAATATTGAATTTTCTGGCCTTATTTGTGGTGTCAGGCATTAAAGGACTAGGCTTTTTTTTTGTGGCAAAAACACTTCCTAAAAAAATCATCACTTTAGTAATATGAAGCCTACTACTATTCTGTGTAGCCAACTTTGGCTTCACACCAAGGTGAGTACTAACAGATTAATTAATTCAGCAGCCTAATTCATGCTTGTAATGAGGCTGCTATTAGGCTTTCCTTACATCATTGCACTCTTTGAGCATTATTCGTCTGTGTCTCTTGAACTTCATACACACACAGCGCAGTTTTCTATGTAGGCGTGGTGAAGAGGGAGAGGGAGGAGGAGGAGGAGAAGGTGGGTGAAGAGGACCATAAATACCGCGGAGCCTTTCCACAGACGCTCTCTTACTGCGATCCGCTCAGGCTGTAACATCGGAGACACCCCAGCCATCTGAAGTAAAGCGGGGAGGTCAAAAACAAGCGGGAATAACCCATACAAAAACTAAAAGGAAAAAAAAGAAACAAGGGGATATTCAGAGCCCGGACAACAGGGACGGAATACAACTTTTTCATCGTACTTTTTGATTTTCCTCTAAAAAATACCTGGAACTTTGGACATGATGAGGATTCTCAGTGTTGTGCTCCTGGTGGTTCACGCCTTGGGTAAGTTTCATGGTGGTTTGACTTCATCTTAGACACTGTTGTAGTAACATTTCCTTTATTTTCAGTGTTTATATTCTCAGCCCCAGAGTATCAAACCTCTCGAGCATGGCCGAGCTTTTGACATGTCTTGCAAACCTCCCAGTCTTTAAGGCAATGTTTTCATGATGCCAGCCGATTCAGGAGCTAATGGGGCCATCTTTCTATTTTAGAGCAGGCTTTATGTAACCGGATACATTTATTTTTAACTCATATTCTTGCTTGACATTAGCTTACTGTCTGTCCATGCATTTTGTGAGTGTGTAGGAGGCAGAGAGCAGGCTTTAACCATGCCTCCAACAGTTTGAGTCCCTGCACCAGTTTGGGGCTGGTTTACACTTTGTCAAAGTTCTCCTGAGTAAAGTAGAGGAAACCTGAAACCTGAAACCCATGCTGTGTATTCAAGCATGTGAATTTCCTAACAGAGCTCAGTTTTGAGCCAAACATCCAACTTCCTTGTGCACAACATGTTTCAACTTGCCCCCAGAAGTCCTGCCCACCTTGGCTCAGCAACCCCTAACAGTTGAAGCCCCCTAGAGGATGAGTGGTCTTGAGCGAAAACCCTTTGAAATGGAAACTTTGAGGCAATTTTTTAATAATTTTGTCTTTTTTTTTTATTTTCTAGTGGTGTCCAGACTGGCCAGTGGCGCTGCAGTCGACAGGTACGAGAGCGACAGGCATCGCACCACAGCTGTCATCAACTTTTTGGACACAACCAAAGACAGAAGGGTAGAAGAGGCGAGCAGGAGTGCAGGTGCAACGACAATGGAGCACATCCAGGAAGAAGAGGACGAGGATTATGATGATGAATATTATTATGAAGAGGATTATGAAGATGGCATGTCTGGAGATTATGACATGGAGCTGCCACAAGGTAAGACAGCGATTCTGTCATTTCCTTCAATCACCCTTAACATGCTGTCAGTACAAAAAGATTAAAATGTGTCATTTCTGTCTGTGTTTTTGATTAGTTGCCATGTCAAGCAAACCTAAGGATGCGTCTGCCATCTTGGACGCTGAAAGGACTGAAGGGAAGAGAAGGAGAGCAAAGGGGAGAAAGAGAGGGAAGGGAAAGGGGAAGAAGAGGAATCCCTGTCTGAAGAAATACAAGGATTTCTGCATCCACGGCACCTGTCAGTACCTGAGGGACATCCGTGCCCCCTCCTGTGTGTAAGTATCACCTCTGCATTTCTTTTTATCCACACAGTCTTTCCATCACTCTGTATCCACGGAATAATAACATCTCTTTCTCTATGCAGGTGTCATCCAAGTTACTCTGGGGAGAGGTGTCAGTTCTTCACGCTGCCCTTAGAGAAGCCTCAGGAGGGTTACAGCCGGACCACAGCGCTGGCGGTGGTGGCGGTGGTACTGTCATCTGTTTGTCTCACCATAATTGGCCTTTTATTATTGCTCAGGTATGTAAAATGCTCATAGTTTTTCTCACAAGCACACATTCATAAAGACACAGAAACAGCTAAAACGCTCAACTAGAGATTTACATGGCATGTCCGCTTCTGTTTATCACAGGTTTCACAAGCGGGGTGCATACGATGTAGAGAGTGAAGAGAAGGTCAAACTTGGGTTAGCACCCAACCACTGAAGCGATAAAGAAAGGTGAGTTTTTAAGAGGGGCAAGCCCAGATATTTGAGCGCCGACAAACAACGTCATTTTTAATCCCTGAAAGAAGATTTTTACTCATTTCTTCTCTTTTCTTTCAGGCAAAGATGCAGAAATTCTACCTCAAAATAGAAAAGAGAAGTGACCCTGAAAGAAGGTCCTAGAGGGAAAATGGATCATACATAAAGAAGGGAACAGAGGTTGTCGTGTGCCTGACCCTCTGCAACATGTTCAGATGACAAAAAAGGACAGCTGAACATATTCCTGAAGGCCTCAGAAAAGAAGGCGGCCTGCCCGAAAACTGGAATACAAACGGCCCAGAGGATGGACTGGAGATGTGATGAGCGAAAGGTGAAAAGCATGAGAGGAAGAAGGAGAAGAAGAAGAAGGAGGAGGAACGTGTCTCAACTCTGTGCTGCTTCTTGACTGTGTGAAAAAAAGAGGTGGTTTCACACTGAACTGAACAAGAAATGTTTTAACAACCAGAGCTCAACCTGGATTTTTTCTCAAAAAACAGCATTTTGTATTTTCTTGCTCAAGTCCGTCTTTTGTTTTCTTTCTGTACAGTAAATGGTATATTTATAATTTTAATTTATTTATTTAAGCTAACTGTATTTATAGAGATTTTAACCACATTCAACAAGTTTTTAAAATAAAGATGTTACAGTTGTTTTTATATTTCCTATTGGATGACATATTTATTAATGAAATAGAAAAGCAAACAATGCAGAAGCTCCTTGAGAAATCATTCAAAACGATCTGACTTTGGCTCTAATATTGGCACTCAGAAGATGATCAATAGCACTGTGATTAATAAATTGATCACTGAATAGACGTGATTGTTTGTTCTCTTTGGTTCAGGGTGTTTTCATCGAGAGAAACACCCTGTTCAAGCTCACGCAGTTACACACGTTTTAACTTGGAAGCAGTTCAACCAGTTGGATCTGTCAATGGGGTTTAAGGCCCTGCTTAGAGGCACATTAGTAGGGAAAATGAGGCACTTCCCACGCCAAAATCCAGCTGGCATTTCGGGGGTCTCAAGGCCACTTATGGCTCAGGGTTCAGCCGAATTGTTTAAATGACAGATCAATGTCAATAAGTTACATTGCACTGGCTTTGTATGGATAAAAAGCAACATAAAAGCTACTTTCTCAGCGTCTGTGTTGTTAAGAAACTGTAACAAGGGAGTCAAATAGCTGATGCACTGTATGATAATGATGTCTTACCATCATAAGAAACTCCCTCACTTCCATGTTCAGCTGTCAAGCGAAAAAAAATGTGAATTAAAGTGTTTCACCTTTTCCAATCCTGTCCTGCAGTTTTGAAGTGATTGTTATTTATGTGACTTTTCAGAATGAAATAAAAAGACTATCAGAATTTTTGAATCTCGTAGCTTTTACTTCGTCATATCTAAAAGTAAAAATCAATGCGCTGCGCTCTTAGCATTCGTCTCAGATCAGATAATTAAGTAAGGTCATATTTGTTTTCACCCTTTGGTGCACTTCCTGACCTGGGCTGTGCATTAATGTGATATTTTCAAACAGCCGGTCTGGATAATGATCACACCAGCATGTTCTTCTGGCCCATTCAGAAGCTGTAATTATAGTAAAGACAATATTTTCATTTCCCCGGTCTATGACGTATGTGTAACAGCTTTTAACCAAGGCACCTGTATCCTGGCTATTATGTTCTGCGCACTAAAGGCAAACATTTTCAGTCAGTATTGTGTAGGTGTGTGGACAGAGGGCCTTCCTAATGTATTATACTTCAATACCACTGTACCGGTGTACAATCACTATACTGTAACCTGTGGGAAATAATTGTTTGTTATTTGATTTGTTTGCTAACAGACCCCTTTCACTCTGGACCACAACTGAAACTATGACATTATCTGTTTCACATGTTGACAACAGCTTCATGAGTCTCACTGATAGATCACTCACTAAGAGTGTGGTCAGGACTCACTCACCGCTGTGTGTGTGCGTGCGCAGGGCCACGGGGCAACAGATGTGTGGTGTGTAGGCTGAGCGAACACCTGATATTCAGCCAAAGTACATCATGCCACAGCAGCGCACACCATTACTCACACAGCCAACAGATGTCACGTTCAAAGACACACCACAAAGTGCAACATCTGAGCCGTCAACTAGGCCTGTACGCCGCAGAGTTCAGAGAGACCACATACAACAAATACTAGCAGGATTCAGCAACTCTGTCATGTATGCTGCACTCTGAGCTAATGAGGGTAAGTCAAAAGACCCAGCTGGACTCAAAGGCAGGCAGAGACCCAGCCGAATGTTAGTCACCTCTTGAAGTTACCTCCTCCTACACGGATGTTGTTACACCAACAAAGTGTGTGTGTGTGTGTGTGTGGGAATGTGGTACAGTAATGCCTCAGAGCTGGAGCGATTGGTTATAGGGGTTAACCGAAGTATTACGAGAAAAAATCCACGGTAAAACATGAATGTTTACATGTTTGCTTGGGGATGTTTGTGGGTTTGATTCCCATACTTTCTATATATACTGAATAAACAACGTCATATCAAGTTTTTCGCATCAAGGGATGGTTTTTTGAAAGACATATGTTCAACTGAACCCTTTGGGTGTGGCACCTGATTCACAGCTTCTCATACTCACTTGTTGAGTAACTCAGAAACAGCAGTTCAGCTATCAGAGGTTTGTTTGCTCTATCAGAGGTTTAGTTTGAGTTCCTGAGACTCAAATGTGTGCAATACTTGATTGTTCTTTAAAAACAATTAAAAAATACAATCTGGAAGTAAAGCACAAAAGGATGAGCTTGTAGGACTTGATTTTACAATCCTTCATGACAATGGTCATCTCTAAGCCAAGTTGGGTTGTTGGAAATCACTTATACACACCATTTCAGTCTGAAGAGTAAGTGAGTAAGTAGAGGTCTGAGTATTAGGAAGCAGAATTTTTCTGATCAACAGTATCAACAGTCTCCACATTGACTTTTATTTTGCAATGTTGTTTCTTCTGCCAGCTGTTCTTGGAAAACCTAGTGCCTACATGACCAGCACTATCTGATGTCTTGCAGTGTAGTGGTCACAGAAATCCCAGTGAATCATCTCTATTTTCAGATTCAGCGCAATAAAGCAGAATCTGGAGGAGTGGGATCATATTTTGGCATCAGAGGCATTCTGCTTGTTGTTTGTGGTATGATTTGATTAACCCATCGGCATCTTTGCATATTTTCAGCATTTATATTCAGGAAAACAGTTTGTATGGAGAGCATAACGGTCAGATAGCTGACTCCTAGGTGTCATGTCCAAAATCTGACTTCATTCTCATTTCTGAAGTTTCTAGCTGGATTGCAAACAATATAATGTACAAAGGAGGAGGTCCTGGCGAGAATTCCTCTACTCCTCACCCTTGGCAAAACTAAAAGCCTTAGATTATTAACAATACTAAGTATGGAGGCAAGTTTGCTCATGCTACTCAGGGCTGTATCATCATCAGATGATAGCTCTTGGGTTCTCAAATTTAGAAAAGACTAATGTAACTCGGAAATCCCTAACCTCAAGAGGAGATAAGAATCTGGCTCAATGGGTTTGGTTCTTTCCTCCATCCACTCCCCTGAATTTTAAGTCCTTATTTTCAACAAATGCTGACTCAAGTGATGTCACTAGAGGCAGTTGATCTCACTGGACTAGAAATAGACCTGATCTCAGTAACTTAAATTAGAGATGTTTGGTTCCCAAAGGTCTGCAATAATATGCTGATGACTACACTTTCTCTGTTTGAAATAAAATATAATTTTCCATTTTTTTTAAACCAGTCACAGGATTTCAAATGAACTCCATACCCACACATTGTCACCACCAGACTTTGTCCTAACAGACACTGACTTAATCTTATGCAATTTACCACACTTGACTGCAACCAGTCTTGTTCTCACAAACTTGTAATTCATGCTTTTCAGGGAATACAACAATATGCTGACGACTGCAGTTTCTTTCTTCCAAGTATACCTAGGTAATCTTCCAATCTGTATTTGTCACAGGACTTTATATGCAGTATGTACAGTATGGAGCCGGGCATGGGTATTTACACACATATGTGTACGTGTGTATTTGTATGTGTGACAGGGGCTAGTCATTTACAGTAGTGGAGCCACCTAATCCCGGCCTCTCAATGTCAAGTAGCAGAGCACACAGAAATAGTGCTGTGCAGTCATGCTCACATAGCTGCTATTCACGGGGTTGATGGCCACCGAAGAGCCAGAATGCTGAGAGAGAAGAGAGTTCACTGTGTTCTGTTTCTCAGAGGTCTCATGGACCACAGCCAGGAAATAATGTCCTCTATGGTTGCCCATCATCAGGCATCAACACTGCGATGCTCCTGAAATTTCCCTTGTAGGGTCACAGTGACAGCTCCACTCTGTGTGACTTTTGTTTTCACCTCCACAGTGTTCTTGAATGTTCCTAGAGAGACTCAGGGTGTGTTTTTCCACAGCCTGGAAGGATTCTACCCACAGGTTGGCCAAAACTCATTGTAAATGGCGGAATTCATTGTGTGCCACAGATCTGTGTAAACTGTCCGTGCGCCAACATTGTCATTGTTTCCAATACTTCTTGGCAGAAGTTTTTTACTTTGAAGTATGCTCATTTAAACTATTTTCAGGTGCCTTTGTCTCATATTTTAGATACTTTTGTGATGTAATGTTTCAAATGTCCATAAAATGTGGAGTTTGTTGCACCAGCATATAAAACTCATTCTGTTTATGGGGGTCTTCCAGGGGGAAAAAAGGCTGAAACTGTCCTCCTGTGTGAATACACCATTGTTTCCAGCAAAGTTCACAATGTACAGTTTTCTATATCACTGTGTAGCTCTTTGTAGTATCATCTGTCCATGTCATCACCATGTTCAGTTTGCAATACCGATAGCTTGCGATAGCCTTCGATAGCATGCATACTGGGGCCGTGAGAGATGAACTGGCGTATGACCAGAGACTGGCAACACCCACCTCTGCTTCTCAATTGTTATCTTGAATTGTGAAGTGTTGTCAGTAAAACTAGCACTCTACAAAGTTTACTTACTTGAAAATAAACCACCTTTGACTTTGAAGAAATGATTAAGATGTTATGAGAGAGAAATGATAAAATAAAAGGCCAAATAGGTCTACGCCACTATGTATCCAGCTTTGATCAGTGAAGTGATCACTTCTCCAACACTCAAATACCTCGCTCTGGATTTTAATCTGACATGCTGGTTGCAAAAGTGTACGGGACACAGCTCACTTTTCTTATGACTTAAAAGGCTGAAGTTTATGGTAACTTATTATACATTTCACAGTTAATAGCAATAAAAGCTTATTGTTATGCGGATAGTGTTGTTTTCAGTCATTTTAAGACTTTTGGTACTCTCAGGGTTATTTAAAAATCAATACGCTGTAAAATCTTTACAGCAGATTCAGCTTTCAAAGCTGCTTAGTCATAATGGCCTTATACTTTTCTCTGAAGCTGTATGAAAAGACCTAAATCCATTAGCAAAGTAAACCACTCTGATGTGGTTGAAACATTGCCAAATAGACTTAAGTAATCAGATGCTGTAGTGGTTGCAGTGGATCGAATCAGCGCAAGGAGGGCGAGTTTGTTGTGAAAGGTGCTTCCTGACCTGCTGAGGAGCAACAATGGGTAATTTCCACACTTCTATGGAAGTGCGTACGCCAACAGTTGGGAATATAATCATTCTCCGACCGGATATTATCAACAGGAACAAATTAATACCTAATGAATGAGGATGTGTGTTTCATAATCTGCTTTGGATTTTTTTGTGTATAAATCACCATTGTAGTAAAATCAGAAGTGCCAATGTGTGTGTGTTTTCAGGGTGTGAGCACAAAGTGGGGTGTAAAGTCAAGATGGAGCACCAACACAGGCAGTGTGCCACTCACTCCTGATTGATGAGGTGATAACAGCAACGCAGCCATTGTCACATGACAGAAAGAGACTGCAACGGATCAGTCACTGTTGTACACAGTCTAACACAGAGAGGACAGCCAAAGAGGTTTGAGGGAATGAAGAGAAGGAGTTGGAGATAAGGTCAACTCTGCAACATGAGAAGGGGAGTGAGGGATGAAGTGACAGGGAGGTAGAATGGGTCAAGGTGAAAACTTCTACTATGGAGGGTGCTGACTTGTCTTCGCCTGTGTGTGGATAAAAAAGATTAAGGCACTTGAGGAGCGGCGTCACTGTCACTGCCTGTCGTAGTGCTCACTCTCCTGCTCCTTTGAATTAACCTTCAGTTCCTGTGAACCACTTGTTTTATTCTTTATTCTTGTCCTCCTGACATCCCCGTCCCCTCCTCCATTTCCTCATCCTTTTCCTGTCTCTTTTTTTTTCTCCCTCTTCTTTTTCTAGCA